ACTTGGAAACCATCGTATTCAGATCTTCAACTAATGACACAACCATCCCACCTGTAGATGACTTCATGGAAATATATTACTTACTATGCACCGAATACATACGCACATTGTGTATATACACCATACTTATTCATGCCTTTAGTATTTTCTGCTCTTTTGCTATAACTTGGCCATTTTTTATGTGCAAAAAATCTTGTAATACAATATAGATTTTTTAATCTTCAGCTAACTGATTTTTGATCTTTGGTACGCAAGCAGCAGAGCACTGTGGCAATCGTTATATGGCGTATAGTACTCTGCCTTCTCCCACCCATTCTTCCCCTTCTCAGCAACTGAAACAGGATCTTCTGTCCCAACTGGGCACACCGGAAAAGACGGGAGAGAGGAGGGAGGGAGAGGATCTGACCAAGACACTACTGGAACACGTAGTCAAACTAAAGATGGTTAGTTTACCACACTCAACAGAGGAAAATTGGTGCATTTCTCTGTTACTATATATGTATGAGGCATGTACAGTGCTTTATTGTATTATAGCTCAAAATGTATGCGAAGAAGTCTGCTACATATTATATACATTGAGTGTTATACATTCAACATGTATGTGTATGTGTGTATTATGCAACAGAGAAAGAAGTTGCTCAGTCACTCAGACTGTTTAGGGTAGGGTAGGGTGGGGTATACTAGTCTGCATGTTTCCCGGCAGTCATGTGACTAGTGTCTGTGGTCATGTGACTGTCATGTGATCCCACAGGAGCTGGCCAGTGTGAAAGAGGAGAACGAGAGACTGCAGAACGTGAGGTCCAACATGGATAATGAGATTCACGAGCTCACGGAGAACCTTTTCGAGGTACGAATATTGAAACGAGAGAACAAGAGAGAAGGTGAAACAGGTGTAAAGAAAGGGAGTGTCAATGGCTTGTCTGAATTCCGTTTTGCTGGTGGATATGTGGAATCCTATGCAGCTTTACAGCTTTGCAGCGATAATTCAGTATGGACTTTCTGCCCGCTTCAAACATAGCAATATCTTTAGATTCTGTGTTGCAACTTGTGTACTGTGTGTTGTTGTGCAGGAGGCCTACAAGATGGTGGACGAGGCAAAAGGAGGGAAGGTTTCCGCTGAAAAGCGGCTGGCCGACGCAGCCGGCAAGATGGACGCCATGGAAACGGAGATGTCCACCCTCAAGCGCATCATGCAGTCTTCGCAGAACCCGCCGCAGGCTCGTTCCGTCTCCAAGACGACAGGGGCTTCCCTGAATACCCTCCATCTTCCCCAGTCTCACTCTCCCTCTCAAAAACACATCAAGAGATCCAGCATCAAACGCGCCGTCCACAAAATTCAGAAGCGAACAGGTTATAATACAAAACCCTCACTCTCTCATCACATACCACAACACTACACAAAACGTGCTTAACCTGTTAAATACCTGTTTATGTGTTGAAGGTTTAAACCCGTTTGGGGGTTGCATAGATACGTATCTTGTGTCTTGTGATCTGCTCGAAAACCTGTTTTTTAGACCTGTTTGACTGGTTTTGGAATAGAACGGGGACTGAAAAATCCCCCACCTTATTCAAAACCGGTTTTTCCGACCTGTTTTGACAGGTTTGGCAGCGCCCAAGTCCCCCAGTACATCTGCCAGCAGATTGCCGCCAATTCAACCACTGGTACTGGAGCACAAGGGAGGGATGAGAGGGGACTGTCTCGTCACTGGAGAGGTTAGTTATGTCGCCTGGACCGCAGAGTGTCGTGGGTTTGAGTCCCACCCAGGGCAGTTCTTCTTCTTTAGAAAGAGCTGTCCTGGGTGTAGTTGACTTGTTTGCCTTGCCTTGCCTCATTACCAAGTTGTTGAGACATGCATACTATGTACGGGTGTACGAGGTGGGCGTGTCTAAAATTATTGTGTTGATGGTAAAATTTTGAATGGGCAATTTGACAGGGCTCCCCCAATTTCTTTGAACTTCACCGCACGCATTAGACGTGCAGAAGATATGCTTGAATGTAAACATCATGTGTACTGAGTACTAACAACCTGGGTGTATATAGCATTGGAGAGTGCAGGTTGCCATTGTTAAAAACTCTGTTTCTTTTCTCAGATTGACCAAGAGGAGTATGCCCAGTTTCACCGCTGGATAAAGAGTCTTTCTCTCTCCTCTCCTCTCTCTCCTTCCTCTCCCTCCACCCCCACCCCCACCTCCTCCTCTTCCCCCCACACCTACCTGACGTCAATCATTGATCAAGACGTCCGTCCATGCCTCTCCTTCAAAAACACCGAGGTTTGTTTAAAATCATCATTACATCATAATTACGTCATGGTAAACTCGTACATCCACTGTCAAGTATCGTGTCGGTACGGACACGTGACTCGTGCATAGTGTGGCTTGTGTGCAGGATTTTTACATCATCTCTTCCCCTCTTTCTCTCACTCTCTCGTCATTCCTCTAGTTATCGCAGCGGGTTCTACAGGCTGTCCAAGACAACTATGTCACGATGGAGGCTCTGCAAACGTCGACCAGCAGCAACGGTCACCCGGGCCACGTGCGCTCCTCCAGTTTACCTCCGGAGGGAGTGTTGTGTGCTCTGTGTGAGGCGAAAGAGAGAGACTGCACCCACAGACTGAGACTGGGAGAGGCCAAAGAGTGGCTCTACATCTCACAGAGCTGCAGAGACAGGGTAAGACAGAGAGAAGAGGGGAGGGGGGAGGCTTGCTGTCCCTATTCCTATCTCGCCTTATTTTGCTGTTGCCTTATCTCGCGAAAGAGAGATAAGATGAATCCTCAACAGTCACCCAGGGGCTCTTAGTGTATATATATACCAGTTTTTTCCCACAGTCTGGTTATAGTCTGATTATGTGTGTGTGTTCTTGCAGGTGGCAGCCGTGTGCGATTTCTTCATGCACATCAGTCACATACAGAAAGGAATCATAAAGGCAGACAGTGAGTCTGTCTACTTCTCTTTTGTGCTTACGTGCAACTCGGCAAACCTGAAAACTATGACAAACGCATTGTATTAGAGTTTAATTCTCCCTCCCTCTGTCAACAGCTACAAAGCTCTACTGGGAAGTGGCCAGACTGCGTGGCCTGATGCAGCTGTCTCGTTACTCCCTCTCCCTCCCTCCTGACCTCCCACAGACACCTCAGTAGAGAGAAAATCTCCGCCCCTCCCTCTCGCCCACTTCCGCCCCGCCCCCTCTGTGACTTTATCACACCAGTGACTTATTGCTTATTCAACTATAATAAAATTATGTTTATAATTATGGCACAGACATAATAATTATTTTCTTTTTCAAATCTGATCACCTTTTTTCTGGCTGTAATGTGATTTCCAGCGCATGCGCGATTATTGGGGTCGAAGTTCATTCCACACGCGTACTCGAGAGGACCTTACGAGTATATACTAACAAGCCAACACACGTGTGTGACAGTGGGAAGGGAGAGGGGGGAGGGAGGGGAGGGAGAGGGGAGAGAGAGATCTGGGTCCTTACCAGATGGACACTGTCCAGTACAGGTGAGTTACCATTTCCCACGACGATGAGCGATGATTCTGTTTTTGTCATTTAGCGTTTCCAAGACAACACCGGCACAATCGTTCCTTTTCCTCCGCCCGCTCTGGGAGACTGTCTCCTTATGGCTCTGAGGGTGTGTTTGTTACATCATTCGTCTCCCTCCCTTCCCCCCCCACACACACACAAGGATTGAGTATTTTCTCTTTGTTCCTCCTCAGGTCATTCATCGCCATCTGATGTTGGGTCACTGTACCAGGACTCTTCCTTCTCTGCAGATCTCCATCTCGTTGCTGAGGTATTACTAGGGAAGCTTTACTATACATAGTAGTGTAGCTCCCTCTGTTGTACAGTTTTCATGTACTGTATATATAGCGTATATACCCTAATATTATACGTTTGTAAAACCGCTGAAGTTTTTGCACTCTGTTGCTCACTGAAATGGTAGTTCTAGTAAACCTTTCATCGCTTCTTTGCTTGACAACCATAGGAGGTGGTTTTACTTCTACTCTTCTGGGCTTACTCTAAATCCCACCTCTTTTGGCCAGCTGTATTGTGTGTTGATGCACTGGGTGAATGTGATTGGACAGTCCAACAATCAGACCACTTGTTTCAGTATTCATGATCTCACTAGAATCTCCAAATAAGGTCAGGCATGCAAGAGTCTGCAGATCTCAGACTGTGAATATTGGTAGAGTGACAGAAAGTCAAGGGCTTTTTCCTGTCAGCCTCAGTTTCGCCCCTTTTCTTAGAGTCAGCACAGCACCTTTGCTTGCTTCTTGCTTTGGATCAAGTGGAAAGAACGACACCTCGATTTTTATGCGCGCGACTGAGTGGGCGTAATTTGTTGAGTCGCGTGCAACGGTGTACTTTGACCCCGGTGACTTCCGCTCCGTTTTTCGACGACAAGGCTGACTGCATCAGATTATGACTGTCGGACCGTTTGCGATCGCAGCAACGTATGCATCAATTCTGAAAAGTGCAATAGATGTGGAAAACACAACTGTATATGAAGTGCTCTTGATGAATACGGAATATATATTTCAGCAACTTGTCTATGTTCAGTCAACTCTTCCATCTGTTACGACGAATGAATATATACTCCGCGTGTTCCTCCAGCATGGTCAATTTTGCTAACCGTCGTTTCTGCGCTCATGGGCAGAGTGATAATACTTCAGGATCCACACACCGTATAATCCATGGAATGTACGGTTCGTTAATGCCAGGTGTAGTGGGTAAGCCACGTTGCTGCGATCGCAAACGGTCCGACAGTCATAATCTGATGCAGTCAGCCTGGTCGTCGAAAAACGGAGAGGAAGTCACCGGGGTCAAAGTACACCGTTGCACGCGACTCAACAAATTACGCCCACTCAGTCGCGCGTATAAAAATCGAGGTGTCGTTCTTTCCACTTGATCCCTTGCTTTATCAGCTTGCTTTCCTCAGTCTTGACTAGACCCTCTCTCTAGCTTGTCTGCTGCACTACTGACAGAGCCATGGCTGCCAAACCCTCCACTGCTGCCGAGAAAGCCCTCCAGAAGATCGAGGACCAGGTCACCTGTGGGATATGTCTGGAGCCCTACAAACAGCCGAGGCTGCTCAAGTGTTTCCACGTGTATTGCGAGCAGTGCCTGCAACGTCTGGTACGTGGGGGACGAGAGGGACAGAGTCTCCCATGTCCACAATGTCGCCAGGACACTCCACTGCCAGTGGGTGGAGTCCCGGGGCTCCAAGGAGCCTTCTACATCCACTACCTCTTCGACGTCCAAGATGCCCTCAAGAAAGTGAGCTCCAGCGAACAAACAATGTGCAACAAGTGCAAGAAACGCGAGGCAACTGGCTTTTGTCGCACTTGTGGGTTTGTCTGCCAGCGCTGCACAGAATTCCATCAGGAATGGGAGGAATTCAAAACCCACGAGATTATCGACCTGGACACCTTGACTGGAGACGTGACCACCCTCGTTCCTCCTCTCAAGAAGACTCTGTTTTGCTCCAAACACCAGGAAACAAAGGCAGACCTCTACTGCGAGACATGCGACGAGTTGATATGTCGAGACTGCATCGTTCGTGTTCATCGCGACCACCAGTACGATCTGGTGCCCGAGTCGTTTGCCAAGCAAGAGAAAGTGATCGTGGACTCTCTCAAGCCAGTGGAAGAACAGATTGCTACGTTAGAAAGAGCCGTTGAGTCGGTGGACACTCAGTGTGCTGCAGTTGTAGAACAGAAGACGGCTGTGGTGGCAGAGATCCGCACTGCCAGGGCACACCTGCGACAAGCTCTTGAGGCGAGGGAGACAGAGCTGGTGGGTCAAGCAGAGCAGACGGCACAGCAGAAACTGAAGACCTTGGCAGCGCAGCGAGACGGGTTTGAACTGCAACTGGGCCAGCTGAGGAGCTGCCAGGACTTTGTGGAGGAGAGCCGACGTACTTGCAGCCAGGGGGAGATTCTGAGGATGAAGAGTCCTCTCGTAAAGCAAGTCAACGACCTGACAGGCAGCTTCAAGCCAGAGACATTGGCTCTTGCCGAGCAAGCCGACATGGTGTTTGCTCACAGTCTGCCTGAACTGATGAAGATTTGCCAGCAGTTTGGTAAGGTGTACTGTCATCTAGTGTGCCCTGAGAAGTGTCGAGCCTCGGGTAAAGGAATCAGGGTAGCCACGAGAGGGCAAACTGTGGCTGTCTCTGTAGAGGCTTTAGATAGGGAGGGAGAAGCCTACCTCAGACCTGTAGACAGCTTGAGGTGTGAGCTAGTTGCTAGCGATGGCAGCAGTCGAGTCAGGGGCACTGCAAAGAGAAGAAATCGGAACATCTACGACATCAGCTACCAGCCTCAGGTCACTGGAGAACATCAACTACACATTCTAATAGAAGAGCACCCGATCTTGAACAGTCCGTTCACTGTCACCGTTCTATCCAACTTCACTGCCCCAGCCAACATCATTAGAGGCCTCGATATGCCATGGGGTATAGCTGTCAGGGAGGGAGGGGAGGTGGTGGTAGCCGAATATGGTGGTGAATGTGTATCAATCATCAGTGGTAATGGAGAGAAGAAATCATTTGGTACTCATGGCTCAGGTCCTGGTCAGTTCAACAGTCCTGAAGGTATAGCAATAGACAATGGAGGAAGCATTCTTGTGGCTGACTTTAGCAACCATCGTATTCAGCAGTTGTCATCCACTGGCAAACACCTCAGAACAGTCGGTACCCGGGGCAGTGGACCTCTTCAGTTCCAGGATCCAGCAGGCATTACAGTTCATCCTCACACTGGCAAGGTGTATGTTGCTGACTGTGACAACCACAGAATTCAGGTTCTGAACTCCGACCTCACATACTCCAGTAGTTTTGGTAGGAAAGGCTCTAACAATGGAGAGTTCAATGAGCCTTACGACATATCTACTGACAGAGAAGGCAATGTGTATGTAGCTGACAGTGACAACCACAGAATCCAGGTCTTCACAGGCGATGGAGTCTACTTGAGGCAGTTTGGGAAGAAGGGAGAAGGAGAGGGAGAACTAAACGGGCCAGTCAGTATTGCTATTGACTCTGCCAATGTAGTGTATGTTGGTGAACTGGGAACAATCGTATATCAATATTCTCTACTGATGGAGAGTTTATCAAGTCATTTGGAAGAAAGGGAAAAGGTCCTGTGGAGTTCAGTAGTCCATTTGGACTAGCAGTAGACAAGAAAGGAACACTGTATGTCAGTGACTTAGGAAACCATCGTATTCAGATCTTCAAACTAATGACACAACCATCCCACCTGTAGATGATGACTTCATGGAAATATATTACTTACTATGCACCGAATACAGACGCACATTGTGTATATACACCATACTTATTCATGCCTTTAGTATTTTCTGCTCTTTTGCTATAACTTGGCCTTTTTTATCTGCAAAAAATCTTGTAATAAGATTTTTTTAATCTTCAGCTAACTGATTTTTGATCTTTGGTACGCAAGCAGCAGAGCACTGTGGCAATCGTTATATGGCGTATAGTACTCTGCCTTCTCCCACCCATTCTTCCCCTTCTCAGCAACTGAAACAGGATCTTCTGTCCCAACTGGGCACACCGGAAAAGACGGGAGAGAGGAGGGAGGGAGAGGATTTGACCAAGACACTACTGGAACACGTAGTCAAACTAAAGATGGTTAGTTTACCACACTCAACAGAGGAAATTTGGTGCATTTCTCTGTTACTATGTACATATGAGGCATGTATTGTACATTATAGCTCAAATTTTATGCGAAGAAGTCTGCTACATATTATATACATTGACATTCAACATGTATGTATGTGTATTACAACAGAGAAAGAAGTTGCTCAGTCGCTCAGTTTAGGGTCTGGGTATACTAGTCTGCATGTTTCCCAGCAGTCATGTGACTAGTGTCTGTGGTCATGTGACTGTCATGTGATCCCACAGGAGCTGGCCAGTGTGAAAGAGGAGAACGAGAGACTGCAGAACGTCAGGTCCAACATGGATAATGAGATTCACGAGCTCACGGAGAACCTTTTTGAGGTACGAATATTGAAACGAGAGAACAAGAGAGAAGGTGAAACAGGTGTAAAGAAAGGGAGTATCAATGGCTTGTCTGAATTCTGTTTTGGTTGTGGATATGTGGAATCCTATGCAGCTTTACAGCTTTGCAGGATAATTCAGTATTGACTTACTAAATTTTATGCCCACTCCAAATATAGCAATATCTTTAGATTCTGTGTTGCAACTTGTGTACTGTGTGTTGTTGTGCAGGAGGCCTACAAGATGGTGGACGAGGCAAAAGGAGGGAAGGTTTCCGCTGAAAAGAGGCTCGCCGACGCAGCCGGCAAGATCGACGCCATGGAAACGGAGATGTCCACCCTCAAGCGCATCATGCAGTCTTCGCAGAACCCGCCGCAGGCTCGTTCCGTCTCCAAGACGACAGGGGCTTCCCTGAACACCCTCCATCTTCCCCAGTCTCACTCTCCCTCTCAGAAACACATCAAGAGATCCAGCATCAAACGAGCCGTCCACAAAATTCAGAAGCGAACAGGTTAAAATACAAAACCCTCACTCTCTCATCACATACCACAACACTACACAAAACGTGCTTAACCTGTTAAATACCTGTTTATGTGTTGAAGGTTTAAACCCGTTTGGGGGTTGCATAGATACGTATCTTGTGTCTTGTGATCTGCTCGAAAACCTGTTTTTAGACTTGTTTGACTGGTTTTGGAGTAAAACGGGGACTGAAAAAATCCCCCACCTTATTCAAAACCGGTTTTTCCGACCTGTTTTGACAGGTTTGGCAGCGCCCAAGTCCCCCAGTACATCTGCCAGCAGATTGCCGCCAATTCAACCACTGGTACTAGAGCACAAGGGAGGGATGAGAGGGGACTGCCTCGTCACTGGAGAGGTTAGTTATGTCGCCTGGACCGCAGAGTGTCGTGGGTTTGAATTCCACCCAGGGCAGCTCTTCTTCTTTTGTTTGGGCTGTCCTGGGTGTAGTTGACTTGTTTACCTTGCCTTGCCTTTCTACCTCGTTACCAAGTTGTTGAGACATGTATTTTTATGTACGGGTGTATGAGGTGGGCGTGTCTAAAATTATTGTGTTGGTGGCGAATGGGCAATTTGACAGGGCTCCCCCAATTTCTTTGAACTTCACCGCATGTAAACATCATGTGTACTGAGTACTAACAACCTGGGTGTATATAGCATTGGAGATTGCAGGTCGCCATTGTTAAAAACTCTGTTTCTTTTCTCAGATTGACCAAGAGGAGTATGCCCAGTTTCACCGCTGGATAAAGAGTCTTTCTCTCTCCTCTCCTCTCTCTCCTTCCTCTCCCTCCACCCCCACCCCCACCTCCTCCTCTTCCCCCCACACCTACCTGACATCAATCATTGATCAAGACGTCCGTCCATGCCTCTCCTTCAAAAACACCGAGGTTTGTTTAAAATCATCATTACATCATAATTACGTCATGGTAAACTCGTACACCCACTGTCAAGTATCGTACCGGTACAGACACGTGACTCGTGCATAGTGTGGCTTGTGTGCAGGATTTTTACATCATATCTTCCCCTCTTTCTCTCACTCTCTCGTCATTCCTCTAGTTATCGCAGCGGGTTCTACAGGCTGTCCAAGACAACTATGTCACGATGGAGGCTCTGCAAACGTCGACCAGCAGCAATGGTCACCCTGGCCACGTGCGCTCCTCCAGTTTACCTCCGGAGGGAGTGTTGTGTGCTCTGTGTGAGGCGAAAGAGAGAGACTGCACCCACAGACTGAGACTGGGAGAGGCCAAAGAGTGGCTCTACATTTCACAGAGCTGCAGAGACAGGGTAAGACAGAGAAAAGGCTTGTCCCTATTCCTATCTCGCCTTATTTTGCTGTTGCCTTATCTCGCGAAAGAGAGAGAAGATAATCGTTTTTTTCTCAACAGTCACTCAGTGTATGTACCAGCTTTTGCCCACAAAATATAATACATAATACTCTGATTATGTGTGTGTGTTCTTGCAGGTGGCAGCCGTGTGCGATTTCTTCATGCACATCAGTCACATACAGAAAGGAATCATAAAGGCAGACAGTGAGTCTGTCTTACTTCTCTTTTGTGCTTACGTGCAACTCGGCAAACCTGAAAACTATGACAAACGCATTGTATTAAAGTTTAATTATCCCTCCCTCTGTCAACAGCTACAAAGCTCTACTGGGAAGTGGCCAGACTGCGTGGCCTGATGCAGCTGTCTCGTTACTCCCTCTCCCTCCCTCCTGACCTCCCACAGACACCTCAGTAGGGAGAAAATCTCCGCCCCTCCCTCTCGCCCACTTCCGCCCCGCCCCCTCTGTGACTTTATCACACCAGTGACTTATTGCTTATTCAACTAATAAAATTATGTTTATAATTATGGCACAGACATAATAATTATTTTCTTTTTCAAATCTGATCACCTTTTTTCTGGCTGAACATTTGAGATAATGTGATTTACAGCGCATGCGCGATTATTGGGGTCGAAGTTTTTCCACACGCATACTCGAGAGGACCTTACGAGTATATATATACTAACAAGCCAACACACCGTTTGTTTGCCCGTTTTGCCGGTTGGGAGAGAACGAGATGGCGAACGTTTTCGGTACTCTGCTCCACTCCAAGAACAAACAGGAAGGTAAGACGTCCCGGACACAGCAATATAAAGTGTATTATACCGTACGCTTTCCTACCGCTTGTCGTAAGCTTTGCGTGGTGGTGGTACGTAATGTCCCCGTTCCTTTCGTCGTGTAGTTTCACGACTTGGAGAAAGAGGGACATAAGGCTATCTCTCTTCAAGATATACAAGCCAAACACCCGTTTTGTTTGCCCGTTTTGCCGGTTGGGATAAGAACGAGCTGGCGAACGTTTTCGGTACTCTGCTCCACTCCAAGAACAAACAGGAAGGTAAGACGTCCCGGACACAGCAATATAAAGTGTATTATACCGTACGCTTTCCTACCGCTTGTCGTAAGCTTTGCGTGGTGGTGGTACGTAATGTCCCGTTCCTTTCGTCGTGTAGTTCAAGACTTGGAGAAAGAGGGACATAAGGCTATCTCTCTTCAAGATGAGAACCCGCAGCTGTACCTGGACGACGACGAAGTGGTTATGGGTACGTCTCCTTTGCCACACTTTCTATACTGAGCCAGTGGCTGTAGACTGTGTGTGTGTGTGTGTGTGGTTTGGCTGTGGTAGTTGGCAACCCTATCATGCCTATTATGGGGGTGTGCAGTAAATTAAAAAGCTCTCTCCATCTCTGCCTCCCTCCCTCTTCCCTCTCTCGTCAGCCATTGGAGACGAAAAGACTGTCACTCAGCCACAGTCACTGAACGAGCCAGAAGTCAAGAAACTCATCCAGGTGAGAACTCCAAAGGATGAGAGAACCAAATGGGAAGAGAGAAGAGGGGTAGGGTTAATGCATTTGTATGACATTAATGTTGGTTGATCCCGTCTGATCAATATTTGCACTGGTGACTCATATTTTTCTCCTGCATGGACGACTCATAATTTTTCCGCCAAAATATCTCTAATAATAATGATATTTTTAGATCCTTTTGAAATGGGTGAATGATGTACTTGAAAGCCGACGACTGATTGTTCGTGAAATCGACGAAGACTTCTACGATGGGCAAGTTCTCGGAGAACTTATCGGTGAGCCTGTCTTGTGGGTGTGGTCTTTGGGTGAACTCTGACCCCTGCCCTTTGACCTCTAGCGGAGTTGTCGGGGGAGACGATAGAAGTTGTACCGGTCACACAATCGTCATACATGCAGGTTCATAAATTCTCATTCGCCCTTTAAAACTTTGATTGAGCCTGCGTATTTTTTAATGACAGAAAAACAAGTTGCGATACCTGCTTGACAAGCTGGACAAGATGTTAGGGATCCGAGGTGGTCAGAGACTATGGGATGTTCAGTGTAAGGAAGGAGTTAATGTAAAAATTGACGGTGTGGTAATTAGTTTGTGACGGTTACCATGTTTGGTTACAGCGATTCACTCCAAAGACGTGGTGGCAATTCTTCACATGTTGGTTGCCATGGCGAGGTATTTCCACTGTCGCTACCCTCTCCCTCGGAACGTCCGTGTGAAGAGAATCCACCTCAAGGTAACCAACCCCCCTCTCCTTTCTAGCAAATTCGTTCTTGCATCCCTTTCTCTCTCTCTCTCTCTCTCTCTTTCCTCTCTCTCTCCCTCTCTCCCTCTCCCTCTCTCTCCTTATGCAGCAACTGGAGCACAAGCTAGACAGTGAAATCTATGTGGAGGAAATTACAGGAGAACAGATTGGCCCAACGTGAGATTTATTCAAAACCTTTTTAACCTCACCTTGGTCTTATAAACCCTTCATCTCTTCTCTCCATTGCTCTCACTCCTTTTCTCTTTCCTCTCTCTCCTCTCTTTCTCCCAGTGCACCTCTGAAAACAGGTTAGAAACTCGTTCACACCTCTGAACGGTAGTCACGGTAATTCCCCTGTTTCCCAGGCGAGCGAGATGTTTTTGACAAGCTTTTCGAACAGGCTCCCGACAAGCTGGAGACGGTCAAAAAGGTATAAAATTTATGTGGTGTTTTAAAATTTTTTCAGCCCGCTAAATATTTTTTCCAGACTCTGTGTCAATTTTGCACGCGGGTTCTGCAAGACATGGACATCGTTATAACAGACATTGACACACAGGTATATACCAAAAAACTTCAATGCAAACCCCAGAAATTTTGGGGTTCTGCTCACGCGAATTTTATTTGTTTTCAGTTTCACAATGGAGTGAACCTTGTGTTAATGATGGGTCTTCTTGAGGGCTACTATGTGCCCCTGTACAAGTTCCATTATAACCCTGTCGGACATGACGAGAAGGTACTATACACATGTAGGGGGGAAGTTTAACAGCAAATTAATTCGTGGTTTTAGACTGAATCGGTAGGTTCTTTAGCTGGCCATCTCTTTTGTTCTCAATCTGTGATTCAAACACAGAATTTGACTTCTCCGTGAGACTTTCCTCCGGTACTATCTCATATTATTCCCTAGAACATTGTGGTGTGTGTTTGTAAGAGTGGGGAGGAGGAGGAGGAGAGAGAGAAATCCCTGTCCAATATCTCCCTCAGGTCGACAATGTGAAGTTGGCTCTGAAGCTGATGCAGGAGGCTGGCTGTCCGCCTGTGGCTGTGAAAGCTGAGAGTAAGCCACACCCTCTTCATTTCTCTCTCTTCCACTCTCTCTCTCTCCTCTCTCTCTCTCTCTTCCATAAAGCGAGAGAAGCCACCTCTGTGTTATTTCTTTGCACACTTAACTTTAATCTTACATGAAACATGATTCTTATGTAAGACTCTTTCTTTTAAGACGCACCATTAATTTGTAATTCGTTGCAGATGTGGTTCTAAAAGACCTGAAAAACACGTTCAGAGTAATCTACACGATCTTCACCAAATACAAGTCAACTCTCCAGTCCGGAACTGCCGGTGGTAACCCCCGGCAACAGGCCACACCCACTACTCCAGGGCCAGTGTCGTCTGTGTGACATTTGTTCATCATTCATGAGACTTTTGTTTATTTTTCAAACTAGAATTTTTTTAGTCATGTGACACAATTAATTGGTCGTCCCAATTACACCACCCCCTAAATAATTATGTTGGTATAATTACCCTCGGCGCGCATGCGCAGCGAGGGTACCGTAGTTAGTTGGGTTTGTCTGCTGGTCTGTCTGTCTGTTACTCTCAATCTCACTTCTCGGGTGTCTGTTCGTCCCAGAACGGGCGACGAGGGTCAGAAAATATGCGGGGTTTTCTCTGAAAATGATCCGTTGCAGAGCTAGAGCGCTTCCAGCATTGTATGGCTAATGCGGGTAGTCGCCATTTTATCGCTGGCGGATAATGCGCATGCACTTATATTTAGCACAGGCACCTCGACCGCCGGGTCCGCTTGCATGCTCTGTCTATCTTGAAGGCACAAGAAGTCACAACGAATGGCGTGTGTCGACTCTCGCGTGCTATCTACTACTGTAGCTACCCCGTGTCAGACTCTCTGCGAGCTACTTCGCCGAGGGTTTGCACTATTCAAGTAATGGTGGTGGTCTGATGGATAAGCACCCCTTCTCTTGATCGTGAGGTCCCTGGTTCGATCCCGGGGGTTTGCGCCTTTTTTACAATGATGTAGTAGGAGTGTTGGTATAACTAGAACGTTTTTTCATTACCTCTCAAGGCCAGCCCGCCCGAGTGGCTAGGTGGTTAGAGTCGTGGGGACTGACACCATAGGTGCCCGGTTCGAATCCTCGATCCCGCACTAAAATGTCAGGTGGTGCAGAGCATTGGCTGGGAACAGCTCTGGTTCCTCCCCTTACCCACAAATCTACCACTGAACCATGTTTCTCAAAGGGCAGCGTATAGTTCGGCATAGAACTAAAAAATAATGTTGGAGATATGAGAGTTGACTCGATGATAGGTTAAAAATTTGACACTGGGTTAAAAATGGTGGTATATATGTTGAATGAACCTGTTGTGAATTGAGTTTCAGTTCCAGTTATTGTGTGAGAGAGAATTCTGAGCAAGAGCGGCCTCGGCTTCTTCCCTCCTGCCCATCTTCCTCAGAATGTTGGCCAGCTCCGTCGCGTACACCTGTACATTGGATCCTGGACCGAGGCTCATGGCCCTCCGGATACTCCGTTCTGCCACGTCCAGGTTCCCCAGTTCCCCTTCCGTCACTCCCAGGAGATAGTTGACATTTGGCTCAGAGGGCTTCAACTCCAGGGCTTTTTGGAGATAGACCTAGTAACAGGAAGATAGTTTGGGTGTGAATAACAGATTATAAAAGGCATAAAACTCGATTGGAAAGCCTTGTTCCCTTCCGATTAACCCTTAGCAAGCCACGGGTATATATATATTGTTGGAATACTGTATAATTCCAGCTTCTAAGAGTGCAACCTCAGGATACTACGCTTGGCCATTAACTTTATGCACAGGGCGGAAATCATACCAATAAATTCAAGTGTTGTGCAACATGTGTCATTAATACATATTCATTATAGAGAGGTTCCACTGGAATACTTGGACAACAAAGTTACCTTTGCCTCAGTGGGTTTTCCCATGTGCAGTAGAACGTGGCCAGTCTCTCGCAACACTCGGAAATCGTCCGGGAGTCGCTCGATTGCAGTCTTGCACAGTCGCAGTGCCTCGGGCAGACGGGTGTGGTTTGTCTTGATGAGACTAGAGAGTCGAATGTAGGCAAGGATGTCTCTTTGAGACAGGTGAGGTGTCGGACTGGCAAACTGCTCTTCTATCAGCTCTATCGCTTTGTTCAATGTCTGCAGTGAAGTGAGAAACTTAAACTTCAACAAGGCATTTATCAGGGTGTTTTCCTGATGGGATATATAGTGAGGTAATGCACTCCTACCCCCTCCATGAACTAAAATCAAAACCCTTACGTATGAGGTTTGTGTTTTAGTTGCAGATGTACAAAAAAAATTCTATGCAGCTTTTTCCCAACATTTTGTATCTCCTGTTTGGTATAATTACCTTCTCTGCCTCTTCTTTCTCGTTCAGTCTTGTCAGCACCACACCGAGATCTGAATAGGCTGCTATGTACTGTGGGTCATACTCAATACACCGACGCATCAGCCACACGCTCTGCTCCAGAGTTATTCCTCCCTCCAACTGAGTCCCGAGGTTATGCCACATCTTGCTGTTTGTTGGGTAAGAGCGAACCGCCGAAACGTAGAGATCTCTTTCAGACATCCACACTCTGTTTTGTAGCTGAGTCTTCGCCGCATAGAACACCAGTAGAGATATAAGGAGACATTTTGTTGACTTTGAAACGAGTTTTCGACGGTTTCTCAGCATCTGCCAGGCCCCGAAGCCGACCAGCATGCAGAAGCCCATGCTAGGTAGGTAGAGGACTCTCTCAGCCACTACAAAGCCCACGGGGAAGAAGAGGTTGGAGGCTGGGAGGTAGGGGAGGACCAGGAGAGAGAGAGCGAACACTCCTACTCTTTTCACTGTATCGTGTCCCTCCCTAAGAAACACGCAAACCCCGAGGGCGGAATAGGCCGCGAGAGTAAAGAGAGAAGCTAGGTTTCTCGTGTCAGTGAGGGAGTTGATGAGAGGGATGGTAGTTCCGGCGTACTCGGGAGAGAGACGGCTCGGCTGGAAGAGGAGCCAGTTACTGAAGGAGGAGAGGTAGGTCCAGTGCAGCTGGCGGTACGGAGGATCCAGGTGTACCGCTGCTGGGTTTGCTGAGCTGTGAAAAGAAAATACTTCATAAGAATCTTTAGTAAACATTGACTACAGTGGAGGTCCTTTAACACGGGCACTAATGGGACAGAAGAATTAGTGAGGCGCATGGAAAGCCTTGCTTCAGAGGTGGGGTTCCACTGAATAGTATGCAAACACTCTATCAGTGAGGGTGATGTGTATAATATGTGTCTCAAGCTTATGTTGCTACACTGTATGATCACCATAATTAACACAAAGACTATCCATTTCATCACATGACTTGGCATAAAGTATCCATTACATCACTATTACGCCATCATCCATACTGTAAGTTGCATGGCAGCAGAGCTTTACCTTGGGAATCTGGGAACATTTCTCATCATTTGGAGCCGTGCGACCATGAATAGAGTGAGGAATGCTACCAATGAAACCGCTCGTTTGGCCATGTGGCGTAGAGGTTTGGGGACAGCGAACTTTGGGTTAAACATTGAACTAAGGAATTGGGCCGTTGAGCTGACACTCATCTATGGAGAGAAAGAGAGAGAGAGAATCATACAGTAGCAGAGTCTAATACTAGTCAGACAGGGAGTATATACATGAAATCTACCCATAGCTCATTGTCCTAACACCGCCATTACTTGGTCCCATTGAGAGATGCCCACCTTCTGGTATATGAAGTAGTCAGTTACCAGACAGACACCGATGACTGTGATTCCCTGCTCCTTGCTCAGAACGGAACACAGACTGAGTAACAAACAGAGACACACCCACTTTCCTTCTCCTCCTATGGATTGATAATAGAGTATGATCGCCAATTACATCATAGTGATGTAATGTTGTTTACGGTGTGAAGAGCACACCATTGAGCTGTTCTAAAGTTGTACCAATGTATGAGGTGTAATGAACATTAGGTACATGATTATAGTGTTGTTAATGGGATCTGATTGAATAGGAATTCGATGAAAAGGAATGACATTACAGGGTTTGGAAGCATTCGAAACATCATTTCCTTTATTCCCAGAACAGCAACAATTCTGTTTATCACCAGTATATGCAGCATGGGGCTCGGGTTTCTGACTAGTGTTGTCCCCTGACAAGGAATGGAAGCTGAGGCAGTGTCACAGCAGCACAGGCATCTACTTACACAGACATACCCAACACTATACTGCTTCTCTAGCATAGAGTTTGCCTGGCATCTGGGCTTTCAGCTGCGTCAACAGCAATTAGGTCGTGAATGTTAGCTGATCTTATAACACGGGACTTGGTATAGTTACAGTAGCCGGCTTCTTGCAGCATTCATGTTGCCATGTTGCAATCCACAATTCGTCAACAATATTCATAGTCTTACCGCCTCCTTTGTTTCTTGCAGCCCTGTTGTATGCGAGAAGCGAACCGATGAAGAATATTGCAGAGAGTAGTTCAGCTCTTCCAACCAATCCTGTTACCTAAAGCCAGCATAACAGATTGGCATTGCATGGTTGTTGAGGCATGTAACAAAATAAGGTACCTGTAGGATTAGCTATAAGCTTTTTATTGGCATTGTGTACTCGTTGTTCACAGCTTTAAAAGTTGACACTTAGTGTTTGTAATGCTCTTTGATGGTGTGGCTACAAAAGGTGTTAGTGAGGAGGACATATGTTCCCAGGTCTTTGAGAGACAGTAACTGTCAATACCAGTTGGCAGACAGGGGAAAAGATGCCGCCATAGCAAGCATGGGAGATAAGCTAAAGTTATGACACACTCCAAAAGAATGGGACAACAGCAGAATACCCTCACAGCTAGCCAAGACAGGCTGGGACACTGGACATTTTGAGCTTATCGCATTCCATTTCAGTCACTTAGTACATTCAATTATGTAGCAGTTCAGCAATTTAACATACTGAATTATGAATTAGTAAGTGACCATGCGAGTTGGGTGCTAAAGAAAGTTGTTATGTCTGTCATATCGGCAATAAGTCAACTATAACATCTTTCATAAAGTTGAATCCAAATTGTCTGCAGTTTATTCGCATTGGCACATGTGTGAGATTAAGAGTGCTTGTGGCTCAGCTGTTGGCTCTATAGCTAAACATAGAAGCACTGCATGCTTATAGCAGGAAGGGTGTATAGCACCACACACAGTGCAATATCCTTGAAAGTCCCTGGGAAAGTGCACTATGCCCATGAGGTCAGGTGCACAACTAGGTTGAAATGTTGCTCTACTACTTGTGAATGAAGTATGCTTTGCTCCGTTACAGCTATCATATTATCAAAAGGAGGTGTTAGCATTTGCTTACCGCCTCAGTGTGTATGGGGTGGACTGCAAACAGTAGTCCAGCTATCAGTGCCGGCCACACTTCACTGAAGACCACACCACACAGCAGTACGTACAGGTAGACCACTGCACTGTGCAGGAGCACGTTCACCAAGTGGTAGCCCAGCGGCTCCAGCTCGTGCAGCATGTAGTTCAGCCGAAAAGTGGCCACCGTCAGAGGACGATACGACTTGTGGCTGTACTCAGACGCCATATCTTTCCCCCAGAAATCGTTTGTCAGTAAATTACTCCACGGGCTGGACGGGCGAAGGTCCTTATTCTTCATGATGGCCGTCTCATCGTCAAAACACATCCCGCAATCGAGCGACGAGATGTAGGCCGCGCACCCAACGGCGGCGCAAACGGCTGCAGCGTTGCGGAGCTTGGCGGGCAGCATTATGAATTGGTCAGTCCGTCAGATCTAGCTATCTGCCCCACCGCAGTTGGGAAATATACTCTCGAATTATCCATCAGAAACGCATCGTTATACTGAGCACTATAATACCTTTACCACGCTCCTATTATATTGCTCGTGTGATGTCCAGTAATTTCGATGCAGGATTTCGAAGCCCACGTATTGGTATGCATTGCCCCGCCGCGCGTGGCACCTTTTAACAATTTTTCCACGGTAGAAAGCATGATTCATGGCTGTGTGTGTACCGTGCCATGAGCAGCAGCAAATCATGAATACGCTAACTAGGTGGCAAGAATTTAGACGTTCTGCACTTCAACACAAATCAATATACTTATACCAGAATCAATGAAAATGCTTTTACAACAAACAAAAAAATGGAAAATCACACTCCAGAATGTCTATAATTATTGTCTTCTTTTGAGTTGCAACTTTGTAACTTGTTCTTGAGAGTAGATTCACCAACATTTTTAACGATCCAAGCAATCGGATATGGTGTGATAAACTAGCTATAATTATTAACACTAACACACAACCACTACTAACATATTATTAGCAGTGGTTGGTGAAATAGCATTAACACAAGGAAGCAAAAATATAAATTATGATTTTGGGAGATTACACCATTTTGAGGAGGTTAAGTATGTGCATGTGGCAAAGGAATGTTAATTGGGCTAGTTACTTAGACAGACCGGAAGTCACAACATGGAATGTGCAATAAGAGAATGTGATTGGTGGCTGATTATTTCCTTCATTTCCTAATTACACCTATGATGTCACATTAGCAGGAAGTGAGACTGTACCGAGAAAGCGGGTAGCATGCAAGAGTGCAAAGGTGACGAAGGGGTCAGACTGAAGCGGGAATTGAAGAGGGTCAATTCTGAGTAGGTGTGAGTTTCACACCCAGATACGAGGCTCTAGTGACTACTTCTTGAGCAAGAGGCGATGAAGAAGAGAGGAGGATTGGCTGGAGACTTGAGTCAGTTCAAACAGAAGAAACTGCAGAAAATGAAAAGTGTGCGTGGGAGAGAGAGCAAAAGAAAGATAAAGATGATACAAGAAAGGGAAAGAAGAGAGAGAGAAGAAGAGAGAGAAGAAGAGAGAGAAGAGAGAGTGAAAAAACGCCAAATCACAGTAAAATTGTTAACACAATACTAAGACATTAAATCGATACATTACTTCTTTCCAGAGGGCAGCTGAAAGAGGATTGTGCTTCACTGCCTCCCGGTACATCCATCTTGCCTGCAGACGAAGAAAACATCTGAAAATTAACAAAATCTCACCAAATTAAACTCCGTGAGAAATAAAAGGGAGGAAACCGTGGTCTAAATCCTTATAATTATACCTCTCGTTTGTTCCTCGTCTTCAGTTCTACTTGTATTGCCCTGGAAAAGAGAAAGAGATGTGGATGTGATTTGAGTCAATTGAAGCTCACAGTCTCCACACGTCCGGAGAGTGAGGGTTTGAGGTGAGGTGGCTGGCAAGTAGAGCCTGAGCTGACCCCAGGGATGGGTGGGAGTGGTCGAGACAGTGATGAGTGTATCTGGAGACACAGAGGGCAGAGGTATTATATGGGAGCAAGAAAAGGTAGAGAAGCGAGACACACAATATGATTGTATAGAGAGAAAGAGAGTGTAAGTATTTTACTGTAAAAAAACAAGTGAAAAGACTTTTAAAATTGGGTAGTCTTTGAAAAAGCCACAAATTCCTCAAAATTGCCTGCTGACAGATTCCCCAGTCTTTGAAATACGCCACGAATTGAAAATGAAAGTGAGCTGGCTGGAGAAATAGACACTCCACGGTTGCGGATAGTCTCTGCACACCTTGTGAGTAGTTGAGGGCTGTCAGGAATCTTATGGACCAGTCTCTTGAGAAAGGTGAGAGTGAATCTTGATCCAGCTGGCAGGGTACTGAAGAACAGCTTGCAGACCTTGTGATTAGACAAAAATTGAGGGAGGGAGGGAAAAATAATCAACAATTTTACACCAGGTTAGATGCCCACACCAACCTGTTCTTGAAAGGAATAGTTGTGATAGTTTGTTGGTTGACCGGGTAATAAGGTGGGTGGGGCTTGCTTGGTATCCATGACAACCAAATACCTGTAAACACAGTCCGAGAAGGCCTGGAAGGCAGTTTGACTGTTTTTTCTCTTCACGACATTTCCCCGCAAGTAAGTCAGATACTCGAGCCAGACGATCCGCAGATGGGACGGCCGATTAACAGAATGGACGGCCGATTCGAATGCCTCTTCAGGCCCGGAATGGTGGTAGTGTCCTCGCAGGTTGTGGTGTGAGAGCTGAACTAAAAGACTGGAGAGGAAACAGAACCTCTGATATGGCGAATTTTCATGGCTTCCCCCTATCTCGCTCTCCAATTTCACCCATCTCGCTCCAAACTTTCGTCTTTCCACTCTCACTTTCACCTTTCCCCCCATCTTACTCCAACCAGCGTAAGCTATACACACCGTGTATTACAATGGTGACAGACATGCACAATCAACATATTTCGCCCTACCAGTAAGCCACCCATATGTAGGGTAAGTTCTCTCGCCGTTCATCAGTCCTAATCCTCTCTGGTGTCAGGTAGTTGTACGGTATCAACTGTCCCAGTTGTTTCCTAACAAGTCGACAGTATCATTGAACATTCCACGTTACCGCGGGGATTATGAGACAATGTCATTATGACGTAATACCTGTAAAGTAGAACAGTGTCTGCCAGTGAAAGTTGAACCGTGTTCTCTTCCGATATGTCATAGTATCGGCACACGCAGCGTCGTAACCACGGCAATGCTGCAGTCAACACGTCACCATGGGAACCATTCCCTCCCTAGCGGTATGAAACTCATGTGTAAAATGTTGTCATTTGTAGGCGAACCAGTTTTACCTGTTTCATGACCAGTTTAACAGCACAGCAATAAAATTCCGCAGCGTTTGAATCCAGTTCGCTCTCCTTCGCCTTCTCCAGTATCCTTGAAACCATCGCCAAACTGGACGTCCAATCTTCAAATTGCGCAGCCAGCATCCAGAGTCTTGAAGAGTGAGACGAGATGCCGAGGAGTTTGGTGAGAGACTGTTGTGCTGTCTCTGGCGATCTGTGGGCCAGCTGGAAGAGAACCATGTTGTACTGGAGGCAGAAGGCTGCTGTTTCTGAGTCTTCCTCGGTCGGTGAAGGTTGTGATGACGGAGAGTCGATGCAGGTTTTGGGCGGCAGACATTTAGACACACCACCTGAAAGAAATAGTCGGAACAAAACTAATAACCATCCAAGGACACATAAATGTAATATTTAAGCAGATCCCCGCCTCGCAGAGCCCATCGCTGTATACCTCAACCTTCTCAACAAACAGATTCGCAAGGGGAACGAGGTATGTAGCTCTAGTTCGAAGTTGCTCAATGCAGTTTACTGTTTTTATGAATACGCAATCTGGAAAACCTTCTCTTTTGAAAAGTGATACTGTAATTAAAACATTACGTCATACTTGTGAGTATCGTTTCAATATCGTGCATAACTGCCTCGGATGGTTTTCCGTCCTCTGACCACGGGATGAAGACGGTCTTCTGTGAACAAAACAGACGTTCAGAGTTTAGATGAAATGTGACCACACAACATGCAGTGCAGTTCAGTTCTTTTAGCAGCTTCTGGTGCAAAATAAGAGAAAAATTATCAGAGCCACGGATACGTAAAATATTTTTTTAAACAGGGTATATAGAGTGCAATTTCAAAACTGGGAACTATTTTAGGGGCTTCTGAAAGAAAAACTTAGACGTATTTATGTGAGAATGTCTAGATATATAGAGAACTCACCAGGTCTTGTTTGAGGATGAGAGGGAGGGAGGAGGGGGAGGAGGGGAGGAGAGGAAGAGGTGGAGGGGGAAGGTGGAGGTGTACATGACATGGACGAGAGAGAGGTAGACAAGTTGGAGGTGGGAGGGGGAGAGAACCTCACTGATGCCTGGAGAGGAATGGACAGTCAAAGAGAGATGGAAGACGAACCAATGGAGGGAAATTATTTGCGTGCCAACTCATGCACAGCAGTCTCTCATCTCTCCTCTTTTTCTCTTCTACAAACAGATGATCTACTGACGAACACACACCCACAGAGGTGCATGTAATATTTTTGCTTCTTCCTTTTTTGTTGTCTTTTGTGTTTGTTTTGCTTTTGTTTTGTTTAGTAACTTACTTCATCACTGACTTCAATGCGGAAAACACACACACATTGATGGACGCCTAAGCTGTCTCATCACTATATGGCATGGTGCATAGAGCTAGTGCTGGGCATAGAAAAGTAAGAAAAATCTCAAGAGCACACCTAGACATGTAGCTTAGAATCTTGCTACAGGCTCTGTATATACCTGTGAACCCGGAGCCGGATTTGGTGTCTTCAGCGTCATCATAACGTTGATCACGGCTCTCGAGGCCGAGACAGGGCTTCAAGGTAGACACTGCACGTGTCAGGTGACCCGAGGTGCAGTGTAGGTAGGCATGGCTCAGCAGCAACCCGAGGCAACAGAGGGAGAGGGAGGACACAGTGTCAGGCTGTGGAGAGAAAGAAGTACAGTGTGGAGCTACCGTACCAAGAGACTTTTCGTCAGTGTGAAAATATTTTCTCTCAAGATTTCTGAGCTGGGAATGAATGTTTTAGCACATACTGTACATCATACCTTTTTGGTGATGGCATGGTAACCTTTCTCAATGCAGCTGCTTTTTTCGCTCACCGTAACACTCACGTGGACACACTGCAAGTTTATTTCAGACACAGTAAATGTACACACTACCCTGATGGGTACATTACTATACAAGTAAACTAAAAAAGAGGCATATAGGGATGGTATAAAAAGAAAGGGAGACAAGATAGGGATGGGATACATGAAGCAAGCTCCCTATCATAGCCCCATACATCTATGATGCTAGGTACCACGTCAATCCCTATATACTAAGTACCATACTTAACTGATATACCTTTGCAACTATGGGATAGGTTGGACACGATGCCAATGCCTTGTCCACCAGTTCAGTTCGTTTGTCACCAGAATCAGCCATCTCCGCGAGACATTCGCTCTTTCTCTCCAGATATTCCAGCCAGAGGTCCTGGAGAAGAGAAAAACAGTGGAGAGTTGAACTCTCCGTTGTACCAGCTTTCTTTGCCAGCTACAGTGGAGAGTTGAACTCTCCGTTGTACCAGCTTTCTTTGCCAGCTACAGTGGACAGTTGAACAAACACGTATGTACCAACGAGAAACAAGTTGTCTGATATAAATGTTCAGTCGCATACGGTGGTTTTTTTTTGGGAAATAATATTTTTTTGGTACTCCCAATAAAAACAGATACAACGGGATACAGTGTAATACACAGAGAAAAAAAAAGGCAATAGATAAAAAATTTTTTATGCCATTTAAAAAATGTGAAATTCATGAAATTCAGGAAAAGCACAAGCACGAAATGACAGAATAAATGAAAAAATTTTTACTTGTGAGTTGGGATGGAGAGACAGGCCAGAGTGCAAGTGGCTGCATGCTTCGGACGGGTCTCTTGCTCCTTTGGCCAGCGACAGGAAGTGGGCAGAGTCAGTGGGATCAGCGGGTGTGGCTTTGCGATTGAAAGGCATTCTGAAATATCTCTCTGGTCTAGAGATGTGGTAATACAAACAATGCAATGATCATGCTGTAACAGCTGGCACCAACCTTCATGTCTCACTGTCATTGTATTGCTGTATATGCTACACCACCACACTAACGTATTGATTCATTCACACCTTGTTGCCTGTATCGTCACTGCCTATAAATGCTCAACCATGCTCCTAAGGGGCGCCGATGATTTTATTGGGAGCCTGTGACTCTGCCACCACTGCGGCGCAGGCCACGAAAGCTACAATGCTATAGTAAATGCCATGCACAGTGGAATCTTGTTGAATTACTGGGGACCTGTTCACAGTCACAAGAGTGGCGAAAATGTACAGTGTTCTATAGGGCTAGGCTCCGAGGGTGTGTTTCCAGAATTTCATACTGAGAGTTTTTTTTATAATGACACTCTCCACTGTAGCTGGCAAAGAAAGCTGGTACAACGGAGAGTTCAACTCTCCACTGTAGCTGGCAAAGAAAGCTGAGAGCTCACCTCTCCATTGTAGCTGGCAAAGAAAGCTGGTACAATGGAGAGTTCAACTGTCCACTGTAGCTGGCAAAGAAAGCTGGTACAGTGGAGAGTTCAACTCTCCACTGTAGCTGGCAAAGAAAGCTGGTACAACGGAGAGTTCAACTCTCCACTGTAGCTGGCAAAGAAAGCCGGTACAACGGAGAGTTCAACTCTCCACTGTAGCTGGCAAAGAAAGCCGGTACAACGGAGAGTTCAACTCTCCACTGTAGCTGGCAAAGAAAGCCGGTACAACGGAGAGTTCAACTCTCCACTGTAGCTGGCAAAGAAAGCCGGTACAACGGAGAGTTCAACTCTCCACTGTAGCTGGCAAAGAAAGCCGGTACAACGGAGAGTTCAACTCTCCACTGTAGCTGGCAAAGAAAGCTGGTACAGTGGAGAGTTCAACTTCAATACATATGGGCTGTTGGGGTCCTTACACACCTGCTGTCAGTGGCGGCTGAGACTGGTAGATACTGGGTGTGTGTTTGTACTGGACTCTCCCGGTATAGAGGAGGTTGTCTGGGGAGAGAGATAGCTTGATATGAAAGAGTATACAGCAAGAGATAGAAAGCGAGGAATAGAAATATTCCGGCTAATGGCTGACAAGCAGGGTTGCGTGTACCCACCCACCTTGTCTTGTCGGAGCCTTCCTGGGCCACGTCGGTGTCTCGGACTCGCAACTCCTCCATGGCCACGATTCCACCGTCCTCCCCGGCTGTTCTCGTCTCACTCACTCGATGTGCGGCCAACACCAACAGCTGCTCGTCTGACATCTTACCAGAAAACGTCTCCATCAGCGATGCACCGTACGATCGACTCTTCGCACTAGTCTTCGACAACGAAGCTTTTGACGTTTCGTTTCTAGTCTTTGAAACTTTGGTATTGTCCGAAGACAGGGCAGGGGAATAAGAAATGATGTCGTCTACTAGTTCCGATTTCGAGAGAGTGACGTCGCGAAAGTGCTGCCGTGTGCATTGAGGATCTCCACACTTGCCAAAGACTTCGAACTTGCACCATATCGTCATCGGATTGATCTTGTGCGAGTGGGAGAGGGAGGAGAGGGACAGCTTGGCGTGCGTGCGGTAGCTCGAGTGTAGGCGGTACGCTGGGAGCGCGAGAAGTGGCGACGAATAAGGTCTGAATCTTTTCGGTCTGAGTGAACTTCCCTCAACAGTGCCCCGAGTGGAGACTCGTGTGGACAAATTCAGGGCAGACTCCGCGACCGACTCCGACACCAGTTCAGGTTCCGGCTTGAGCAGGGGATTTCCAGTCAAACCGGTTCCGGTGCAGGCGGCGACAGATTGTGACGGGTCTTCCGAAGTTCTCAGAAGTGGCTGGAGTTCGTTCCAGGTGACTATAAACCCTAATCTTTTAACGACGTCGTCCATGCTAGACAACCCGCGAGCCAAAACACTTCCACTCTGCTTTGGACTCGTCTCTACTTCCATAGCCACTTTCTCTGGGACTGACGATTCTCCCGCCTTTTTCCATGGAAACTGAAGAGTTCCCGTGATGCCGCTCTCTTCGATTACGGTGGGTACTACCAACCTCCCCGAGCTTTTGCCTTGTTTGATGTTCGACACTGCGTCCTTACCTTTGGCCAACTTACTGGAGGAATATGCTGGTGCTATGGTATCAACTGGTCGTGCCCCAAGTGTAGTAGAGTGTCCCCTTGTACCAGTGGCTTGCGACTTGGCATGTTGAACAGGCCTAGCTTGTTGGCCTCTTGCCGTAGATTTAACCTGTTGAACTGGTTTGCCTTTCTTGTTAATCGTGAGCAGCTCAACGCCCTCCTTAGAGGCTGGTGTTCCCTTGAGAATAGCTGAGGAACCACGACATTGCCTCTCTAAATTACTCATCACCTGCTTGATCTTACCCAGAAAAGCATCCACTGAATGTTTAGCATGTCCAGAGCTTCCTTGAGACTTCGGCACAGGCCTGTTAGTGTTCCTATTCACAGAGGTCGAAGTACTACTTGGCTGGGCCTTTGCTATACCGGTCTTGGCTCTTACCTGCGACGCAGCAGAAGTAGATTTCTTTGCAAAGCCTCGCTTTGTGCCTCCCACACTCGTACGAACCCCTGTTGATTTCTTTGCCGTGCTCTTCTTTGAGCCGCCAGGGCCATTTCTTGACGGTGCAACTGCCGCCCCTGTCGATTTTCTTGCAAATTGTCGATTCAAGCGTCCAGAGTCAGCTCTTGAGGGCACACCTGTGCTAACTGCTCCCTCTGTTGAATCAGGAGGGGAGGGATTCAGGGGTCGAGAGGGGCTGTGATAAGGGGAGGTGCTCTTGGATTCCGTTGAAAATCTACCCTCTTCTTCCCGCGTCTCGTCTCCGAGTATTGTGTGAGACTCACTGGGAGTTGTATCCGAGTCATGTGACACTTCTTCATGGTCACGTGACACCTGGCCAGAGATTGCAGGTTGTTTCATAATCTCGGTATCAAGTCGACGAAAACTCGAATGGGAAAGCACGGACTCCAGCACGGGAGAAAGAGCCTGATCGAGCATACGTTGAAGTGTTCTGTTGAGGTTTGGTGATGAGTCGGGCGATCTTGAAACAGTGTCTCGGTTCAATTTGGCCACAGTCTGCGGAGATCTTGAAGCACACAGCGCGTTCTCCAGAGCGGAGCAAGAGCACTTGTAAGAGTTAACTGGAGGGCTCTATTTAGAGTTGGCGAGCCCATCATAAGAGATGTTGGTGACTTGGTAGGAGAGAAAGATGCTGTTTTAGGGACAGACAGCCTTCTGGGAGTTGATTTGCGCCTGTTTCTTGTAGTTTCGATTGCCACCACGGTGTCACTGCCAGACCGTGACAGTGGCAGCTTTCTCGCCCATTTCATTGTTGGCTTCTCTATTCTACCGCTCCACCCAGGGTGTGCCTCGAGCGAACTCTCTCTCTTTTCCACGGGCCATTCTCTCCTTTTCCTGAGTCTCGTTCTCTGCTGGGTGGTAACCGTGGAGCTGCTTCCCTCAGTCAGCTGCAGTTTGGGGTCAATGACAGCAACATACACGGCTGGTCTACTCAATGGCGAGTCTGCCGTCGTTCCGACTGACTCTATCTCGTATTGTTGAGACACTTCTTCCACAAAATGTCCATCTCTTCGCAAAGAGGCATGTTTTTTAGATGACAGTTTTTCGAGCTGTGTCTCATTAAGTTTCACGGGCAGAGGAGCAGCACCACTCTCTGACGATTCGTTCTCTGGGATTTCCTTCTTTATTTCAGTCAACTTCAAGACAACTGTACTCTGCACACCAACTGTCTTATTTCCTTGTATCTGAGACGTCTGAGTGGATGATCCTTTTAATACTGAAGATTCTTCTGCATTTGAAGCTGGGGGCAGTTTAGCATCAGTTACTGGACGGCTTTCATCAGGACAGGGTGTAGCGTCCCGGTTCCCAAGATCACGCGACATCGATCGGAACGGGTAACGACTCTTGGCCACGGGAGAAAAAGCGTCTGAGGACTCAGACAGGCTCTCGACTTTCGAAATCTTCAACATGGAGATGAAAAGACTATTGGGCAGTGGGCTAGAATCCGGCGCACCACCGCTGCCGCTGCTGCACGGTTCGGACTCCACACACCACTGTACCAATCCATCGGAGAAATCTCCCTCGTTCTTTGGCGTGGAGCAGGGGACGCCCATTACTGTCGACGTTTGCCGGATACTACTGGAGGCAATGTCTGTACTACCTGTAGCGGTGGTGTACAGAGCGTCGCATGCAGGAAGACTGACAGGCAAGGGAAGGGGAAATCCCTTACATGTAGTCCCCAGAGGTTCAGCAAGTGCAAGAGTTTCAGTCAGATTAGAAGCACTGAGCTCGAAGAGGGCGCTTGCACTGTCAATAATTTCAGGTACAACTGGAAGTGTCTTTGGAGTTTGGGATTTCAAGAGGGGTTGGTGGTGGTGGCGGTTCTAGGCCGCCCACAAGACCCATTCCTTCCGATGCCGGTGTGTCTTCAGACCCGATACCGGAGAGCATGGGGTCTCGGGATGAGACCAGTGGAGTGGGACCGGGGACCCCACTCTCGCTGGCGGTATCGGTGTCTGTCAGAAACTCGACATCAATCGGAGGAATGGGAAGTGTGGCGGAGAACACCAGGCCTCCCTGGGACTTGGGCAAAGCCAAAGTATTGCTGCTGGACCATTGAGAGCTATCCAAGGTATTGGCTTCAGAGGTGTCTTTAGGAGCTTTGGTTCTGCTGGCATCAGTGCTTGTGATTGTGACTGCTGGGTTTGATAGGGAACTAAGAGTGCGAGCAGCTAGGGAAATCAGGGATGAAGGTGATGTTGTGTTTTGTGAAAGCTGGGGGTAGTGCATTCGGGGGAGGTGGTGGGGGAGTGAGTGGGGGAGGAGAGGAAGGAATAGGCGGAGCTAGGATAACTTTTTGTTTCCTCGTTTTTGAAGTATCAGAGTGTTCAGTGTCGAGTCGGTGCCAGCTGCGGTTTGGAACACGGACAGGCTGCTCCTTCTAGTGCGCTGTGACCTGGACATGCGCCGCTTACCTCTACCATGACAGGGGCCGTGGGCAGTACCAGACACTGGCACTGGAAAGATTTTTGGGGTAGATTTGTCGGACTGAATAGGCGATTCTTCTGCATCTGAAATAGTCTCGTAGGTAAGAGGTGTAAGTGAAGGCATTGGATGTACGTTCCTGTGTTCTTCTTCATCGCTACTTGTGACCATCTCCATCTCTTCTTCTCCCTTACTTCCGTCGCTGTCGATCTCCATGGAAACAGTCTCCTCGTCTGTGCCGTCGCTATGGTTACCAAACTCCATGTTGATGAGCAACTCGCGTTCCCTTATGAGAAGTTGCTGGGTGTCCTGGATGATGACGGCATGGCGACTGATGCTCTCTCGGGTGTATTGAACCTGGAAAAGTCAATAATCAAGTGTTGTATGCTATGAAAAAGCAAAAACCTTTTTCAGAGGTAGAATAATACACAACACTATTGTACTAGCACGGGGAAAAACTAGTTTCATTCATAAACGTGTGTCCTATGTTCGGTGGGTCTTTTTTCAGTGGCTTAACTGTACCCATACCTCAATCTGCAGCGTGGTCCTCCTATTCTTGCACTTGTCTCTACTGCTCCTGGCCAACTCCAGTTGCTTCACGAGGAGCTCTATTTTCAACTCATGTTCCTCAACTTCTGACTCGCACTCTGCCAGCGAGTTGGTCTCGGCTGCTAGCGTCTTAGTCCACCGCTCTGACTGAGACCTGCAGTGAGAAAAGGGTTAAAACATATTTGAAATGTCCGACAGAGTAACCGACCTGCAGCTTCTTATCTTTCCTTCAAGTTCGGCAATTGTCATCTCACATTTCTTCTTCCTCTTCTCAAACTTGTGTTTCTCTCTCTCTTGCTTCTCCTTCTTCTTCCTTTCCTCTTTCTCCTTTCTTCGCTGCTCTTCCCTTTTCTTCATCTCTATTCTTTTCTGCTCCTCCATTTTCTTTCGTTCTTCTTCTTCCTTCTTTCGCTGTTCTTGTTCATCTTTCTTCTGCTCATCTTCTTTTTTCTTGGCCAGCTGTTTGACACGAGCTACCGGAGCTACCGTTGAACTGTCCAGAGTAGGTGCTGATAAAGAGCGTTGGGGTTGGGTTTCTATCGATTTAAACTGTTCCGACTGAGGTACCACTTTGGCTTTCGTTGACGATCCAGCATTGAGCGGTCTTTTGCCTTTATCTTTAGCTGTTGAGAAAGACAAGATCGAAACAGTACCCAACCTCTCCAAGGACATTCTTGAAATGGGGACACCTCTTTAACAAGGACTTTTTCTCCCCCTGAAATAAGGACACCTCACTAATATGGACACTTTCTTCTGTCCCATTGGTGTCTGGATTAGAGGAGTTCCACTGCATTTTATGTATATACCTTTCACGGCCATTTCTTCCTCCCTCTGTTTCTTGGCGTAGAGAGCGAGCTTGGTCTTTAGTTCGAGGTACTCTCTCTGTCGTTGTAACGGGAGCATTCCCAGAGCCTCGAGGTCAACTCGAGGAGGGACAACCTCCGGAGATCGTCTGGTCTCTTCAACACAGAGTGGCAAGCGATCTGGTGAAGAGACAATCTTTTCTCTGCTCCTGGCTTTTGCCTGTGAGACAAGAGAACATTCGTCGCTTTTAAAATTGAAAATTGACAAAGAAAGAAATAACTACAGACCTCAGCTTCACGACGAAATGCTCCAAGAATAGAGTCAATCTCGTCCATGGTCGGCACTTGATGGGCACTTTTAACCCCTTCGCCACCAGTCTCACTTTCACTTTCGGTTCCCTCGCCGTCACTCTCGGCTAACTGGATGTGAAACTCTGGTATCTCCCATGTACCTTTACTTCGAGGGAGAATCTGAAGAATAAAAACACATAATACCATAACAACATATACTCTCCACACATCAGAATCAATGGTATATATACCTTTACTGATGAGGGTGGTCTAGCATCGTTCCCATGTCTCGGTGTTTCCGTTCCTGATCCACCAGAGTCGAGAGCAGCCGGAACCGGAGCAGGGGACCCACAGGAACTGGAGGGACTCCCCATTCCGGATCCAGAACCGGACTTGGTCGCCGTGACGACGGCAGACTTCCCCACCACAGACACTCTCCTACCTGACATTACCTGGGAATTGGGACCTCGAGACCTCCCAGCATGTTGCACTAATGGCTGCAGATGTGAAGACGAAGCGGATGATTGTGAAGACAGACAGTGTTTTAGTGATGATTTGGGGCTGTGTGATTCACCTGCTCTCTGCTCGGTTTTCGTTTTTTGAATTCCTTCTCTTCTTTCTAGGGGGGTTGGGGCAATGCAAGTTTCGGTCCTTTTGTCTTTCTCACTACACGTTTCTTCGGGCATTTTGTCCACACTCAAAGGTTCCTTGGGTTCCACATTGGCCAAGGACTTGCACAGTTCGCGTTCGGTTATTGCATATTCTTTTCCTTCGGTCTCGGCTTCTTCACTTACCTCAAGTGGAACCCTAGACACAACAGCCTCTGCTTTGGAATCGTTCCCTATCTCATCAGTCCCCTCTGTACTTGCAAGCTCGCTCTCAATCTTCTCATCTTTAGCGTGGCTTGCTTCTACTTTGGCACCTAAATTGTCATCTGTGAGAACTAAACTCTTCTTGGTTTCCAGTCTGCCTCTGCCTCCGTCGGTCAACATCGACAGGATTGCTTCCTTTCGCAGCTCCAGCACCTCCAAATCTTCATCGCTGCTTTCGCAACTGGCTTTGTCTGACATTCGATCGCAGCTCCTGCTGCCACGCATCCTCCTAGATCTACCATGTGTCTCCCCTCCGTCAGTTGTTCTACGCCGCTTCTCCCCATCACCGTACGGTCTGCCTCTCCCGGCCCTCCTGCCAGGGGAGAGAGAACGAGAGCGTCTGCGTCTTCGTCGCAGCACCATCTCCTCCGGAGAAGAACATCGCCTCCGACCTCTCCTCGAGGACCTGCGAACAGGTGAGGGCAATCGACTCTTAGATCTCCACTTTTCCGAGGATATGCTGAAAGGCCCACTCCTCCTCCTCGAGTGAACGTACCAGGACTCTCTAATAGGGGACCTAGTCCTCCAATGGCTATATGGATCTCTGTGAGGACCGGTGGGAAAATAACGGTTGCTCTTCCATTCAGGTTCGTTTCTAGAGACCCAATGCTTTCCGTAGCTGTTAGCATCAGTGAAACTGGTCTTTCCAGGGTCTTTGGAAGAATCTCGCTCTTCAGTTGGTTGACCACTGGAGGGTGAGGGAGGCGAAGAACTTACTATCTCGCCAGAACTAATGCTGACAGTTTCAATATCTTCCTCGGCAATTGCTTGTTCGGGCCCCTTCTCATCTTTGTTCTCTTCTTCTGTCTTAGTGTCCAAGTCATTTACGGGTGATACTGTCTTATTGTCACAGTGATCCTTGAGTAATGTAGCAAGAGGCTGGTTGGCATCAGCAGTACTTTCAGCATCGTCAATATCCTCTCGTCTATTTAGTGTCCCCTTTTCTGTTTCGACGACTTCATGAGCTGTACATGCAGTACCATTGGTAGTCATTGGTTCAAGATTTTCCGCTTCCGTTTCTTCAACAAGCTCCGCAAGTATTGGAGCATCTGCTCTGACAGGTCCACAAAACGACGATTCACTTTCCTCCAGTGATGGTACCACTGTTGCTGTATTGGTAACAGTAGTAGGAGATGGTGTTGCTGGTTGGCTTGTTTCTAAGGATGTGTTAGGCGTAGAGATAGGCCGTGGAACAGTAGTTTGAACGTCTTGAAATCTACTACTTGACTCTGAAATGGGGGAACACATTACCAATACTGATGGCGGCACTTCTTTTTTCATTTCTTGTCCGTTTTCTTCCTTGTGTTGGCTGCTTCGCCACTCTACCTCCTCTTCTCTTTCCGTAAGTAGATGGGAGTCTGGTGAGACGATCGGGGGATGTTCTACTGGAGTAGTCACTGTATCTTCTACTGTCAATTTATCACTCGCCACATCAGCACACTCAACTATAGGAAGCGGCGTGGATTTTGACTTTTCAGTTGCATCATCATAGGTGGTTTCGGCTTGTTCAGGTGAGTGATGTGCAACTGTTGTTTCCATCTCACTCTCTGTCTCATCCACTATTACCACTTCCTGGTCAGTTTCTAAGGTACGTTTTCTTGTAGTCTCAATCTCATTAGGTTCTGCTGCCGTTAGTATGTCCTTGCACGTATGTACCTCACTTGGAGTTGTAATAGCTGTTGCTAAGTCCGGATTGGAAGTTGGCTCATTTTTAGCAGGAGACTCTACTGAAATTGGGTCACAACTTTGGATGGGTTTCGGATTACCTTCCTTGTTTGGAGGAGGAAGATAAGAGGAGGTACTGGTGTCTAAGTCGATGACAAGATCCTCACACTCGCTATCAGTCAACTCTCCCTCTTCCATCTCCCTCTCGGCCTTAACAACCACAGTGGCCACACCTACCTTCACTCGAGGGTTAGACTGTCCGTCTTTCGTGTCAACCGGCAAACCTACACTACTCTTGTCTGCTGCTTTGTTTCGTGGCTGTTCACTAGCAGCTTTCATAGCTTTCCCTTTCGATACACTGTGTGTACTTTGCCTGTTAGAAGTCCTCCTTTTCGCCATCTGCCCTTCATCACTGCTAGCATCCTTATACCCTATCGTAGGCATTGGAGCACTATAAGAAGAGCTAACGGAACTCTTTCTACTCGGTTGTTTCGCCGCTGGTCCACCTTTCACGCTGGACAATTTGTGCTTCTTTGCTGGCGGTGTCACTACTTTCTGTTTCAGTATCGTCGGTATAGACTCCCCAACAATCTCCTCTGGCGCGGGAACTCTACCTGACTTCCTTCTTGATCTTCTCGTTCTTTTATGTGATAATCTCCCCGTTTCATCTGCCAGTGACGTCGAAGTCAACTCACTTTTTCTATCTATATTTGAGGCGGCATCACACGGTCGTGTTGTCAGTTTCGAAGAAAACTCGTTGCTTGCATCGCTAGGGTTGACATTTTGCGGGGTAGTTGAAAACGAAGCTCTCACGTCAAATTTCATGTTGCTGGCTGAAGAAAATGTACGATGAACGAAGCTTTCCTTGTCACTCTGAAAATCTCCACCGATGCTAGTTTCATTGGAATCAGAAAAGTGGAGTTGGGAATTTGCAGCATCGTCTATCACCATGTAGCAGTTGGCTGAAGTAGTACCACCATCACTAGAATCCCGAGACATTGGAAATTCATGGAAACGGCCAATTTGAGGAGAGCTCTCCGCGACGTTGGAATAGGTAGATGAACGGAAGCCGACGTCGTCAGGCTTGAACGAAGACAATTTGTTTGAGGCTTGATGAGTTTGGGAGTTGGCCTCTGAATAGTCACCATGAGTCTCAGATAGGTACATTGGTTCTGTTCTCAAGGACTCGGGCTCCAAAGGAGGTATCTCAGAGCCTAGATGAAAGCTAACGTCCTCGGAGCCAAAGCTCTGTTCAGGGCCTAGTCGGGAATACAGGAACTGAGACCGCAGCGAGTCACTGACAGGAGGGTTATCGTATCTAAAAGGCGAGGGAGCAGTGTTGGAATAGAGAGGTGAGTCAAAACGCTCCTCTGGGCCTAGTCGCGAATGGACACTGCTGTCTATTGCACGAGTATCGACAAACTCTCCTTCAGATGATGTTCCGACCATTGAGAGAGAGTTTCGGGAACTGTTCAGGTGTTCATCTGCTGGTATCAGTTGAGATCGGGCGTGTTCATAAGAGAGGGGTTCGGAAATTTCAAGCCCTCCTGGTAGAGTGGAAGAACTGAGGGGGTCATCAATATCCCTGGACCCCAGACGAGAACGAACTCGTTCAGAAGGAAGGGGGTCCAAAATTTCAAGCCCCCCAGAAGAACTGAGATGGTCGGTGTTGATTTCCAGACGAGAATGAACACGGGGGTCGGAAATTTTATGTCCCCCTGACAACGCAGAAGTAGTGAGCCGGTCAGTTTCAATATCGCTGGACCCCAGACGAGAATGTAGATGTTCAGAAGCAGGGGGGTCTACAATATCAAGTCCCCCTGATACTAAATCAGAGCTGAGGGGACGGGTGCTCAAATGAGAACGAACATGATCAGACAAGAGGGGGTCGGAAATTATTTCAAGTCCCCCTGAGAGTGTACAAGAACTGAGGGGGTTGTTAATATCGTTGGACCCCATACGAGAATGAAGGCGCTCAGACGAGAGGGGGTCCGAAATTTCAAGCCTCCCTGATAACAGAGATGAACTGAGGGGGTCGGTGCCAATTTCTTTGGGCCCTAGACGATAGTGAATACGCTCAGAAGGAAGGGGGTCTGAAATTTCAAGCCCCCCTGACAGCGCAGAGGAGGTGAGGGGGTTGGTGTTTGGCCCAAGTCGTGAGTGAACACTAGTAGACGGAGGGAACGCATTAGACACCTCGAAAAGTGAACGAGAGGAAGGAGAAGAAAAGTTGATTTCTTCGAGCCCAAGACGACAATGCACACTAGTTGAAGATCCGCGAGAACTGTTGAGATTTTCCTCTGGCGGACCCAGCCTAAACTGAACACCATCAGAGGAGGTTAGTTTGTTCTCAGTTTCCAAACCGGGACCAGAGTGAATGCTGTCCCTCGAAGGAGCAGGGTGTTCTTCGGGTCCGAGACGAGAATAAACTCCAGCTGCACCTTTCTTTCGTGGCCCCAGACGGTTCTGAACGGAGCCACTCCCTGGAATATGAGGACCGAGGCGCTCACTGATAGCCATCGGACTTAGCTGCCTTCCCTTGTTGTGATTATCAGCAACCACGCGATTCCTTTGATTCACCTTTCTATTATGAAACCTTTTTTTTGGACTTTTCTTGACCAGAGGTAGGTTTGTCTCCATCCTCTTGGCACTCTCCTTGAACCTATCGCCTGACTTTGACTCTCTCTTGACTGACGACGGACGATGCGGGGATTTCGAAAATATTCTCGGCGATATGGAGGAGACGCTCCCTTGCCCCAGTGGAGACTTTGAAACAGTTTGAGTCAACGCCACAGGGATGCTACCCTGTCCCAGAGGTGTTGATCTCCCCCCACGCCCTCTTCCTCTCCCGCCTCGTTCTCTCCCCTTTTTCTTCCGGGGATGTGGTCTCTGGTGTTGGGGGTGCTTTTCTCGATTTCCCCTCGGATTTTCTCTACGACCCAATGAGGTCTCTGGGCCTAAGACTTGGGGGTAGTGCCCTGACATAGGTTCCCCGTGTATTGCCAAGCCGGCATCCGTGCTGAAATCAACGTTGTCGAAACTATATTGTGGGGGAAAGTTGGTTGTTATTTGTTGTTCGGTTTGCCTGTGATTCCAATCAAGTCTGTACGTTTCCCTGCCCATACCACCAGATTCCACGCTTCTTGCTTCTCTCAATCCATCGCCAGGCCATTGATGCTGTGCTTGACCCAGAAACCTGTCTCCGGTACTCGTTTCACGGCCCCAAGACCTGCTATCAAAACCGGTATGACCGGTTTGGTGAGCGACTTCTCCTCCTCCAATCGGTCCCCTGACCTGCATCAGAGGCTGAGGTTCTCTCCCAACGACCGAAAAGCCTGAATTGTCCCATTGGACATCGTTATGAAACGACTCCTGTAATCTAGGGGAACCAGATAAGTGGGGGTTGTACCCAGCAAGCGGCTCTTCCCTAGAATTGTAAAAGTTCTGGTGCTGCTCGTGGTACCTTTCTCTGGGGAAAGTTTGGGGTCTATGCAAATGTATATCTAAGAACATGTAGTTAAAGAAAACTAACTCTACAGGGTATAGTAAAAGGGCAGTTTTGCAAGCAGGAGTGAGCCTAGAAAACATGCATGATCTACATATGAAGGTTGCTTCGTTCCTGTTGCAATGCCCACACATCCTTAGCAGTACTTAAACATCTGCCATAGGGCAGCACTGGCTGTAAGAAGTGATGACATCAGCTCTTTATAGAGACATGTGTAGCACTCCACACACACACACACACACACACACACACACAACGAAAAAATGAGAGAAAAATGGAGAAGTAGAAGGAGGTGAGAGAAGGATACCAGACTCCTGGTGAAATCGATCACCACTCCAACAGTTGCCGTCTTCCCCAAGACCCACCTGATCTCTACCATCTCTGAACAAAGGCACCGGTGGAAGTACAGGCGTTTCCACGGGGAAGCCTGAGCCGTAGGAAGACGAGTGAGCATTGTGAGGCTCCGGGAAAGAGAAAGGAGCCCTCTCTTGTCGGTGGCCTCGACCACGTGATGGTCGCGGGTTCTGGAAAGATGACCCTCCAGAATTATAGCGATTGGAAGCAGCTGGCGCGGGTGCCTGCAGCTGGTACCGACTATGGTGCTGCTGAACGGCGGGTCCGTAGCGCCTGTTGTAATGCTCTTCCGCCAGGCGGTAGGCCATCACGAAAACCAGCTGACACGCGCGCAAAAGAGGATCGCGGGTACGTCGTCGCCACTACACGTACGCCGATTGCACTATAGCAACTTACATACGAAGAATCAGCTACCACATCACGCACGTCCACCGCTTAACAAAGGCACTATCCAGCCAGTTTTCACCGCGACAAGACACCTTCCTCCCCGTCGTTGTCATGTATGTGTGCCGGCTTCACTCGTGGTGTGACGTCATTAAGAAAATATTGAACCATGTTTTCGGATAATTAGAACAGTTTCAACTTTCAAACAGTCCCTCTGCGCTGCCGACCACAGCAACCACAAACGAAGAAGCGAAGTCCAGAGAGTAGCCGAGCGAGTCTCTCCACCGGTACAACGGCGTGGAGATGGAAAAACTCATCCCGGTCATCAACAAGCTACAGGACGTGTTCAACACCGTGGGCCGGGAGAGTATTCAATTGCCACAGATAGCCGTCGTGGGCACGCAGAGCACGGGAAAGAGCTCCGTCCTCGAAAACCTGGTCGGTAGGGACTTCTTGCCGCGCGGTGCCGGAATAGTCACCCGTCGTCCGCTAGTTCTCCAATTAGTGCACATCAACGCCGAGGACTCCGAGTCGCAGTGGGGCTGGGGGAAGTTTCTCCACACGGCCGAGAGAAAGTTTTTCGATTTCGCGGAGATTCGCGACGAAATTGCGAGCGAGACGGAAAAAGTGGCCGGGGCTAACAGGGGCATAAGCTCTGACCCAATCCGCCTGCGAATTTTCTCCCCCCACGTCCTTAATTTAACCCTCATCGATCTCCCGGGCATCACTCGTGTTCCCGTGGGCGACCAACCCGAGGACATCGAGAAGCGAATACGGGAGATGATCGAGCAGTACATATCCAACCCCAAATGCATCATTCTCGCCGTGCACGCCGCAAACACCGACCTGGCGACTTCGGAAGCCCTGAAACTCGCCCGTGAAATCGATCCCGAGGGAAAGCGGACGCTGGCCGTCTGCACAAAACTCGATATCATGGACGAAGGGACGGACGCAGTGGATCTCCTAACGGGGAAGATCATTCCCGTGAAGCTCGGTATCATCGGTGTCGTGAATCGCAGCCAACAAGACATCATTGATTGCAAGTCGATTGAGGAGGCGCTCCGTGACGAGGAGGTGTTTCTACGGCAACACTACCCAGTTCTCGCGGGGAGAAATGGGTCCAAGTACCTGGCGCAGACGCTGAATCGTCTTCTGATGCAGCACATCCGTGACACGCTCCCCGTTCTGAGACACGAAATCAGCTCCAAGCTGTCGATTTACGAGTCCCAACTCCAAGAATTGGGCGAACCGATCAAGGAAAAGGGGCCGGCGTTGCTCCAGGTTCTCACAAAGTTTGCCTCGAACTACTGCCACAAGATCGAGGGCACCTCGAGAGATATCGAGACGCATCAACTGTCTGGTGGTGCCCGGATCTGCTACATTTTCCATCACATATTCTCCGAGACTCTCGGCACCATAGCGCCCCTCGAGGGGCTGCAACGCTCCGATATTCTACACGCCATTAGCAACGCAATGGGCCCGCGGCCTGCACTGTTTGTCTCGGAAATGGCGTTCGAATTGTTGGTCAAGCGACAGATCCGCCTGCTTCTCCAGCCCAGTCTACAATGCGTGGAGCTCGTGTACGAAGAGCTGCAGAGAATCATACAGTATTGTCTGTCGCACATTCGGGAGTTTCAGCGGTTTCCGACTCTCCGCGAACAGATGAACACAGTGGTGATGGGGTTACTGCGCGAGCGTCTCCCACTGACCAATCAGATGGTTGAGAATCTGATTCGAATCGAGCTCGCTTACATCAACACGAACCACCCTGACTTTGTTGGTGGAACACGTGCAGCGTACGAGGCTTACATGGTGGCACAGACAGTAAAAGTGGGGGGCAGTGGAGTTGTTGAGCCTCACGCAACAGGTAGCAAAACCGGTTTGCAAGTTGACGTACCATCAGCTCAACCCGGTTTTCAGCGAAATCTGTCGTCTTTGTCTGGACCCCAGGGAAAAGGCTGGCTGTCTTCGATGCTCTCTGGGAGAACAACCAAGACAAGCGAGAGCGGATCCTCTACAGACGCAGCTGCCCCTGTCGTCGAGGGGTTAAATGACTTATCGATGGACAGGATTGACCTTCGTTATTTGGCAGACACGCAGCCTGGCGCCGCAATAAACCGACAACAATTTGACTGCGAATTGATCGAGAAACTCATCCGCTCGTACTTTGTCATCGTTCGGCAGAGCATCCAGGACAGCGTCCCAAAAGCCGTCATGCACTGCCTCGTGAATTTCGTTAAGGACGACTTGCAGCACCGGCTGGTGAGCGAACTCTACCGCATAGAGTCGTACGATGCGCTCATGGACGAATCGGAGGAGATCTTCACACGGCGGAGAGAGATCGGCGAGATGGTGAAGGCACTTCAGAAGGCTGCGGAGATCCTCAGCGAAATTCGCGATTTGCAGTTCGAGTCGAAGTACGTCGGCTTCTCCGACTATGAGTACTAGCCATGTTTATTTCTACGTAGCTTATGTGTATTTATATGTCTTAGCTCTTTGTAAATAGACCACATCATCCAATTTTAATTTTCGGTAACATTCGAGCGGCGCACAAATCAACTGCGCATGCGCACTATTTTCCGAGCGAATAAGCGGTTCAAAGGTCGAGTTTTGTCCACGCTTACATGTACATGGCTTTGTAAAGCGCATGGCCGGTGCTCGTCCTCTTCTAACGCACGGTGCTGCCGTATTCTGTGCAGCAGTAGCTGCATTGATCTACTTGAACACTCTCCAGTGCGGGATTTGCTATGACGACGAGCCGGCCATCAAGAAAAACAAGGATCTGCGGCCAGAACTGACGTCGTGGTTGGATCTCTTCAAGCATGACTTCTGGGGAGCCGACATTACGAGTAGCACCAGTCACAAGTCGTATCGTCCTCTGACGGTGGCCACTTTTCGGCTGAACTACATGCTGCACGAGCTGGAGCCGCTGGGCTACCACTTGGTGAACGTGCTCCTGCACAGTGCAGTGGTCTACCTGTACGTACTGCTGTGTGGTGTGGTCTTCAGTGAAGTGTGGCCGGCACTGATAGCTGGACTACTGTTTGCAGTCCACCCCATACACACTGAGGCAGTAGCGGGGCTGGTGGGTCGAACTGAACTTCTTTCCGGAATATTTTTCTGTCTTGCGTTTCTCGCCTACAGACAATCCTCGCTTCGTTACAAAACAAACGGTATCCCAATTTTTATTTTCCTGTTTGGAGCCAATGTCATTAAAATACAGTGGAAACTCTCAATAAAGGACACTCGTCTTTGCACCCTAATACTGAATTATGATCGTCAAGAAATTGTGCCGTATTCAGAGGTTTCAACTTATTCTGATGTGTCTGTTGTAGGGAAGTGGTGGTTGGGAGTCGCGGTGCTGTTCATCCTCTGTTCGTTCCTCTCCAAGGAGCAAGGGATCACCGTTGTTGCAGTCTGCGTCGTTTACGATGCCTTCTGTATTCAAAAGGTGTCCACAAATAGCATATTACATTGATATTGCGTGCCTGAGCTTATTTTCGTCTCTAGGAGACATGTATGTACTCTATGTGGTGATGTCATGAACATTAGTTGCTTACACAATGGGATTGCTGCATTTTAGATGTTGCCATAGTTTCCTTATCTGCATGTATAATGTGTACCTAAAGTACCATAATTTGGCTTGCTACATAATTATAATTATGTATGTACCTACAATTTGTCTGGGCCAGCCTTTTGTTAGTGCATCTTGTAAAATATATTTGTATGATGTTGGTTGGTGCAGCGTTATCGCGACATATATCGCCTTCCAGTTGGACCTATTCTCTGGGGTGAGGCTGCTCCGTTCACCGTCAGCCATTCCTCGTGGACTCCTCTGTCGCTCTCTGGTCCTGGCTGTCTCCACCCTCTCCTTCCTCATCGCCAGAGTCAGGCTAATGAAGGGGGGACCCGACATTTTCACAGTGTAATTGATTTTCACTTTCGCTATAGTGGAAACCTTGCACGCTGAAAAATTTCATACATTTTTACCCCACCAGTGACTAAAACAGAACATTTCTGTGATGACCTTATAGTTTAGTTCTATCTTTAGTAACATTTCTAAATTTAGCATCAGTCTAGTTTCTCACTATAATGTGTCATTATTTCACTGCTATTTTCAACTGTTGCAGAAATATTAACCCTCCACTGGCACTGGATGCTCCGTATCGGCAGCTGAGCTGGTCCTATCTCATCTTCGTCAACTCGTGGCTTCTCCTTAATCCTTACAGCCTCTGTGCAGACTGGAGATTCGGGGCTGTCCCTCTCATCAAATCTCTAATCGATCCTCATAACTTGCTAACTCTTGTGACATTCTCCACCATCGGTGTGTTAGGATGGCTGGCAGTGACGGGGAAAGGGAAAATCCACAAGCTTCTCGTTTTAGCTCTCGCACTTTTGGTCCTCCCCTACCTCCCAGCCTCCAACCTCTTCTTCCCTGTGGGCTTTGTAGTGGCTGAGAGAGTCCTCTACCTACCTAGTATGGGACAGTGCTTTCTCGTTGCACTGGGGGGTTTCGCAATTTCGAGAAAAATTCGCGGGACGAAACTAATCCTGAGCATCGTTTTTCTCGTTCTAGCAACTCTTCACGGATTGAAGACATTTCAACGTAATTTTGATTGGCAGACGAATTTTCACGTCTACTCGTCAGGGATGAAAGTCAACCCAACAAACGGCGTCTTGCTCACGAATCTGGGGATCGAATACGCCGGCATGCACAATTTCACGTATGCAGAGACTCTGTACAGGAAGGCTATAGAAGTGTCTCCAGATCACTCGAAGGGCTACGGAAATCTCGGAGGGTTGCTCGAGGCTCTGGGGCAAGACGAAGAGGCCGAGGAGGTAAATTACGCAGCAAATTTACAATGAGACCAAAAAAAGAAAGCTCCATGTCAACAAAATCAAAGTTGTATATATATACGCCATAATTTTCTAAATGAAATCGTGGTTATTGTTTTACTCATAGATTTTATACTTTTTGCTCTGCATAATGATTCCTGTTGTTTCGTTTGCAGAGTTTGATGAAAGCTATAAGTTTCGGAACGTCTGACGACACGCTAGCGAAACTCATCGAAACGTACGAATTCCTCATAAAGACGGTGCTCATGAAGAACGAGAGCAAACTGCCCAGAGCCTTGACAGTTTTGGACGACGCCCTCAGGCATTATCCGGGTGTGGTAACACTTCATTCTCTGAGGGCTAACGTGCTCACGCGACTAGGACGATTATCCGAGGCCCTCGCAGCTTTGCAAACTGCGTCAAACGCTCCCCGAGTGATGGCCATTGTCTACTTCAACCTCGGTCTGGTGTACGGAGAGCAGGGAGACGCGAAGAGGGCAGACGAGGCGTTCAGGAACGCGATCGCCGGGAAGCCAGACTACTACGAGGCTATGATGGAACTGGGACGGCTGAGGTACTGGAACGGAATAGGGGACCTGATGCAGGCTGAAAACATGTGAGTTTAGACTCAACTACAAGACTCATGCCCTTGAAAATCAGCATACATAAGCGTACATGTAGTCCCTTGCTTAACACGTAAAGGTTTGCAGAAATGCTTTAGTTTTCGTAAGCTGAACACTGGCACAGATAGTTTAGATCCTTACTCGGTAGTCGCTGTTTAACGTTAAGTATTTGTTATTTTCAGGATGAGAGAGGCTTATAACAAGCTCCCAAAGAGTTTTCTGGCGCCATTTTATCTGGGAGAAGTGTTTGTTCACCGGAAGAAGTACCCCGAAGGGAAGAAGCTGCTAATGAAAGGAAACAGTCGGTCAAAGGGCACCTACAGACACATGCTCTACCGGCTGGGTGAGCTCCATTTGGAACTGAATGAGTATACGTCCGCTGTCAGTGTTTTGGAGAAAGTTGCAAAGCTTGATCCACAGTATAGGGACATTCAGAGTCTGTTGCAGAAAGCTAGGAAACAATCTAGGAGGTAATACTTATGTAGCATGAATCATGAATCAACTCAACTGGTGATCGTGTGAAGAGTGCGCATGCGCGTGCAGAGGGATTTTCCAAAGAGTGCGCACCATCGTGGAGCTAGAACTAGAGGCAGGAGAAGAAATGCCGGCGCTGGAGAGCCGGACGACGGGCGTGCATATCTCTGCAGTGCTGTGCGCACTAGTGGCAGTGGCCGTGTTCTACAACAGCCTGCAGTGCGGCCTCGTCTTTGACGACGAGTCCGCCATCAAGAAGAACAAGGACCTGCGACCCGAACTGCGGCCGTGGTGGGACCTCTTGAAGCACGACTTCTGGGGCGCCACGCTCACCCACAAGGACAGCCACAAGTCGTATCGTCCTCTGACGGTGGCCACTTTTCGGCTGAACTACATGCTGCACGAGCTGGAGCCGCTGGGCTACCACTTGGTGAACGTGCTCCTGCACAGTGCAGTGGTCTACCTGTACGTACTGCTGTGTGGTGTGGTGTTCAGTGAAGTGTGGCCGGCACTGATAGCTGGACTACTGTTTGCAGTCCACCCCATACACACTGAGGCGGTAAGCAAACCAATACTCTTTGACTGCAAAAACCTGAGAATAATTATTATGCAGGTAGCAAGTGTGGTTGGACGAGCTGAAACATTATCAGCTATATTTTTCCTTTCAGCTTTTTTTGCATTCCGCCTGTCAGCCACCCCTCGCTCAAAAGGTATAGCATTCGGGATCGTGACAGTCCCAGTTTTCTAAACCCGTTTGACTGATTTTCTGTACAGGTTTGACCGGTTGGTACTGGCTGGGTGTGTGTCTGGTGTCAACTGCTTGCTCCGTATTGAGCAAGGAGCAGGGATTGACCGTGATGGCCGTTTGCGTCATCTACGACTTCTTCTGCTTGCAGAAGGTAGCTGTGTATATACCGCAAAACAGAAATCATTGAAAATTTTGCATTTCGGGATAGAATTGTATCATACAACAAAGCTGCTCGTTGTGTTTTTATTAACTATTCCTCTCTTTCTCACTTTCGATTTCAGATGGATCTAAACTTGCTGCTAAAGTCGTTCCCGCATTCGCTCTCACTTCCGACATCGTTTCTGAAGAGAACCGCTGTTCTTACCGCGTTCACGATTGTTGCCGTGGTGATGCGGTTCAGGATTATGGGGGGAGCCCCTAAAGTATTTGATAAGTGAGTTATGAACCCATGTACATTATAAAAATTATATACCCACTTATTATAAAGGTTCATTTTGCGTCCTCTAGCAATTAGTACATACAAGTGCTTTGCTTATTTTCTTTGCTAAGTATGGTGTAGTGGTTGTGTTATCGTTTACTAATGTGCGATGGTTGCATCAACGTGCAATAAATAACTATTTGAATTTCTTGTTCGGTTGTGTTTTTTATGTCGACTTGTTTCATATTCAGGCAAATCAACCCACCGGTGGGGCTGGACACTCCATACAGACAGCTCAGTTGGCTCTACCTCACATTCGTAAACTCCTGGCTACTTCTCAATCCTTACAACCTCTGTGCCGACTGGAGATTCGGGACTGCCCCTCTCATCACATCACTAATGGATCCTCACAATCTCCTCACCGTGTTGACGCTTGCTGCCGTTGTATACGCTGGTTTGTTTTCAGTTTCAGGGTCGAGTCGAGGGCACAAGGTTGCGGTGTTCTCCCTCTCTCTCCTCGTCCTCCCCTACCTCCCAGCCTCCAACCTCTTCTTCCCCGTGGGCTTTGTAGTGGCTGAGAGAGTCCTCTACCTACCTAGTATGGGCTTCTGCATGATGGTCGGCTTCGGGGCACATCGTATTTTCAAATCCATCAATTCTTCCGCGCTGCGCGGGATTTTCTCGTTTCTTATCGTCGGTGTTTTATCGGTGCACTCGCTCAAAACCGGTTTGAGAAACCGGGACTGGATCTCAGAACACTCGATTTACGCGTCTGCCGTTCGAATCAACCCAAACCACGGTCCAATGCTGACTAATTTAGGAGCCGTGTACGTCGTGAATAAGGACCTAAAGAACTATACGATGGCCGAGATTTTGTTCAAGCGCTGCGTCGATATTCTACCAGAGTACCCGCGAGGTCTGTCTAACTATGCCGGGCTACTGGATGCCACCAAGAGGAGGAGACAAGCACAGAAGGTGACGTGTACCATAGCAACCGGAAATATTTGCAGCTGTGGTTGGAAAAAAGAATTAATCCATTGGGCTTGGGTGTGTTGTTTAGCTCTTCAGTGGGTGTGTCTAAACGTCATATAGAAAAGGTTGTTGTTTGTTCCCTCTTTACAAAGCACTCCGTCCATAATCAGAAAGTCATTTCTTATCTGTTGACTTAGTATTGCATGTGTGTGTTCCAGCTCTCCTTTCACTTTCAGCATCATCGCTCGTTTCCAATGTGCTTTTCTCTCTCTCTCTCTCTCTCTCTCTCTCTCTCTCTCTCTCTCTCTCTCTCTCTCTCTCTCTCTCTCTCTCTCTCTCTCTCTCTCTCTCGTGTGTGTGTGTGTGTGTGTCTGACCGTGTGTGTGTGCAGGTAATGCGACAGGCCATTGAAATGGGTCTGCAACACACGGCGATGAACCAACTGGAAAACATCTACCACCTCCTGAGAATGTTCCAGAAGGACACCGGGAGAGAAGAAGACGAACTGGAGCTCTGCGACTTTGCTCTCAGACACTACCCCGCAACCGCACACCTCTTCTTCCATCGAGGGAGGATCCTGAAGCGAATGAATCGAACCAGCGAGGCAGTTTCTGACTTGGAGATTGCGGTGCAGACACCGATATTCCTACCCGATATCAACCACCACTTGGGTTTGACGTACGTGGCGGCTGGGTTGCCGGGGAAGGCAGAGCGCTCGTTCCGAGCGGAATTGGCGGGAAACCCGGGGAGCGTCGACAGTCTGTTGCAGCTGGGAGTGGTCCTGGTGAAGACTGGGACGGGGGACCACGGGAGGCTGAGGGAAGCACAGAAGTAGTGAGTTTCACATCTTCTCTTCCCAAATCCCAAACATTCACTCCCCTCCTTGTCTGTCTGTCCGCAATTTTTTTCCTCAACAAGCTTCCCACTCTGGAATCATACACTCTATCCTCCCTCCCTCCCCCTCCCCTCACAGCCTGCAACAAGTACTCTCGGTTCAGCCAAGGAACAGAGAAGCCCTGTTCCACCAAGCCCTCGCGTACTACCATCTCCAAAACTTGCAAAAATCTGAGGAATTCTTCCTAAATCTCCTGCAGCTGTCACCAACCGACAGAGAAGGCCTGTACTATCTCGGACTGGTGTACTACAAGGCACAGAAGTACGAGAAAGCAGTCGACGTTTGGAAGAAGTTGGACCGGAATTACAGGGATGTTGACACTCAGTTGAAATTGGCCAAGAAACACTCAAAATGAAACAGTTCTAGTTAAGGTACCCCAACCCCCACGATGTGCGAGCAAATCAATTCAACAATCATTTTCACTTTGTCACTGTTTTGTAAAAACCTAAGATTTCTGGTAATTGAAACAATATTTTACAGATTTATAACACTGCGAGTTTTTTTCGATAGCTGTCAACCATTTCTGCAAACCTTTCTTCTTCTCTCGTCTCCCTTCCTCTCTTCCTTGCCTTTCGTAATAGAAAACAGAGTTTCAAGATCGTTGCAAAATCATTTCTGATCTACCCCTAAAACTTCTAGAGAATTCCTCAAAATAAATACTTACGTTTCTCGATTGTTTCTTGGAAAGTTTAACCCTTTTCCCACCACCAGCAGCGACTGCGTGAGTTTTGTCAGTCAATTCTGCAACACCGCGACTCCTTTTCCTCACCAGAGGCTCGACGCTGTTCTGAACCCCGACGACCGCAAGTGCTCCACTCTCTCCATTCACACCTTCCACGGTCCCATTTGCCACCTTCCCCCCTTTTTGACGATTTAGTCTTCCACCAGTGCTCTTTGTAACAGGCTTTAGCCTATTGCTTCTACCATCGCCATCATTTCTTGGGTTCGAGATTGTGCGATTGTCTTCGTCGACTTTCTGCTGCTTTGTCTCTCTCCGTCTCAGCCTCTTCTCCTTACACCTCAATTGCCACTCGACTTTCTTGCTCTTTCTCTTCTCCCCCTCTCCCCCCTCGTTCCCCTGCCCCCCTGCCACGGAATTCTGGCCCCCTGTGTGCCCCCCAACAGCTCTCTCCCCCTGTCGCTTCTTTCTGTCCTCCCTGACCCTCATCACCCTCACATCTTCAACTGCAAATTCCACTATCAACCGCTGAAAAAAATCATAATTTTGAGTTACTTTTTTAGCTTTCTGACAGAGAAAGTCTAAATTATGAAAATAGAAACTAATGTACGTGCATGTGCCGCGTCAAAGCAACTGTATCGTCATGACAACGATAAACAAACAGCATTCTACCATTTTCAGTTTCTGGAACAGACATATATACCTTTCTGTTGGCAAACAGCGAAGGGTTGTTGTTGGTAGCTCTGAGGGCTGTCAGGGCGGTTTCGTGGGTCGAAAACTCGACAAATGCAAACCCCTTTGACCGACCAATTCCATTGGCGTCGACTCTGTCCTTTGACCTCAATATCTTGAGCTGTGGAGAGCGAGGAGAGAAGGACAGATAAGGTTTTTAAGGGGTGTGTGTGTTTATCCGCGTCTGTTCCCCATGACTGGTGAAGCAAAACCGGTTCTCTCTCTGCGAAAATTTCACCACTATATGCCACGGTACCATCCATACCTGTACAACCCTGCCAGAGTCTATAGCTGTATTGAAGATCTCCCTCAGCTCCGATTCCGTTGTCTGAGTCGGAAGATTTCTCACTGACAGCCTGAAAGAGAGAAACTATACAGTGAAACCAAAAAAGGGCCCTCTATACATAACTACATACCTCGTCCTTGAAACGTAGAAGTTGGGGTTCGACAACTTCGCTTTCTTTTCAGCTTGTGCCTAAAAAAATTCATCCCGAACCCAAGTTGAAAGTGGAAAAGTAAATATTATTAATACCTTCAGACGTTTTGCTAACTCTGCTGTTGTGAGGTTTTTAGCTGCTTCTGATCCAGACTGGACGTCTGAAGATGAGATAGTTGGTGACAAATACACAAATGAAACGAGACTCACTTCCTTCCTTGGCAAGAAAGAGGTTTCTTCTGTCCGTCTTCTCTGTCCCGCTCTCTTTCATCTTGTCCAGTTCTTGAGGAGACAGAGCCAGGGACACTTCTAGCTCCCGTCCGTGGTACAGTAGGACAGTTTCATTGGATTCAACAGACTCCATGCACTGCTGTACCGACGCCGGACTGAGAAACTGAACGAACGCCGAACCTAAAACAACAAAGAGATTGAACTGGTGGTGGAATCATTTGTGGTGGGAAAAATGAAGCCACACCCCCTGAAATGTGGAGGTCATTACGTAATTGCTACTAAATTTAGCTGTTTGAGCGGGAAAACAACACGTAAAAAGTCAACAGATAGTTATTTTTTTTACTGTTCCTGAAGTTGGTGGATTCCAACAGAGTCATTAGAAACCCGTACATTTCAGTCGACTATAGGTGGCTTTCTTTCACCGCTGATCACTCACCTCGACTGAGTCCTGTTGTCTTGTCCAGGACAATCCTGGCATAGCGAACTCTACCAAACTGAGTGAATAGATCCTTTAGTTCCTCCTCACTCGAATCAAGTGGCAGATTTCTGAGTTGGTGGAACCAGCGAGCGGCTCGTAAGGAGAGAGTGATGAGAAAGATGGTTACCTCACAAATATGGTAGTGCCTTTATGAACGTCAGGTCTGAATGGCTTTTTCGATGGATCATTTTCTTCTTCTCCCTCTTCACTTCCAGCCTCCATATCTTCTTCCTCTCCCTCCTCCTCTTCTTCCTCTCCCTCTCCCTCTCCCTCCTCCTCTCCTTCCTCTCCCTCCTCTCCCTCATTCCCATCTTCCTCTCTCTCTTCCTCCACCCCCTCCTCCTCTTCTCCCTCCACCTCCTCCTCCTCCTCTTTCCGTGTCCCCAAAGATTGAAGCGAGACCTCATACGTTGTCTTTGGAACCACCCAGTCAACCGCCACCGGTCTCCCCTTTACCTCAACCCCATTAACACCTACACAGTGGACAGTTTTACCCAAACAAGCGGCTAGTTCAAATTACGATAATAGAGCCTATATACGACAAACCTTCAACAGCTCTTGCAGCCTCAAAGTAGGAAGCGAACTGAACAAACGCGAAGCCCCTCATGTATCCGTTGGGTTTCCGTGGAATGTGCACGGCTCGTACGTCGCCATAGCGACCAAACACATTACAGAGGTCTTTTGGCGTGACCGTGAAACTAATGTTTCTGACGATAAGACGGGACTTGGCGAGGGTCGCCTTGGAAACCGTTTTACCTTCTCTTGTCATCAGGGCAGCTACTAAAGGGTTATCGCTCTCGCTCAACTTTAACCTTTTCAGTCCTGCGACAGCTTTACGTGCATCGGCATAGTTGACGTACGTCACGTGGGCTTTTGATCCGTTAACCCCTTCAACACTGTCCCCTTCCGCGGTTGCCACGGGATACACAAACTCTTCGAGCGGTCCGTACTTGGAACACTTCTTGCGCAATTTTCCCTTTGGGAGACGAGGAGGCACCTCAGTTACCACGACAACACGACCAGCATCAAACCTGCAAGAAAACACACTCAATCAGTGGTCTAAATGATGAAACATCGTTTCCTTCTACCTGGCCTCTCTTCTTTCTGACTTTGGTTTATTTTGCCTGGAAACAGACGAGCTGGCGTTTGTCTCGCCATCGGTCATTAGGTCTTCGTCATAATCACTCCCTCCTTCTTCTGAATCCTCACTTTCACTTTCGACGACATCACTGGAGACAAGGGAACAGATAGGAGAATCAATATTGTGTACAAAGAACATATTGTACAAGAGTTTGAATATCTCAGCAACTATGACGTGTGCAGTCAAAGAATATCTTACTCTATCAGATCTGTTTCAGCTGCAATTATTGCCGCTTTCTCTTCCGCCTTCTCGCCACATTTTCCCCTGCGTTCCTCACGAACCGGCCTCTTATCAGCAAACACAATCTGAACCAGCCGACCTTTGACCTTTCTGACCCCACTCTTTGCCCTCTTGGCATCATCCCTACATGTGGTAGAATTGCCACGACAACCAACATGTAGTTACACCGTGACCACGGCAATTCACCTTTTCTCATACAGCACGTATCCATAGCCTTTACACTTGTCAGTAATGCCTGGATATAGAGTGGAGTACAACTGACAAATCATCGATTGGAGAAAATCTCAGTCGTATAGACACCTTTATCTTTGACAGTGAAACACGTCTTGACGGCGCCGTACTCGGCAAACACGGACGCGAGCTGGTCGTCCGTCGTAGAATACGGGAGATTACGGACGAACAGTGTCCTCCCTGCTTCGCTTCTTTCTCCCTCGCTCTTTCTTCTCTCTCTCCCTTTCTCCATATCCTAGCTCTCGCTTTCGCACCACGTGAGGTCAAAGGCCCCAACAGGTCAAATAAGAGTTCAAACATTCCGTCTACACTCGCGAGTACTGTGCGCAATACTTTGCACGCATGCGCAAAATATCTAGCGAGCGCCTTCTTCAAAACACACAAATAGTGTCGATCAATGAGTTTATGATGAGAAAAGCAAACACAGAATGAAAAAAAAACACAAACACAAGCGGGAAATGATAAATGGAGCTGATGGGATATAATACCATGATTTGTTTATAGTGTTCTTTGGTGAAGCAGTTCTCTCTCAGTCTTCTCTAAGTAAGCCTGTGTCCTTCTGTACCCGGGCTGCATCAGTGAGATCTTTGAAAACGTCTCTCTCGCCTGTTTGTAGTTCCCCTGCATGTAGTCCAGGACACCCAGCCTGTAGTGACTGTCAGTGTGGTTGGGCGACTGTTGAAGAATCTGGAGCAGGGTGTTCCGCGTCTTGGGAATGTCGTTCAGCTCGTAGTAAAGAGAAGCCAGGTTTACGAGAGCTTCCGTGTGGTAGGGCTCGGTCGAAAGTAACTTCATCCACCTGTAGTGTGGGGGGCAAGAGAGGGAGGAAGGGGATAAGAGTTCATGTTTGCATATCGCCGGATTCAAGTTGCCCCTTTATATGGCAATATTTCACCAACACCATGCATTGCAAGCATCGCTCCTCCATGCAAGACGATCCATTAAAAAACATATTTTATAGCGCACAAAGGAAATGGTATGATGATGTAATTACGATGTCATAGATTGCATATAGATCTCCTACGGGGCGTGAAATTACACTCACAATTCCAGAGCTTCTTGCAGTGTTTCCTGGCGTCCGTTTGCCGTGACCTGTAATATGCTTGCCAGATTGTACAAAACTTGCACGCTGTGTTCCTGCAGCGAGAGTGCTCTCCTGAAAACCACCGCTGCTTCCGGCAGCTGGTTCAACTTCATGTGGACCAGGCCCAGGTTATACAGTGCCGCGGGCGATCTCGGATTGCTTCGGGCCGCCATCTTTGTCACGGGCAGCGCATCCTCCGTTCTGTTCACCAGTACCAGGAGATTCGAGTAGGTTATGTAGAGTTGACCAAACGAATCGGCAAACTCTATTCCGCTCTCGCAAATCTCCAACGCTTCTCCCAGTCTCCGTGGATTGGCCGACACCGTGTCGACGAGGTGATAGTACGCCTCCCCGAGCTGCTTACCGTTGCCCCTGTCACTTTCCCCCAGGGCTATGGCACGGCGGAAACCCTGGAAACGAAAGCAAAAGTATCGTAAACACACACCTGAATAACCCTTAACCGTATAGAGTGTATAATAATATATCAGTTACAGGCAGTAGTAAGGATACTATGAAAGGAAACATATATATATATTATATATATATATAATAGTATATATTATACAAAGCGTTTGTGAGGTATAATAATAGGTACTCACCCACTCTGCACTGTCATGCTGGTCCTGAATCTTCATCAGCTTTCCAAAGTTGAAGAAGGCACGGGCGTAGTCTGGCGCAGCTTCCATCGATGCTCGATAAAGCTTTTCCGACATGTCGTATTGATTCCTCATTGCGTATTCTATTCCGAGATTTGACTGCATTACGCCACTTGCAGGGTTAAGTTTCACTCCAGATGTGTATATAGTCATCCCAGATTCCCAGTCGAGATTTCTAGTCACCGTCTTGAGGGAGTATGTAACTAGCAAAAGGGCTAGAGAGAAATGCATACATCGTTGGAGAAATTTTGAGATTTGGTGGGTTTTTTGTACGAGTTGCCATGCCCCGAAGCCGACCAGCATGCAGAAGCCCATACTAGGGATGTAGAGGACTCTCTCAGCCACTACAAAGCCCACGGGGAAGAAGAGGTTGGAGGCTGGGAGGTAGGGGAGGACCAGGAGAGAGAGGGAGATGGCCACTGTTCTGTGTCTCTCTCCACAGCCACTGAGACTCCACGCAGCAAGTCCTGTCAGACACCCCAACACCAGCAGGGTCAACAAGTTGAGGGGATCCGTTAGCGAGTTGATGAGAGGGACAGCCCCGAATCTCCAGTCGGCACACAGGTTGAATGGATTGATAAGTAGCCAGGAGTTAGAGAATGTGAGGTAGAGCCAACTGAGCTGTCTGTATGGAGTGTCCAAATCCCTTGCTGGGATTGACATACCTTCAGCAAAGAGGCAAGAGGGAGAAGAAGGAGAGAGGGAGGGGAGAGACAAAACCTGATTTGGTATAATTATTTCACAAAATATGCAGAACCCAATTGATTTGCATACCAAGCCTCAAGACACTTGGTAGGGGAGGTGGAAAATGAATATTTCCACTTTCCACACTCACTTAATCTCTCTCTCCCTTCCTCCTCCTCCTTTCTCTCTCTCTCTCTATCTCTCCAGCTTTGCTCTCTAATACTAGATTGCTGCTTGCTTAATATATAGCAACAGGTGGTAGTCTGATTGGCTTGAGCAGCTGAAGCATTTCTCTAGGTAAACACAAGGGGCCTCTCCTAATGGATCTCTGCCTGCTTCGCTGTAAACAACCATTAGCTGTACTATACTCCCGTAGTAGGTTGTGGGGATCAAGTAACCTACTGCTCAGTATAGTGAGAGATTACAGTTGTATTGGTGGTTAGCTTGTCCATAGACTAACTGACAGGTCCTTAAGACAACCTCTATATATAGAGTGGTGAAGACAAGGTGCAAACTTGCCATTGTTGGTTTGAGAACACAGACTGTCAAAGAAACGCCAACAGACAAAGTCTGGTCAGTGGCATATCATTAGCCAAGTAAATGCTTACTCTACTAAGCATACAGAAGCAAATGTAATATATAATCATATATATTATATATAATATAATAAGATACCTGTGAAACACAAGAGGGCCCGGGCTACCGTGACCCAAGATAACCCTGCCACCGACTGCAACAGCTCCGAAAAGAATCGTACTCTTCGCACGTTTCAGCAGTTTAGTTGCATTTCTCTTTCCCGCTGTGAATGTGTCGACGAGAATTGACAGCCCAGATTCCTGCAACGAAAGATTCTTCACTTGAGATTCTGGAGAATGTTAGTATATAGCAGTATTAAAGTATTGCCCCAATGTCTGTGTGCTCTTGGAGCTAAGTATGTGTCCAAAACGGCTACTTATCCATGAATAGAGAGTGAATGAGTCCCTATAAACTGTCCTGTCTAGAGCCATCTCCATGATAATGTACAGTTCTGTGTTGTGTGTGTGTGTGTGTGGTGTGTGTGTGTGTGGGCTCTACCACATTAGTAACACATTGTTGAATGAACACTGTGTTATTATAGCTACTTGGTAGTTGTGCTCTTGGTCAACATTATAACAATGAGTGAAAAGCACTAAGAATGATTTATATATACACAAGTATTTTCTTGCTTAGAGACTACAACCTTCAAAAGTGAGAGAATTAGTGTGTCTAATAAAGGATAACAAACGGAATTGAATTTGGAATTTGTGAGCAATGTTTGTGTCTTTCTCCGTCTCACCTTGCTAGAAGTGGCAATGTCGAACACTACGCAGACCCCTAGGGCGGTGACACCTTGCTCCTTGGACAACAGGGAGCACACAGCACACACCATACTCGCGACCTGCCACAACGTTGAATCTATCGGGAAGAAAACGAGCATACGTTAAACTTTTAAACTACTATACTTCTTAAAATATTTGCTCATGAGATTAGGCCCAATTAAGAATAATGTGGTATACTATTTCAGTTAGCCACAGAGTTAATGAGCCATTGCAGGGATACACCCTGGTACTTACGACTGCTGCACCTTCCAGTCAAACAAACAACAATCATTAGATCTAAACTGCATGCTGCAATAACGTGTGAAGTAAAAAGCGGTGAGATAACAATAGCGTGCTGTTGTATATATAATTATACAATTTTACTAAATCCCTCTTCACACATGAAAAAGAACGGAAGAACTATACTTCCTGGAAGGGACGGAAAACAAAATGGAAGGATCCTTTATTTAACCTACGCACTGAAACAGAAACTCATGGGTAAAGCCGCTTGTGGTTTCAAATTCTTGGTCGAGCTTGTTGCAACACGGAACGACATCAAACGAAAATCTTAGAACGCGTCAACAACATCGGCATTTAAGAAAACTCTGTAAACAACATTGCGACTAACTATACAACACCTGACACCATTGAGTGAGTGTTGTTTGGCACCGAGGCAGTTGGGCACATATCCCCCCTCACGATGCAAGGACCCACACCCACAATCACTCTCTGAACACAAAAGACAAGTGACTTCATTGCCAAGTCAGCCAATCAATCCCATTGCATGGCATCAACGGCTTCGACACACACACGATCAACAGATGTGTGGCATATGGTACCATATGCTTCACTGAGAGAGTTTCAATCCAATGTGAACGGTAGCCTCATTATTATGCCAGTCATGGGGGTTCACTAATACATTGTACTTCCTTTCTCCCAACAACTGTGCCAATTTTCCCAAATGTTTTAGCAAAGCACGCAAAATAAAAATTTTGCGATGTGGCCAGCATCAAATATTCAATCACTCCCTGCGGACTTTGCGATACTCTTTTGACAATTGACTTTGCAAACAACTGTGTGACTGTTGAAGTGCATATGTAGATGTGCAATGCTCGCAACTTGGCAAGTAAAGGGCTGTGCATCTCCACCAAATTTTGTTTTATGCTAGCACGCCTACACACACTAGCTTCTTTGGCAGCACCAGCTAAACCCGGAACTGCTACCACAGATCATTCAATTTGTCTCGAAATAAGCCAAATACAGTCACACACAGCCACATCCAGGGTTGGGCTCACTTCCTTCCTCCAGACCACATCTAACAGCCAACCGTCCTCTGGAATGCTTCGCCAAAATGAATTAGGCACCATCACACAAACAAAACATAATCTGTTAATGAAGTGCTCTGTCAAGGACCCTTTGTAGAATAATTTGCTAACGTCTCATTTCTTGTGTAGTTTGTTGACTGTCAATAATACAGTTATAATATTGTATTACCTCTCTTTGAAGATCTCATGTAGCAAAGGATAGCGGCAAGAAAGAACACACCGGCCAGTAACTCTGCCCTCCCTACAACACCTGCAACCTGCGTAAGTAAGTGGAGGAGAGGGAGAGAGAGAGAGACAGAGAGAGAGAGAGAGAGAGGAATTATTACAAAGTTGCACATGCCGGCCCATATAATGGCTGCATAAAGAGGCAAGGTAGGATTCAAGCTTCTTCAATGCTGAGCAGAAACTGTGCATAGTGTAGCTGTACGTGATTACTGGACAGATCATGAAAACCCCAAACTATAAAAGGATGGGGAGGAGGAGAGAGGGAGAAAAACACTTGGAGACAGAGACATGTGGGGAAACCTCTCTACAACATCCAAATAGTGCATCTACTACACTCAATTCATGGCAAGGAAGCACTACAACCACTAATAGGTACTACAAGAAAGAATGTATATATACAACCTCCCCCAATGTTCCTAGAGGTGCAAAAATAAGCAATACATCTTTCCCTAGCTTCAAAGCGTCCACCACGTGTGTGTGTGATGATCATAAGAAAGTTTACTCACCCCACGAAAAATGCATCCCGCGCTCGTACACAACTCTTCTTTATTCAAAACGCACATGTCGATAAAAGCGTAGAGGGAGTTTTCTAACAGGGGGCATCAAAAGGCTATATAGCAACAACGGTTTGAAGAAGAGTAATATTAAATCTTTTGGCACATCATTATAATTTGAGTGAGAAACTATTTGAAATTTGCAGTTAACTCTATTTAGGCACAAGGCGCAAGGATATGTTTGGGCGACTATTTTTCTAGTTTTGACTACTTGTCCATATTAGGAAGTAACTGTAAGGAATTAAATTTTAGTTGTGGTGCAACACTATATATTGCACTGCCCACGGCCACTTCAAATTGACAACTAATCCACTACACCTTGGAGACAAGAGCTTCTTTCTACTTCAATCTGTTATTAGTGGTTGCCAGTGTTCGGGTACAGCTTTGCCTGATGAACACGAATGCGCGGAGCATGCTAGCAAGGTGTCTTAGTACAGTTTGACACAGATTTGACAGATTTTCTTTGACTTGTGGATACACTAACTCCAGGGGCATATATGTAGTCCTTTTATGTAGATTGTAAGCTTACCGCCTCAGTGTGTATGGGGTGGACTGCAAACAGTAGTCCAGCTATCAGTGCCGGCCACACTTCAGTGAAGACCACACCACACAGCAGTACGTACAGGTAGACCACTGCACTGTGCAGGAGCACGTTCACCAAGTGGTAGCCCAGCGGCTCCAGCTCGTGCAGCATGTAGTTCAGCCGAAAAGTGGCCACCGTCAGAGGACGATACGACTTGTGACTGTACTCATCCTCCATGGGGTGCCCCCAGTAATCATTGAACAACAAATTCAACCAAGGTGAACTAGGACGGAGGTCCATGTTCTTCCTGATTGCTCCTATATCATCGTAGACTAAACCACAGCTCAGAGTGTTCAAGTATGCCAGTGTTGCCACGGCACCACACAGCAACGCAGCTTGCCCAACGGTGGGAGACATTGCCCAATACTCTGTGAGAGTCCTGTCAAATTACTAACACCTAACGCCAAGAGAGATCACTCTATTCCTCCACTCCACGTAGCATATATATAGCACAGAAACACTGTGTGCAGACCAGATGTTGAGTAAAATCCGGTGTTTTATTCAAGCCCTGCCACCAATCAAGCGTATCAATCAGAGACCTGCACGGAAAAGCATACACACACCGCTAAGTGGGCGCTTTGTTACACACCCCAGCCACAGCATTGCTTACTGCGATAAGGCCGCTCCGCTCCGCCTGCTGGTAGGAGAAACACCACACGTACGAGAGAGCCACGGACTCGAACTGTGTATAAAACGGCACGTCGACGACTAGCTTACGAGGCTGGAGAGACTTACGTACAGATTCAGTCTCTAGCTATGTCGGCGGCGTCGTCTCATGCTGAACAGTAAACGACTCTCCGCAGGCCTCACTTATGACGGGAAGTAGAGTTAGTTCTCAGCAGTGTGCAAGTATTGCCTATCCGGGGACTCCGCCGGCGTCGTCGCTGATGTAATGCAATCTCGATCTCGCTGCCCGCAGCCTGATGCGTGCCTGCGGTAACGCGATCTGGCGACGAAAAGGAAGTGCCGTTGTGGTGTTGCGGGGGTTCTGTTTGCAGGCGCCCTCTTTGGTATACAAAGCCGTTGACTTCAAACTACTGCAGTTCCGGGCACGTCGCCAAGTGATACCCTACGAACGAGCGGTGTTCACCCACGCGGCCGCTTTGGGAACAATTGCGCATGCGCAAATAAACTCATTATCGTCCGCGCCGCTAGCGCGGGAATTTTCAAAGGTTGCCCTCTACTAACGTGCATTCCATATCACCCCCTTCAGCACCTACCATATGATATATACACTTACCACTGCAGTGATGTATACATAAAACAAAATACCTCAGTTACTAACTCAACAGCACTATGGCTGGCTCTGATAAGTTCTGGCAAAAATCAACGGTTTAGTTTGAGGATACTAGGAGGATGTGTGCTAAGAAGATTAGAAGTTTAGTAACAGTTAACAGAGCTGCACTACTGTGCTCCCTACTGACTATCTGCCTATTCCTCAACTCGTTGGAAGGAGAACTAGTTTTCGACGACACTGCGGCCATTGTCGGAAATGATGATGTGCAAATGAAGACGCCGTGGAGGGATCTGCTAAGGAATGATTACTGGGGTACTCGTATGAATTCCACCGCTAGTCACAAGTCGTATCGGCCTCTGACGGTGGCCACTTTTCGGCTGAACTACATGCTGCACGAGCTGGAGCCGCTGGGCTACCACTTGGTGAACGTGCTCCTGCACAGTGCAGTGGTCTACCTGTACGTACTGCTGTGTGGTGTGGTCTTCAGTGAAGTGTGGCCGGCACTGATAGCTGGACTACTGTTTGCAGTCCACCCCATACACACTGAGGCGGTAAGCTTACAAATACTCAAACTGTAGAAATTGTCCTAACAATAATATTTATTATGATAATATTATTATAGGTGTGTGGAGTTGTGGGCAGAGCAGAACTCCTGTGTGCAGTATTCTTTATCCTATCGTTTACTGCATACGAAAAGGCAAAACGTGGAAACAGCACAAGTAAGTCTAGCAGTGTACCAATGACAGATGTCGGTACTATAAAACTCTGAACACTTACCACCACACAGTGTGGTTGCTGGGCAGCTGGCTCTTAGCTGTGGTTTCGATGCTCTGTAAGGAACAAGGAATCACAGTAGTGGCCATTTGTGCTGCGTACGACATTCTTCAAAACTATCAGGTAAAACGCCGGAACACACTGTTCATATACATTACTCAGAGTTATCCACTGGATTGAAAACAAAGTATATTTTATAGAGAGGTGTATATTTTATTCAGTATCAATGTCATTTTCGATTACATGACACACGCATGATTTTTTTATCAACACGTACACGTGTATCGGATTTCATCTCTCTTTGTAACGTCAAATCTGACCAGACTTCCACTTGATTTTGATACAATCTCCAGGAGAACAGACAGTCTCTGTTGAAGCTACTTGACACGATGGTGTCTGATCTGACAAAGACTCCACTGTGGCTGGTAGGGTGCGGAATAAGAGCAGCTGTTGTGGGTGTCCCGACGGCTCTAGTGCTGGCAGTGAGACTGTCAGTAGGAGAACCCAGCCGCGACCTCTTCCACCAGTAAGAAACTATTGTATATATGGAGTCTTTTTATGATCAAATACTATAGGAATGTTAACCCACCATTGGCACTGGAAACTCCCTATCGGCAGCTAAGCTGGGCCTACCTGTCATTTGTCAACTCTTGGCTATTGCTGAATCCATGGAACCTCAACATAGACTGGAGATTCGGGGCTGTCCCTCTCATCAACTCGCTAACGGATCCCCTCAACTTGTTGACCCTGCTGGTGTTGGGGTGTCTGACAGGACTTGCTGCGTGGAGTCTCAGTGGCCGTGGAGAGAGACACAGAACAGTGGCCATCTCCCTCTCTCTCCTGGTCCTCCCCTACCTCCCAGCCTCCAACCTCTTCTTCCCCGTGGGCTTTGTAGTGGCTGAGAGAGTCCTCTATATCCCTAGTATGGGCTTCTGCATGCTGGTCGGCTTCGGGGCATGGCAACTCATACAAACAACAACAAATAAAACACTCAAGAACATCATCGTCTGTTTCATTGTGTATATACTTGCCGTCCAATCTGTGAAAACGGTTGCTCGCAACCCCGAGTGGAAATCGCACATTCCTCTCTTCGAGTCGGGAATTCGTTTGAACCCTCGCAACGGTCTCCTCCTCTCGAACCTCGGTAAAGAGTTGAAGGAGGCGGGAGACTGGGAACTGGCCGAGAAGGTACTAAAGAGGGCAGTGGAGGTGTCTCCGACTCATTCTGGCGGCCATATGAACCTGGGCAAGATTCAGTTTCACAGTAAGAGATATTCCGAGGCAATACCGGTGAGCAAGTGGGGGGAATCCCTGTGGTTTTTTTTTATACTGACGGGATAGAAAGTATGCATAATGGGTGCTTTAACGAAGACTCGCATATTATTGGTGTAACTTACAAAACTCTTAGTATCTGTGTCTTAGCATGTTGGAGTTCAATGGAGATCTATTACGATGTAAACAATATTAATAGGCCTAGGGTTTCCTTTTCAGCTATTCTTATCAAGAGGTGTGTTTTGTTTAGGAGGGTTGTAACTTGTACAAACAACCTTTGATAAAATAAAGAAACCAACATTATAGAGAGCATGGAATGCAGACTATATATCTATTGCTAAGAAAAACAGTTCTATATACTGATGGTATTATAATTATTGTTGCCACACACGTTACTGCAATCCATTCCCCATCCAGCCACTTCGAAAGGCGCTGGAGCTGATCCCTGCGGACGGGAATGGATCTCTCCAGATCGCCGCCACGTCCTACCTCCTCGCCGTGAGCATGGCAATGGACAGCAGCAACCAGACTGCTCTGACGGAGGCCCTGGCGATCTGCAATGCTGCTCTCCGGAGAAGAAAATCGTACTACACCTTATACCTCGCCAAGTGAGAACACTTAATTACACAGTGTGCAACTCATTGGGGACTACGTTGAAAGTGTCCTTTATTCAGAGGTGTCCCTTATTCAAAGGTAATTAGGCAGAGGTGACTTTATGAAGATTCGCTGTGTAGCGCAATATGAAAAGTTATACATAATAGACAGTTCCCCCAGTGGAGTATAGCTATGGTTCAGATTTGAGCATAATAATAAACACCTAGTGGTAAAACCGTCTATGAGATTCTGCTCAATCAAACAAAAGGACCCTGTGGTTGAATCTTCTGCAGGTCCTCAATACTGATAGAGATGAAAGAGCTGTCACAGGCACTCCAGACGGCAGAGGCTGGACTGAGACACAACAGCTCTGCCCACGAACTCCACCTGACCAGAGCGACAATCCTCAGAGACATGGGAGAGAGGGAGGAGGCAAAACAGGCGTATCGAACGGCGCTAGAAAACAAGTCGGACTTTCTGCTGGCGATTAAGAGACTTGCATTCATGTACTCTGAGGACAACCAACACGATCTGGCGCTACCACTGTAAGTGCCGTCCTCCTATCTCTCTCATTAAAATGTCCTGGATATGCCGTGAACTTCAACTATTTCTTAGATGCCTACCTACAAGTGTAATCTAATAATGATGATAAAATGAGCTAGTTTTCGTTTTTATGTAGCTCATAGTACTATATTGGCCATTGCTCCTGCTTCCCCTCTCTCCTCTTTCTCCACTTCCCTCTCCCCCTCCATCTCCGCTTCGCGCAGGTGGGAGAAAGTAAGAGAATACGAGCCGTCCAACCAAGACTGCTACAATGGCCTAGCAACAGCCCTATTCATTGCCAAAGACTACGACAAATCCGAAGAAGTCCTCACGGCTGGCTACAAACTCTTCCCCAAGAACATCAACATTATCTTCAACCTTGGAAATCTCTATCTGAGGATGGACAGACGAGAACAGTCGCTTCACTTCCTCCAACTTACAATGGAGCTCGACCCAAACTATCGCAACGTTAAAACGCTCATCGAGCAAAAATTCAAAGACATTACAAATTAGGGAAGAAATTTTACAGCTTTCTCAAAAGCTTTAGGGATTTGGTCTTCATTTTATACCTAAACACACAGCAATAAGTTTAGAGAGTTGTGATTTTTGTAGGGAAAAAAATGATACAAAATTTTCACCTTTTGTTGGTCTATAGGTAGCTAGCCCGGCGAAATTTGTTGATAATTTGTGACGTCACCGCTTTACCTGTGACTTTGTTGAAGGAATCTCGCCATTTTCCTTCATGTTCTGTAGCTGCAGGCGTGCCATGGTGTGGTTTGGATCAATTCTGATAGTGGTCCTGAACTCGTGAATCGATCCCGTCAAGTTTCCAGTCTGGTACAGAACCAGGCCCAGGTTAAAGTGGGCGTTGGCATAGTTTGGGTTGCAGCGTATGGCCTCTTCGAACGCAGACTTGGCGTCTAGCATTCGACCCATCCTGTGTAGCACTGACCCTTTACTGTTGTGGGAGTTGGGGAGGTTTGGGTAAATGGAAACCGCTTTACTTATGTATCGAAGAGCTTCTTCTAATCTGTTTGCATCCGCTGAAATAAGATTGCCGACCGTTACGTGGATTTTGGCCTTTCGTTCTTCCTTTCCTTCGGCAGTTGGATCATCCATTATCGTTTCAGCAGCTTGCTTCAACACCTAGGTATACGAAGAAAGTTCAGTAAATCAGCAGCCTTTCTAACTCTTTAGTAACTAATGTTCTCACGTTCAAAACCACAGACAAATGGGGGTTACTACTAAACAGACAATGGAAGTTAAGTTACAAAACGTGTACTTTTATAAGGTAAACCATTAAGTAAATTAAATCGCTTTAGTAATTTTTACCTCTTCTGCTTCCTTCAGTCTTCCATCTTCTTTCAGCATTACACCGAAATTCATGAACGAAAGAGAAGCCTCAGGTGCTACCTCCATACTGTACCTGTACACTCTCTCGGCCAACTCGTTATCTCCCCTCCTCCTGTAATTAAGCCCAATGTTGCCCAGTAGATTCCCGTTGTGTGGATAGAGCTTCACTCCAGCCTCGTAGAGAGTCAATTTCGACTCCCACACCGGATTTCTCACGACCACCTTCACACACTGGCTCACCAGAACGAGACAGAAGAAAATGACAGCCGCGACTCGAACGGATTTCCTTGGAGAAGCGAAAAGAACGGAAACGCCGTAACCGACTACGAAGCAGGCTCCGAGACTGGGCAGGTAGAGGACTCTCTCAGCCACTACGAATCCCACAGTCATGAAAAGATTGGAGGCCGGGATGAACGGGAAGATCAGCATCGACAGTCCAAAAAGCAACATATTTTGGCTCCTACTGTACTCCCAGTTGCCCGATTGTCTCCGAAATCTCCCGCCTATTTTAGTCTCTGAGTTTTTCACACATTTCTCGCTCCTATCGAAAATCCCCAGTGAGAACAATCCGAGAAAGAGGTAGATTGAGAACGTGAGGAGAGTCAGGATATGACGAGGGTCGCTGAGAGTCCTGAGTAGAGGGATTGCCCCCATCCGGTAGTCGTGCATCAGATGACTCGGGTTAATAAGGAGCCAAGTGTTGATAAAGACTAGGTATGCCCAGTGGAGATAGCGATGTGGTGGGTCTAAGTAGAGCCCCTCGTTATCCAGACTGCGAAGAGGACAAGGGTGGAGATGGAGGGAGGGAGAGAGGAAACAATAGGAGGAAAATGATAGAAAATGATAGAGGGAAAAGAGAAGGCAGAGAGAGATATTTTTAGCTGAGCAAGAATGTTAAAACAAAGACTCCTGCATACGCATTGAATGTGGGTCTATTCCTCATCATCGTCAGTCGAATCCCCATGACGACGGCGGTAAACGTCACCATGACAACAGTCCTCCTTAACATGGCGGACCACCTTGGCAACCACTGACTGGATTTGCCATTCATCATCCACAGCAGCTCGGATAATGTTATCTGTGTCAAAAAATCTTTCTAAAAACACATTGTCATGGTTATCAGAGAATAACAAGCATGCAGATTAAAGAGTAGTGATCGTGATAAGATAATTATATAGGAAAAAAAATGCCTGGAATTTCACCTTATTAGCAATGAAGAGATCGTATACGAGGCAAACGCCAACCACTGTCACTCCTTGCTCCTTGCTGACCAACGAGCACAGCACACTCAATAAACTCAGTACTAACTTCTTCGATCCTGCAAAAATTAATTTTTAAGGGAAGAATTTCAGTTATTGACTGCCTCAATAAATATTATAAAAGAGAAAGTGGAGACTGACTGCCTGTCTACATATATACACATGATTAATTAATACATAGCGTATTAGATTCGGCAAATGTTGATACCATTTGGTGAGCGAATAGCTCCGATGTAGTAGTATATTGCCAGGATGAAAAACAGACAAGATAGTAGTTCTGCTCTTCCAACAATACCTGCGACCTGAAAAAAGAAACGTTAACCATTTTACTCAGCATTGGATTATTGGTTTGCTTACCGCCTCAGTGTGTATGGGGTGGACTGCAAACAGTAGTCCAGCTATCAGTGCCGGCCACACTTCACTGAAGACCACACCACACAGCAGTACGTACAGGTAGACCACTGCACTGTGCAGGAGCACGTTCACCAAGTGGTAGCCCAGCGGCTCCAGCTCGTGCAGCATGTAGTTCAGCCGAAAAGTGGCCATCGTCAGAGGACGATACGACTTGTGGCTATCCGGAGAGCTCATCGGCGTCCCCCAGAAATCATTCAGAAAGACGTTCGCCCACGATACGTTCGGTCGCAGGTCCTGGTTGTCTACTATGACGGCCTTGTCGTCAAAGGCAAAGCCACAGCTTAGCGTGTTGATGTAGAGGATGGCGCCCAGAGCGGCACACACGCTGGCCGCCCCCACTGTCCCTCGCAAGTTCGGCATCTTGCATTGGTCGGCGGCCTCTCTGCGCATGCGTATAAAACCACAGCCAGCGTTAATTTACACACAAACCATCAGCATAGGATTACACAATGCACTGCATATAGATGAAAACACGCACACACTCACACACAGGTACAAAAAGTCACAAACAGGAGAGATGATGTGAATTGTCGACAAACCCTTTAAAAAAAGTACTCATTTCCACTCTACTACTGATGGCTGTTGCGCCTGTCCTTCTTCTTCTTCTTGTTCTTCTTCTTCTTCCCGGGGTTTTCGGCTTCTTCTTTCTCCTTCCTCTCCTTTTCTCTCGCTTCCTCTTCCAGTCTCTCTCTTATCTCTTGTTCCCTCTGCTCCCTGGTTAACTGGAGGCCTCTTATGGCGTCAAAGTTCATGGTGGAGTAATTTACAGTCGTACTGTCTTCGGGACGATCCTGAATCACAGCTGCGGCGCCCGGACGAGAAACTTCCGCCGAGGAGCGCCGCTCTTCGGGAAGTTGAATCTGAGTTGGAGGAGGAGAGTGCCTCGTGCAGGAGGTCTCCATCGGCTCAGGGGTCTTGTTAGGAGGCAGAGACACTCCGGAGAAATTGAGGGTCATGTGACTTTCCTCGTCCTCGCTGCTCCTTTTCCGCTCGTGTCCGTCCCCTCCCTTCCCTTTCGGGGTGCTCGTAGCATGCCCGCTAAGATCCAACTGGGCATAGATGCCCATTTTGGGTCCGCCCACTCGCGGAGGCGAAGCAGAGAGGTACGAGGAGGATTCTGACACCCTCGGTGGCGACGTGGCGCCCATCCCGACCTGGAGGTTCTGGTAGGTGGCTTGCGTGTCGGAACCGTGACGCATCAATCCAAGTCTCGGCTCCCGGTGGTACATTGCTGGGTCTGTGCCCCGACGTCCACCTCCGCTACTGCCGAGTGCAGAGTTGGGCTTTATGTTCATGTAGTTGGGCTGCCCATGGGGAGCTGGAGACAAGTGGAGTACAGTTTCGGAATCTTCCGGAATAGTCTGAGGAGCCACGTTTGACCGGGACATGGCGATGTTCTGGTAGAGCAGCGTGGGAGCACCGCCGGCATCCATAACTGCCGACGAAGAATTGGAATGCGGGCGACCGGGAATCACACCATTGCTCCCCTTTTGGTGAGAGGGGAACGAGAAATTTCCTTCTGACATTGAGCGCTGTGCAGCGGTAGAAAGGGGCGTGACAGCGGAGCCGGTGGACGAAGCAGAAGGGGGTCGGGAGGATTTCCGCCCTCCGTCCGAGGGGGTCACGATTTTAAACTCCCCGGTCCCTATGTTGGGGAGGGGCCGTTGGTTCATAGCTTGTTCCAGCGCCTTCTTCTGCTTGTATTCCTCCGTCTGTTTTATATCGATCTCGGAATACGACACCCGTTTTTCCGTTTCTTTGCCCTCGATATCGAGTGAAGATCTGGATACTTCAACTTCCATGTAGTTTAGCTTGAGGGGAGGGGAGGGCGTTTCTTGATCAGTAGGCAGACGGTCCCTTTGTAGGGCGGGGAGATGGGGAGGGGGTGTGGAGGCAGCATGGCCGTTTGTAGTGGCAGCCAACGCGACAGCTTGCTGGCCGTCGTGATAGCTTATGTTTGTGTATTCCGGCTGCCGCGGTGTCGCGGAGGGAGGGAGATGAGAGGGAGGGTTCATTGCTGGAGGAGGAGGAGGAGGATTGGGGGTCGATATGACACTCGGCGACGTCATAATTGGAGGGGACACCCCTTGACTTGTATCTTGTGGGGACAACACGCCCACTTCGTCCCGCTCCAACCCTCCGTCGCTGATGTTTCGAGCCACCATGTCGAACAGCTGTGACGCTTTCTTAGTGGAGAAGGCATATAACCCTTCACCCCCGGGACACTTTCTTCCTGCCTCAAATGAAAATATGTCCCTATCGCAGCCGTACTTCCTGAGGTATTTCAGAGGCCACACCCACTCATCTCCGGACTGAGTATCCTTGTATTTCAGCTCCACTTGGGTCACTTCGATTAACCCTTTTGGGAACTTTCGATTTTCGTCGTGGATGTTTCGAACGATGAAAAAGTTCTCAGGCAGTTTCTCAGTCGATAAGCACGCACCCATCACTGAAGAGAGGGAGAAGAGAGGGAGGGAGAGAGGGGGAGAGAGGGGGGAAGAGTAATAAAGCATTCTGTACAAATCTAATTGTCAGGCAGCTCAAAAATGTAATCATTGTCAACTACTATAACTCATTTAGCAAGTTTCCTGATAATAGCCACACACTATAATACAGGGCAGGTGTAGATCCTGTAGATCCTGTAGATCCTGTAGATATGTAGATATTGTAGGCACATGTGACCAGACATGCATCCAGACATCAGATGTAAACATGCCTGTCACAAGGAACAAATGTAACTCTGCCCAGCTGGCAAAGTCAGCAAAAGAAGAGAGTTGTAAAGTCGTTGATGGAGGGAGAATAAAAGTTGTTGGAGTTTAACAACAAAGGTTTTACAAGACTTTTGGGTATGGCAATCACTGGCTACCAACTCGCGATAGTCTAATAAACTCAGCAATCAGTACTCAATAGTACTTTCAGACTACATGTACAGTACAATGTTACACTATACAATGTGTGATCCACGATGAGCACACCTGCAACAATGTCACGCAAACACCTTGCCGCACTATTACCTGCTATGGGCTATCTTCGCAAGCAGGTGGAAATTGAGACTCACCCTATATGCTGACTATTGTCCATGCTGCAAGACCCGTCAGTATGTCATTGCTGATCAAGAGATGTTCCTCCAGCAAAAACAGCAGCCATCCAATTGAATTACGTGTCATTTCACACGCACCCCACACACGCAGGGAGAGAGCCCATATAATACCCCCCTGGCTGTAAGAAGGTGTGCATGCATAGACCACCATCTAATAGTCTGTGGCCACGCCTTAAATCCCCAGCTAATTGTGGCTACCATCCCAACTGCAAGGGTTGCAAAAACAGCCCTACCCCTTCCACATCCATTACCCTCCCACACAGATGTACACACACTTCATCCTAAACACCGCAAGAACCTACTTGGAACAAAACTTTGCCTACTGGTGCATTTTACGGCAAAAGGATATTAAGTTGCTTGTTAGTAGTAAGTCTAGATTGCAAAATAATCAAACTCAAAGAGAGGGAGAGGGAGAGAGAGTTTAAATTTCAAACACAGGAGGACAGCAATAACCCTCCCACTAATTCACAAACTCCAATAGCGGAGCTTGCGCGCGCCTCAGAATAAACAGCCGTATTACGTAATATTGCGTAATCAGTTGCCAGGGGCTAAAGACAGGCATTTCCTGTTGTCGATGGTGAGTGGGAGAAAAATGAGTGTCCTATGCCCAGCTGTTCCTTCTCTGGGCTGCTGGCTATCTTTACCCCACCCAGTGCCACAACAACCACTTAGCTTCTGCCTCATCCCTTCATCTTTCCACTTCTCCTCTCAATTTTTATCCCTTCAAATTCCCATTTGCTACCAAATAGTGAACGTTTTCTACCCATAAAAGTTACCCACTATTCAGTACATTGTAGCATATCGTGTGCAAATAGCCCTGTGCAATTTTTGCGCATTAGAGAGAGTGTGTTGCACTGTTATTGATGCATTTGGTAAACATGGAATCTATCGCAGTGTACGCTAACATACGGAGAGTATACTGTCGTATATCTGCCTTCCTTCTCTACCAGTGTATGTATATACAAGGCAGCACTGCGAGGTGCGAAGAAGGCATTCCAACACCCACACAAACAAACACAGTAAGTGCCTTAATCTCGAGAAGGCAAACAACAAAATCAACGTGGCAAAGTGAAGCAGAAAGCATGTCTCTTTAACACGCTCCCTTTCCCCCATCTCTCTCTTGCCCCACACACACACACCTATTGCAGCAGGAACAGAACATGTCAACGTTACTACGGCACACGCCTTCTTTGCCTTCTTCGCATTCCATTCGTGACAAATTGACTCCCCGCATATCTACCCACTCAACTGCACCACCATACATAATATTATGGTTACTAAATACATAATATATCCACGTGTGAGCGAGGATTGACCATTACGACTGATTACACGCCTGACTAGGCAAGCTAAATGCCTGACGCAGCACACAGTGACAGGGTGCAAAAACATGTGTGTGTGTCTGTGTCTGTGTCCTGGTTGTGCTAGTTACTATATACTGCTTTCTAGTATCGTCCATGACTGACTATACGCATTATAGGATTGGGATTGTCTGGGGAGTTTCGCATCACTGATCAGGACACCTGACCTATCAGGACACTTTGCTAATCAGGTGAGGTTACACTTCACTGATCAGGACACCTCACTAATTAGGACACTTCACTAATTAGGACACCTCACTGACTAGATTAACCAATGAACAACAAAGTTAGGTCAAAGTCGGTTGTTTACCAAAACAAACCACATGTTTCACAAACAACACCAAACCCTTTAGAATGCTCCCACAAGCATAATAGCCCTCACCTGGGTATACATAACTCTTGCACTTCTTGAGAACTGTGCAGTAATTTACTTCTCGAAATTCTCAGAATGCAGGAAACAAAGACGCCTCCCAAGACACTTGTTTCAATGGAGTGAAATCACTTTAGTTATTAACCCCCAAAGCTCTATATAAAAAGGACCATCGTTATCCTGGTGTGTACTTTGTTCAGAGGTTCAACTCATTATGATGACATGTACGTTTGTAAGGCCAAGGGACAATGAGGTGTACGTAGTGTTAAAAGTGCCGCAGGGACTGATATTACCGGGCTTTGTGAATTCAATTACTTTCAGGACAATGAGTCTAAAGTTCAATTGTTTCCGCGTTGGTTCAAATATTATCGTAGATGAATACGATAAGGGCCTGGACATTGAATAATGTTCTTGATATATACAAGGATACAGCTCTCTGTAATATTCTTGAGAGACCTTTTGCAAACTTTAGAAGGCACCCAGTCCGCTTATCCACACAAAAAAATTAGTGAGCAAGGAGCAAATTTTTTTTCGGGAATTTTTGGATGGGTAAGGACCAAAATTGTAGAGTCAACAACGGCTATCTCTGCATAAAAACTCTTTAATCCCTCGCAAGTTTTGACCAGTAGATTTCCGAGAACAGAGGAACCACAAGCACAAACTTGTACTCTGAACAGGTGCATCTTGTAGATAAGACAGACAGAATGTACAAGTTTACAAGATGTTTACAAGCAGACTGAGTGACAACAACATACCTTTCACAGAGCTTATCATACAGATACTACAGGCAAACAGACTGCTAGCAGACTTCTGACTATGACAGAGTGGAGGAGTAGAAAGGGGGGGAGAGTGGAATAGAGAGGGAAAGAACTGAGAAAGGGGGAGGGAAGGGAGGGCGGGGCACAGGAGGGATAGTGACAATGTGGTCCAAGAAGGGGAGGGGCTGTTAACCATTCGCTCCAAGTTTAAGGCTTACATAACTTGTCAAAGGTAAGGGCAAGAAAACAGGCTCATTCCTCACCCTCCAAACAAACTAAACACAAAAGCCCCCATCCCCTTAATCTTACCTTGTCCACACACCCAAAAGGTAGGCCTTGTACATAGTTAAGGCAGCACCGTAACCATGTACACTCGCACCAAAGGGAATTGTAGATGGTGCGTGTAAGCCCACCACCCAATACTACAGCACCCAGGCCTCATTTAGCCCACACACACACACACACTTACATATTTGTTGTGTGGTTAGCTCTCTCTCAGGCATAGGAATGTTTACTGTGGGATCAAGTCTATTTATGGTGCACACCGGCATCCGTGCAAATCGCAATAAGGAATCATTCGCATGCAACTCGAGGCGGGCAACTTCCGAGCAAGAAAACCTATTGCCACTTTGAAAATTTCGCATGGCCAGATCTACAAAAAGTATACATAGACACTTTCTTCTTCTTCTGTCCCATTAGTAGAGGGGTTCTACTGTAAGTTGGATGGGAATTTTGAACATCTGTAGAGCTACACACGTAGCAGGGAGGAGAAAAAAGTGTGAATTTTTTTTGCCCTCTCTGTTCTTGTCACACCACACACACACACACACACACACAGGTGTGTGATCCAGAAGGAAGGTCAGGGCACAGGTGTGACTGCTGGGGTGATCCAGAAGGAAGGTCAGAGGAATATAGCTAATGAAGACAAAGCCAAATGGAATGCTAGGAATGTACACTGAACAATATTTAGCACACCTTCAAAAAACACGGCTGAGCAGTCGAAAAAACACCCCCACTTTTTGCAAGTTGGATATTACGCTAGTTTTGTCGCTATATTTTGGAGAATGTTCTAGAACTGTTCTCCGAACTTTTTTAAATTATAAACGTATAGATGTTATCAACTTGCTAAAAGGTAATTAATGGGAGTGTATGGATCATTACTGTGCTGCATATTGAAAACGTTGATCATCGGTGCCGAAAAATGAGCACTTAGTACACCAGGGAGCGGCAAAGACGGTTTGGCTGCATAATCGCAAAATAGACAGAGGCGCTCAAAAGAAACAAACGGTCGGTTGAGACAGATGGTAAGAGCGACTGGTAGCTCGGCAAAGGTAGAGCCACCTCAGCTAAGAGCTCTGCTAATGGAGCACAGCTGTCAAGAGGCTTGATCCTGGATTAGTTGACAACCACTACCACACCCCTCCCTCCTGTTTACGACTTCGACCACAGCTTTATCTCATAATTCTTGCCCCCCAAAACTCTAGCGTACCTTGTTAAGTGTGGAAAGCCATTCATTCCTTTTCAGCTTTCCAAACATGTGTACTTAGCCTTTCTCGTATCAAAACACCAATGCGAGCAGAGAGAGAGTATCTTCTATTCATAAAAGGTCTTACACTCCCACAATTCAGTCATTCCCACCCCTCCCTCCCTTCATTCCCTTCACTCCCTCCCTCTCCTTTTCTCCCTTCCCTCTCTCCTTCCTTCTCCTTTCTGTCCAGGGCCATCCCAAGTCGAAACGGCATTACGACCACAAAAGGCACACAATTATCCCCATTATACCTGCACGCTCGCCAGGACTAAACATTGCCAGCCTCCTCTTCGCTACAAACAAGCGCCATGCGCACCTCATCAGTCCGCCCCAGCAACTACATCAAAGCGTGTACGACGGCTCTTTGAAGGTAGGACGGCAGAGACGCAAAGACTCGCCCGGTAATATTACGCGCGGCCTCCCGCACACGACACCTCTCTAGTAGCCCACATGTTGAGTACATTTCAACGGTCGATCGTATCATCTTCTGCTGTATTTCGTGGAATTAGGGCCTCATTCTATTGGCGAAGTTCGTACATCACTTGTCTCCCTTTTCCTCGTACACTGAAAAGGGTTGGATTCTCCAAACCGTTCCCTTTATACAGACCATCTAACCAACTTTCGGTACCTAACTTTCTGTGCTACTCTTGCATGTACTTCTCTCCCACCCCTCCGTCTCACCTCTCGCTCTTTCTTCTGCTCCAGCAATTTCGGACACGAACCGATCTCCGGACAGACCGAAACTCTTTTTCCGGACGGAGATCCACGACTTGAGGGCGCGACACAACGCAGCAGATCCTAGATCGCTATTTCCACAGTCTCCGAGCTGACGATCGAGCTAACGATCCAGCCAACAGCAACTCTAACGCCAGAGAAACTGGCCCAGAAGAAGTCAAGTAGTGTGGGAGGTGGTAATTCCGGCTTAGTATGCGGAAATTAGCTCATGTGTCATTGGGATTCCGGCCGGCCAGCGCGCGCCGCCCGAGGGACACACGCGTGGTGCGCAACAATTAGAACAAAGATATAACCTGAGCCGTTGGCTCCGACCATGATGTCCCTGGAGACGAAGAGTGTGGTTCGCTGTCTTCAATTCTCGCAGTTCCCCGCCTCATCCAACCTGCTTGCTCTGGGTGTTCGCTCCGGAGTGGCCGTCAAGTCATGCACACTACCGGTCAGTCTTGCGTCCAGTCGAGTCTAGATTGTGTCTTTTGCTGCTATGCCTAGAGTGCAGAGTGATGGGGTTCGGATCCCAGCTTTTTTTTCAAAAGAGTTTCCTGGGTTTCATTGCTTTGCCTCTGCCTGAGTCCTTGTTGATGTTCACGTGCAAGTGTGTGTGTGTTTTTACACTCGGCTTTGAAAGGAAAACTCTTCTCTTTCTCAAAAGGCGGTGCAGAAACCGGGGGGCCAAGGAGGTAGCCTGGTGGACAATCTACAACTGGAGGATGTAGTTACAATCAAGACGGACAGTTCAGCGAGCGACGTCAGACAAACCGCCCTGGCCTGGTCACCTCTGGCAGATGGACGAGATGGTGAAACTGCCATCAGGTATGTGGAAATGCAGTTTCTTAGCAAACGCGAAAACCTTTGTGGATTGCAGTTTCTGCGAAGTAATTCTTATGCCTGCAAGGCTCCTCTTTCCCACTTTCCCTTCACCATAGGTTGACGTGTGCCAGTTCCGATTTCAAGATACAATACATCAATTCCGATCACGAGGGAACCACGGCAACGGTAATCATGGAAAATTTGCGGTAATTACACAACTTCATTAGACAACAATGTCCAAGATTTGTGTCATTAGGCAAACAATATGCAAGATTGATGTGTCTAATTTAGATGATGATGTTGTGTGATGATGTCATTTCCCCCTCAGCTGATTGGTTGTCACAAATCTTACATAAATTCGCTGGCCGCTCATCCGACTAACGCAGCCCTAGTTGCCAGCGGCGGAGGTCAGAGTTCAATCTCTCGGGAGTGTTTACTTGTTTCCACGGTTACCCGTGTTTCCTAGACGACCGATGCTGTGTGCTATGGGACCTGGAGGCGGGGAAGGTGGTGAGTCGACTCCAATTGAAGCACCCCTGTGTGGAGGTTGCTTGGCATCCACAAGAACCAATGAAGGTGAGAGCTTCTGTGCACTTTTTAGGGCTACATCATCGTTGGAACTGCTGTCAATTTTTTTGAGTATTGTACTATTTGTTTAATCTGTGAAAAATGGCCTGGCAAAACCTTTACTTGTAGTGCACTGACAATTATGCACATTTTATTTCCTCCCCCTTCCTCTTCTCCTTCTCTTTCTCTTTCTCTTTCTCTCCTTTCCTCCTCTCTCTCCGACCCTCTCACTCCCAAATAGCTACTGGTAGCTGACAAAAGCAGAGGCATTCATTTCTACGACATGAACACTCAAGTCCCCATCATGACTCTGGACATTACAAGCCACACCCACCAGCAGTTGACTCCGCCCCTTTTATCAGTCGATTGGTTGCCTAGCAACTACCTTCTAATAGGAGGCGTGGCTAATGGTCACTGGGCGATATGGGATGTATCTCAAAGCAGGTATAAACATGAACCCGTAAAAATAATTGGGAATGTGAAAGTGCAGAGGACACTATATATAGGTTAGATGCGGAGCCGAGGTGGCTACGTGGTAGAGTGCTGAGGGCTCCCTGTGAAAGTGCAGAGGACACTATAGTAGTTTATACACACTATAGTATGAGGTAGAACCTTTTAGAGGTGTGCCCTTTATTCAAACGCATCCTTTTTCGGAAAGTTTTCACTGACTTATTCACTAACAGGAAGTCCCATTTCCTCTCCCCTATTATGTGAATGAAATTACAGGAAATTCCATTGTCTCGTTTCCTGTTGTGCAGGTATCCCCTGGAAGTCAAATCTGCCCATAATGGACCCGCCACTGCCTTCAGGTTGCTACGCACACAAGTCCGTGATTAAATAATTGGAGAGAGAGAGAGAAAATAGAGCCGAGCCTGCTAAGTCGTGTTAAATGTTAGACTGTATTATCCTGTAAATTGCATGTTGCGCAATAATGCTTTGTGAAATACCAATGATGTAATGTTTACCGCTTGGCCTTAGTGCTGATGTTTGGACAGTGCTTTGTGAATATCAGAGTCTGCACATTCACTTTTAATACATCATAACCCAGCTATTAGTACGCAATGCTGGCATTGTGCAAGTATGTAGTAGCATTGACCTATGACGTTGTACCTTAGTAGTCTCGAAGAATTCCATATGACGTAATGTGAACTGTCACACCAAATTGTGCAACACATGCACATGCCTGACATACCAGAGTTTTGTTCACCCGTGCAAAGGAATTTGAACTTTGACCCCACCCAGATGGTGCTCGGCCGGCGAGCAGATGTTTGCGACGATTGGTAACCATGGAAACGAGGTCAAAGTGCATCACTTGGGACATCAAAAGGTGACCATGAATGAGTGTTTGCAGACATTAGTTTGTGGTGGGGGACCTCTTGCCCCAAATTTAAAAGATCTGTTTTTGTTTGTTTGTACCCACACGCAACATGAAACATGCGATTCTCTCTTGCATTGCACTACATATACAATTACATACAGTTGGATCTCCTCTTGTTATATATAATATGGACATACTGAATACTGGGCACAATCCTGTGCAAATAGTTTTTAGCTGCAAAATAAAGGACACCTTGATACGAATGGTTCCAGTGTGTATATATATACTTTGGAGATTCAACATGCATTTCACAAAGATTTTGTGGATTAACTATGCCTCGTCCCCCGCCCTCCTCTCTTTCCCCTCCTCCAAAGGTACCCATCAGTACAAATCTACCTGGCGTGGGTGGTATCTCGTGGCACGCGACTCTACCACTGCTGGCAGCGTCTTCGCACCGTTCCGTGCGGTTCTGGGGACTGGAGTTATAGGATCCGGACACATGCATTTATTAGTGTTTTGCATCTTTGTTATCCACATGATAATAATGACCCCCTAAAATGCGCATGCGGAAATACACCTTACGCACCGTGGTTCAGAACTTGCGCATGCGTAGTACATGCGCGTGGGTGTAGGGGCTTGCGTCAGAGACCCCTCCTGGAAACGAGACTAGGCCAGCTCAACAGAGAAAATGTCTCTGCTGCGATTGTTTGTGAGTGTTTTTGTCGGGACCTTGGGGGTGGTAATAGGGTGGTATTTTATCTCTCCAACGCCAGAGCATCACTCGAATCGTTTCAGTTCTTTTGCACCGGTGTGGGAGAGTTGCGAAGCGAAATGGTATGTCGACGGGCAGGACTATATGGCGGGAGTGACAGATGCAATAGAGGCCGCTTCAAAGGAGATCTTCATCACCGACTGGCAGATAAGTCCCCATATTTTCATGAAGAGACCTGTTACGGGTGTGGACAGCTCGCGCTGGCGACTGGACAAGATGCTGCTGAGAAAATCTATATACTTTTGTACTGGGAATCAAAAAAATTAGCCGGAATGGACCTTGGAAGTGAGTTTGCCCAGGTGCTTTTCACACATGAAAACATCACGGTTCTTCGTCATCCAGATGTAAATGCAATGATCCGTCATCCAATATCAGGCAGTAGTTTGTGGAGTCATCACGAGAAAATTGTCGTAGTTGATCGCAGTGTTGCATTTGTAGGGGGGATTGACCTTTGCTTTGGTCGTTGGGACACACATAATCACGAACTAACTGATAACTATCCCTGTCATCCGTGTGCTGTTGCTGAGAAAAACCAGTGTGATATAAGTGAGAACGAAGGGATCAAGTTTTGTCGTTGGGTGGGCAAGGATTATGGCAACACATTTGAAGGGGGTTGTAGGACTGAGCTAGACCGCCCAATTGACGACTACATAGACAGAAGCACTGTCCCCAGAATGCCGTGGCATGACGTTGGCTGCTCATTTACTGGACAGCCAGTTAGCGACGTGAGTAAGCATTTTATACAGCGATACAAATCTATTAAGCGTGATGACCATTATGACCTGGATGAAGATGAAAGGTATCCTGATATTAGTTATACTATTCAAGATCCCTAGTGCTAACAATCTAAGGATCCAGGTTCTTCGGTCAGTTGACAGATGGTCGGCTGATGAAAATCATGAAGCTTCTATATACAATGCATATCTTCATGCGATTGAAAATGCCCAACATTCTATTTACATAGAAAACCAGTTTTTTATTTCGTCTCAATCCGGAGTTTTCCTTAAAGTAGAGAACCAGTTGTTGTCTGCAATGGCTAAAAGGATTGCCCGTGCATATCGAAATGGTGAAGATTTTCATATTTATGTCATCATGCCATTAAAACCAGAATTTCCCGGTGAATGGGACACTAAAAGTGGAAAAGACTTAAGGTCAGTGAGTTACTGGAATTATTTATCACTTTACAATGGGGAAGATTCACTTTACAGCAGGTTAGAAAAAGAAAATATCCCCAAGGAAGATATACCGCTCTTTTTCAGTGTATATGGATTACGCACCCATGACACCCTCAATGAAACGCCTGTCACAGAAATTGTTTATGTCCATAGTAAATTAATGATTGTCGATGACAAGATCACCATAATCGGATCGGCTAACATCAATGATCGCAGTATGCTTGGAAGTAGGGATTCCGAAGTAGCAGTTATGATAGAAGACGTCCAAGTTATGGATGGAAGAATGAAAGGTCACTCATTTCCTGTTGGAAAATTCTCCCACAGTCTTCGCTGCCATCTAATGAGGGAGCACCTCGGTTTGCTTGATGATGAAAGTTATAATATGTCTACAAACTTAAAAGTGGAAGATCCGTTAGAACTTCATCCACGTTTTGGGGAAGTAGCCCTAGCAAATACTCTCACCTTTGAGCGAGTCTTTGGTGGTAGGATAACTCCCACAGATCATGTATGGAATTTTGACGATCTAAAAAATCGTGTATCTATACCAGGCCTTGTAGATTTTGACGTAAATGAAGCTAAAAAAGAATTGAGCAATATTCGAGGGAATATTGTTATCTACCCACTTTTGTTTTTAGCAGAGGTTCTCAAGCCATCGTATTTGGATATGTTTAGCATGTATGTTGATACTCGTGGTGATACCAAAGATTTAAACTTTGATACTGAAAAAACTTTCGTTGCTTGATCACTGCATAGTTTTTGAACACTTGCACCGTAGCTATTTAGGACCCCCTGTATATACTTGCTCTCTTTTCCCTCTACAAAGACATGTTAATTGTATCATGAGCTTATTGTGTAATGATCATGAAATAATTATTGTTATGCTGCAATCATCTCAACACAGACGAGTGAACGCCAAAGAAGAAATATTTCTTGCTCTCGATTCGCGAATCCCGTAGATCAGGTATCCTGTCAGGGTACAGCTGGTGGTACCTGGGGGGTTAAACTCTAAATACCTACAGTGACACTAAAGGGTTAAAATACCTGGAGTGTGCCTGGGCCTTGAATCTGACACCAAGTCTCTGTGGGATTCTGGATCCCGGGAGTAGAGACGGCAGCTGTTGGGGACTCTCCCCTATGATATCACCAACAATGACATCATCCACGAGACCACTGCTGTTTTTTTCTTCAAATAGCTGCTCTACTTCAGTTGTAGATTTTTCAACTGGTCTTGTGTCTTTTCCTGAGCATTTTTCACAATGTAGATAAAACTCTTATACCCCAGTGTTGGCTATAATTATAGCTGGATTCCTCACCAGCAAATTTCACTGTTGGTCTTGGAATGGGACTCTGATGCAGCATGGAATGTGGACGGGTGAGGTAGTATGGAATGGAACACGGCCAAATCGGGGAGAGCTGATTCCGACAATACTTCGACGAAACTCTAAAATGTAGCGACTGATTATTAGTGTGTGATCAAATTTTGCACTCGGAGAGAGCATTTAGGAAGAGAACTAGCTCTTTCAGTGATCTCAAAAACCGCAAGGACTATACATTACCATAAGGTGTTGTATTGACTGTAAGGGTAAGTTTTTGATGACTTGTATACCTTCGGAAATGTATGGGCAGTTGAGGTAGGCTGGTAGCAACAGACTCTTTCTGCCTTTCTTTCTCTTCCTCGTCCAGCAGCTCTTTTCCTGTTGTCAGCTCTTTCTCTGTGTGGCATGTGTCTTCCATCCCCTCACTCCCTCTCTCTGCCTCCACTTCCTTCTCTTGCACTTCCTCTTCACCCCTCTCAGCTTGTTCCGGAGACTCGTCCCTGCTAGATTCTCCCTCTCCCTCATTCTCTCCCTCCTTGTCCTGCCAGTGAACCCTCTTCTTCACAGCAACTTCCTTGTCCCAACTTCCGCCGTCATCATGATTTCGCTCACCAGCCTCGACAACCCCACCTGGCTTCACCTTACAAATGTCCAGATAACTTTCTCCTGTGCTGACATCTTGGCTGCGCTGTTCTGAGCCCTCTTCAAGGCATAGTTTTGGATCGTTTTTCCCGTTTTTCACCTCACAGCACTCCTTGAATCTCTCCCCCTTGTTCTTGTCTCCCTCATCTGTAACCCCACTGCTTATCTCGGCTCTGGAAGTTGGATTTGAATGAAGCTCGGCCAGTCTGCGGGTCCAAGGGTTGGTGTAGGTCTGTTGGTAGGTTGTGGTACAAAACTGGTGATGATGGATCTGCTGTAGAACTTCAGTTGTTCCTCGAGTGAGAGGCTGCATAAATTAATGAGAATTGCATGAATCTTTAGGGAGGTGTTCAAATGCACTCTGCTGTATATACATTCTGAGGAGGGGGAAGGGGATAAAATTGTGCATTCAAACTGATTAAAATTTCGACCAGTTTATCTAACCTAAAGAAGATACTTGTAAAATAGGTTTTAAGGGAAATAATCCAAAGTTCGGTTGCTCGATTTCTCTGCTCAAAGGGACGATAGTCACGGATTGTATATAAAAGGGAAAAACTAGCAAGAGTTAAAGTTTTGGACTCACGGAGAGTTTTGAAGATGTGGACTGATCAGCCAGTGGGAACACCACAAACTTGGATCGATGCGACGTGTACGTGTGGTTGCCAGGGTATTCACACAACTGCCTGTGATGACTGGAAAAATAGACAACTTCAGTTACGGTTGTGCAAAAAAAAACAGACACCAACTTTATCTGGTTTGTCAAGAGAGGTGGTGGCAGCCTGCAAGCAGGAAAGAGAGCATTACACATCATTATTATCCAATTTTGCTGTATTTTCTCTCACAGTTGGTCACAGGGGCGAGAGTCACTTAGAAGAAGGTCTGTGATTTGATATGGCTGCATCTGTGCAGAACTTAGCGGAAAAAACTTTCATTGGCATCCGAACAATGGTAGATGGATTATCAAATCACCGATTGAGGATGCCTGATCCATAGTGTCTGTGGCTCCTACTCGCCACGCCCCCTCGTTGTATCACTTGATCCGCGGCCAAGCCCATTCCTCCGTACTCTCGTTTGTCGGCTCCCCATCTGCGGCCGGAGTCTCTGACGTCAGTGCTGACGCGTCTGCAGCAAATGTCGTCGTACGACGGCCGCCAGTCAGTGGGTATTGCCGGCAATAACGAAGCCATTCATTACGTTACGTCGTCAGTCAGTCTACCGTGCGTTTACACCACTGTACCAACGCTGCAGCTAGAACCTCGACAGTGCTGCACAACACCGACGCGACGCCGACAATGCGCATGCGCACGAATCGCGTAACCTTTGACCCCTCCATTGTAGCGAAGCGATGGCTGCGGCAGGACGAGAGACGAAGAAGAAGAGGCCAGCAGCGCCCGCTGCAACACCCGAGAATCCCGCCGGGCAAGTCGCCACGCGCTTTAGAGACCTGGAGCCTTCGCTGCAGCTGCGGATTCGGCGGACGCTCATCACTTGCGGTGTCTGGTTTGGGTTTGTGCTGGCGTCAGCCGGGCTGTTCGTGCTGGCCAAGCCGTACATGGACCGCAGGAGAGAGGAGAGAGTGCGCCGAGGAGAGAGGCCGCGAGCCACGCACAACCCCTCGCATCCGTACGCACAGAGACGGCAAAATATCTCCAGAACTTTGGGTAATCCAACGAACGACTTTGAACAGAGGTAGTCAATCTTGTATATAGCTCACAAATTATGGTCACCAAATGAAAGTATAATTATACTCTCTTCTTTTACAAGAATTAAAAAATTAAAACGATACAAAGAGTAATGCACACTGTCGTAGAAAGATTGTTAAAAACATTTGTACCATGATGTACACAAAAGTTACAAAGTCAATCAGAGGAACTTCTTAGTCATTTCGATGATGGGATCGTAAACCTTGTACCTGGCATCCAGACCCCAGATAAAGTCCAGGTGTTCGTAGTACGAGATGTTCGTGTGGTTGAAGACGGTGTCCTTTATTTGGGGAACGAGACGAGCGACGTCGTCAGGGTCAGCCAGCCAATCGTGACCTCCGGAGAACAGCGCCGTGGGAACCGACAGCTCGGACGTGTTGTAGTTTGGAGGCTCACGCTGCACAGGGGAAGTCGGATTTCAAATTTGAAAAACGATATATAACTACATGTGGATACATAGCCTAAAGTAATGGCAAAATCCCATTGCTAAAATGCAGTTTTAGATGAGATTTATTTATAATCGCTTACCGTTCCGTAGGCTTTTAGGTTACCTTCAGTACCATAATCATACTTTCTGAACTTTCCTGATTTCATCTCCTTAGATAAAGACAAAGTATATTATAATACTTATACTTATACTTGATTACACCAAGTCAATTCATCTATAAGAATTGACTTGGTAGTAATCAGGAGCAAGAAGGTGTTTTGGGCTTACTTTTGCGTAATGGACGATGTTCTTCACGGACGTTCCAGCAGGAGTATGGGAGTAATACACTGGAATACGCGTCTACACAATCAAGAGAAAGATGAAGAAAAAAACAGCAAAATTTCGAACTTTTCAATGGTCTACAAATCGACCACGGAAACTTTAACAGAATTTTTCATAAAAGGCAGCAAATTATATTACACTGTGTTCCATAATATAGCACGAAACTTTCGATGCACTGGACAAATTGACACAGTATCACGGAAGGTTATTAATAGTCATCGTTGAGATTTTCCAACTTCTTCCCCAAAAGGCTGCACTGACCACATTAATGTTGCTGACGTCGAAACCGCAGATGAGGAATATGACGTCGCGACAGAGTTCCTCAATCTCAATGTCTAAAGGACAGATGTAGTCTGCAGCCCAATCGATAAATTCGTCGTTTGGTGAAAATTCACCCTCTCCGAACAGATTGAAAAGATACTGCAATCAGGTGTGAAGAAAAGAAGGGATCACTTTGCCCCATAAATCATCAATTGCGATAATACCCCCCCTCCACCCATTGGAAATTCAGGGATTTTGCCCCTTAACCGAATAATTACTCTGAAAGATTGCTCCAACTTTTCGTGTTTCTCACTCTGAACTTTCATGCAGCCCTTCTTTAAGATTGTTCAACTGTAATCTATATACTCTTTTCCAATGATGTATATATATGAGAAGCCCTTTGCTATGCCTGTATCAGCATCCCACAAATGATCTGTTAAATACGATATACCTCCAATGGTTTGTAGACATACTCCACTGCAGCAAACAGGCCCTTTACGTCTTTGACGGTGGTCACAGGAGCGAGCGCAAAGAAAGCTGTGATGTGGTCGGCGAGAGTTTTGTTTGCAGTGAATCCTGCAAATCCCATTATCGTTCCCTGAAGACAGATGGAGAGAGAGGGAGAGAGAGAGAGAGAGAGAAGTGGGGGAGGGAAGGGAGGAGAAAGGAATGGGAGGAAGAGGAAAACGAAGAGAGGGGACGAACAAAGAGAATAATGAAAGCACTAAAGTGCAAACCCTCGGCAAAGTAGCTCGCAGAGTGTCTGACACGGGCTAGCTACAGTAAGATAGCACGCGAGAGTCGATACACGCCATTCGTTGTGACTTCTTGTACCTTCAAGATAGAAGGAGCAAGCGGACCCGGTCCTTTGCTAAATATAAGCGCATGCGCATTATTAGCCAGCGATAAAATGGCGACTACCGGCATTAGCCATACAATGCTGGAAGCGCTCTAGCTTTGCAACGGAGCATTTTCAGAGAAAACCCCACAAAATTTCTGACCTTCATTGCCCGTTGAGTAGGTCATATCGTTTGTGAGACGAACAAACATTCGAAAAGTGAGACGTAGAGTAACAGACACACACACACACACACCCAACTACAGTACCCTCGCTGCGTATGCGCGCCGAGGGTAAAAAGCAGCTGCTATACACCTGATAATCAAGGAAGTGATTTAAGGCTCAAAAGTATATACCTGAGAGTGTCCGGCATAGAATAGCTTGTTTTGTGTTGAAATTTCCATGGTTTTAGTCAGCATCGCTGGTAGATCAATCAGTGAATGCTGGTCAAAACTAGAACCGTACGAATGTGAAAAAAGATTAAAATCTTATGAGCTAGTATTTTTGAGCTCACGAGAAATTCCAGAAGGCTTTATCGTGGACAGTCAAGTGGGTGTGGTTTCGGGAGTACGTGTTTCCCCTCACGTTCCCCATCCACACGTCAAAACCGGCGTCTGACAGAATGAAAGCGAAACTCTCGTTCGCCAGATTAGTAAGCCAGTTTGTTGACGAGCAGAGAAGCCCATGTTGAAGGAAAAACACAGGTCTCGTGATGTTACTGCTCCCTGGAAATGAGAAACTTTCGATACTGTTCAGTGTTTAAACTACTTTTAAGGTGAAGATTTACCAACCACTACAGCTCTGGTGCCTTGTTGCAGTGCCACTCTAGTCATGTGCTTTCTACTTACTGCTCTTTACTAAACAATATCTATCTATTATTATACTGTTGCAGGCATTTATGCAGTGGGTGTTACACTTCAATGAATAATAGTCACCACATAGTCGTGTGTCACATGTTACGTAATATTATATACGATTACACCCAATCTCTCTCCGCAAAATTTGCAACAGTCATCCATGTCCATAATCTATCACGCCAATAATCTGAAGGTTTTAAGACAGATTTTCCCATTTCTCATTCCCCCACAAACTGCGAATTATTTAAAGTTTCCTGCTCTGTCAACTCCTCATATATACCTACCGTTGGCGTTCTTGCTGTAGGGAATTCTGTGCATCTGCAGTATGTAGCCATCAGGGGTAGTGACATAGTGACGCTCTGCGGGATACCCCTTTGATTTAATGAGCTCAATCTGATAAAGAGCGGAAGAAATAGGGGGAATAATGGAGGGAGAGAAAAAGAGAAGCTAGCTTTGAAAATAACATTTGCTAAAGCGAGCCAAAGAAGTATAAGTACAATGCACCAGCCCTAAGCGCTGGTACAACGCACGACGGCAAACCTCACACGTACGACGTATATACCCCCTACGCGAACGGGTGTCCCGTACAATTATTACCGCGATGGTGTCCGTTTTGACGAAGTAATCCTGCGATTTGCACACTTACGGCGTCCATGTGCACTTCGGGATCAACGGAGCCGACGACTGCTAGTATAGAAGTGACCAGCACGACCTCCAGAACTGCACGACTCCCCGCCATCATCAGTTGACGCTGCTGTCTCTCCCCGGCCCAGGTCCCTGCTCAGTTAATCAGCGCGGCGACAAAGGCACGCCCCTATCTGTAACAAATGTACGCATGCGCAGTTCAATCACATGACAAAACAACGTGACACACCCCCGGCGGCGGCCGTGTAGTAGAACGTCTCTGTTTTTGCTGTTTCCAACTTCGGAGAACTGCAGTTTAGTAAGCGAAGGATCGCCAGAACACCGAGGGACCGTTTCAGAAGAATGGCGGCTGTTCCAGCGACGTTTGGCGCCCTTCTCGTGGTGTTTCTTGCGGCCCAGTCCGCCGTGGGCTACCGCGAAGACCCAGAAGTTCACATGGACGCCGTAAGAACGAACTTTTCTGCATCACAACAGATTGTGCGACCCGTTTGGGTTTGTAACAGGCCTTCAGAAGTCGTTTTTACTGCGCAGGCGTAGCATTCTCCGACAATTAGCGGTGGGTATAGCTGCATCCTTCTGCGTTTCATCATCGAGCGGTGCCAGAAGGGCCTTGGTTTAGTCTAGCTGCTCAGAGTTCCCTGGCCTTGGAGCCAACATGACCTCATGGGGGATGCTTGCCTGGGAAACATCGCAAACCACAGACTTATTTTGATTCCGGTTTCACCGCTTAAAAATTTGTTTCACAAAGACTAGTATTGGACCTCATTTGTCCCTCTCACTCTATTATTTTGCAGATTCAGCTCATTACTTCCAAGGGGTATCCGGCCGAACGTCACTTTGTTACCACTAGCGATGGCTACATATTACAGATGCACCGAATTCCGTACAGTCCAAAACATGCAAGTAAGCCGCTTTCTCTTCAGTTAACGGTTGAACCAATCCGGACACCGATGGGAAAGAAGAAAGTGTCCATATTAGTGAAGTGTCCTTTTTTTCGGGGGTTAATTTTTTATGCAAGATATCTGTTGTTTGGGGAAGAATATATGAGAGGTGTCCTCATTTCAGAGGTGTCCTTGGAGACACCCCATCCGTGAAATCAGGTTACATGAAATAGCATGCACCTAGCCCCCACCCTTATTAGTACTATCCTAATGGTTGACCACCCAAAACCCATATAAGCAATGAAGTGTTCAGTGAGTGAGTTATTCAGCTAGTTTGTTTCTCCTTGCTCCCCCACTCACTGTCTCTCAGTCAACATTTCAAGAGGAGTCTTTTTCCTGCAACACGGCGTTCTCGGCTGCTCAACTAATTGGTTGACTAACCTCGTTAACGAGAGCCTGGCTTTCATTCTGTCGGACGCCGGTTACGACGTGTGGATGGGGAACGTGAGGGGAAACACCTATTCCAGAAACCACACCCACTTGACTGTCCACGACAAGGCTTTCTGGAATTTCACGTAAGCTTTACAGAACTTTTTACCTCATTTTTTGCACTTTTGTTGAGCTATAGTGCCCAAGCCGTTGCAAATAATAAGTAGATATAATATTTACAGTTAAACCTCTTTATTTGGGACACTTTCAATAGAGTGTTCTATATTCAGAGGTGCATCGAAGAACAAACTAAGCGTCACTTATTGAGAGGTGTAGTTTATTCAGGAGTTCCTTTTTCGGAGGTTTTATTCTACTGCACCTTCAACCTTATAGTGACCTGAGAGATTACTAATATTGTATTAATATTGTATTAATTGTGAGTGTGTATGACTATATTTGTTGATTCTGGTACAATAGATTTGACCAGCACGCTCTAATCGACATGCCAACGATGCTGACTAAAGTGATTGACGTCACCGGACAACAACGCCTGTTTTATGTCGGACACTCTCAGGTCGACGATGATGTCACGTGCTAGTCACATGACGTCATGTGATCTCTCTCTCTTGCAGGGAACGATCATGGGATTTGCTGGATTCACAGCCAACCAATCTCTTTCCTCTCATATCAAGGTTTTCTTTGCCTTAGCTCCAGTCACCACAGTGCAGTATATCAAAGGCCCTATCACTCTCCTCAGCCCATTCACCGGCATACTTGAGGTGTGAGAAAATGTGGAGAAGAGTTTCTTGCATAAGGCAGCATAGAGCAAAGAAGACTTTCGAAAGGACACTCTGAACAGCTAAATGCACTTTTTTCTATATCCGGTGCTAATAATTTCATAAAGATGCCTCTATAATTATTATATAGAAAGGATATCATTGTCCCAACATGTCATTTGTAAAGAGACTCCACACTGTATATAACACTGTTCTTTTTATAGTATATTCTAGACACACTGGGCGCTGGAGAATTCTTACCCAACGAGGAATTTGTAGACATTCTGGTCGATTTCTACTGCTCCTGGGACGAAAAGGATGCCGACAACTGTCGAGATGTTCTCTTTCTTCTCTGCGGGTTTGACCCTGCCAATATCAACACCGTGAGTCCGACTAGTACACAGATATAAATTGCTGTATGTTGCAGGATATTATTTATTTTTGTGAGTACTACTGGTCGAGCTTGACAGAATTGAAATTTTACTGTTTTGGCAGTAACCTTTGCCAACCAAAGAATTGCATTTTCCAGCTACAGCTATAGTCAAGGTATTCAGGATTGGTGATTGGTCTGCCCTTCCCTCCACTTGCTTGTTAAAAGTACGAGAAGTTTAAGCCACCCTATTTTCCACTGAGGATTATTTTCACTGCACACTCCAGCTATAGTCAAGGTATTCAGGATTGGTGATTGGTCTGCCCTTCCCTCCACTTGCTTGTTAAAAGTACGAGAAGTTTAAGCCGCCCTATTTTCCACTGAGGATTATTTTCACTGCACACTCCAGCTATAGTCAAGGTATTCAGGATGGTTAGTTGGTCTGTCCTTCCCCCCACTTGCTTGCTAAAAGTACGACAAGTTTAGGCCACCTTCTCTCTCTGTCACACGCACACACCAGACGCGAATACCAGTCTACCTCTCTCATAATCCAGCCGGAACATCTGTCAAGAATGTTGTACATTACAATCAGGTACGTATAATATGCAATTTTACCCATGAAACCTCACTAATAAGGAGACCTTTATTCACATTTAACCCCTAAAAAATAGGCCACCTCACTAATAAGGACACTTTCTTCTGTCTCCTTTGGTGTCCAGATAACAAGCTTCACTTTGCAGCAGTAATGCACCCACATAATTTTTTAAGTGTCTGTAAATTTTCGTTATGCAGGAGTACTTGTCGGGAAAGTTCAGAAAGTACGACTACGGCACGGCTGGCAATATGGAGGAATATGGAACGGTGAGTAGTTGGTATATGGAGGAATATGGAACGGTGAGTAGTTGGTATATGGAGGAATATGGAACGGTGAGTAGTTGGTATATGGAGGAATATGGAACGGTGAGTAGTTGGTATAATTATGTAGCCAGGCGAAAGTGTTTGTCTGTCCACTTGTGACGCGATATGTGGGAGTAAAACTTTAATCTCACTGCTTTTATCTTCTCGCGTATAATATGTACATGTGTATCATTAGTTCTCAAATGGAGGATTTTGAATTAGAGTGGGCTTAAAAGTATATCTTACTAATTTATATATACTCTCCCCTTTTAACTATAAAGTTGCCGTAATCATCGTTGAGACATATATGCAGCAGTAAGTACATACAATGTGCTGTGTATGTAGTTTATTAACACCTTACTTTCTCTCTCCCCCATCTTTCTCTTTTATAGCCCTCCCCTCCTCCATACAATGTGACGCAGCTGACAATCCCCACGGCGATCTTTACCGGTGGAAACGATTGGCTGGCTGATCCCAAAGACGTCGATAATCTGATACCCAAAATCAGCCACGTCATGATAAACCACACCTACGTGGCGTCGTACGAACATCTGGACTTTATATGGGGACTGAATGCACCGGAATTGATATATAGCGTGCTAATGGAGCTAGCACGGAAATATTCTTGATTTCTGTCATAATGTGATTTCTAGTGTGTCTCGTGTGCAATAAATTCACAGGTTTATCTATTGATAAGTTTATACCCCACCTATAAAATGGATTCTCTGGTTTACCCAGGGAATTACGTCACTTCCCGGTGGTGGTGACGTAATTTCCGATTATATACTCGCAGCAGCCGGAAGTTAAGTTTGCGGTGCGTTGATTTGGACACCGCGCGCTCTATCGCGCATGTGTAAGAAACAACTGCATGCTCGCAAACAGTGTGCAGGCAGCGAAGCAGGAAAAAGTTTGGTGGTTGAAAGTTGTTTTGCTGTGGTCCTCCGTGCAGGCCAACTGTTAGCGCTGGCTAGTTTTGCAGGCGACACGAGTTGTTCGTGTGTGCAGATACGCGCGCGGCTCCCCGCCACCTAGTTGAAGCCGGGTGAATGCGCAGTGACGAGCTAAGTTTGAGAGTTACAAGATGTCGCGACTGATGCAGCCGACCCAGAGAGGTCTGTCTCAGCCCTCAGATCCTCCTTCCTCCTCTTACACTTCTTCACTCCACCAGCAACCGCCAGATCAGAAAAAGGTGAGTTCACAAACTAGAGAAATTCGCGACGAGCCGCAGCAATAAAGATACCGGACGTGTGTGATATAGCTAACACTCAGCTAGCTACACTATTAGTACTTCAGACTGCACGGAGGGTGCGTGTGTTAGCGGCGCGGCTGCAGCTCTAGTGAGCGGGTGGTTGCGCCGCGGCGTTTCAAGTTTGTATTTGGAAAACGCTATAGCTCGTTGATGACTGTATATGGTTTTGAAACCTGCAGCTTCCCCGCTGTGTTGTCGGGCTTTCCGCTTTCCTCGCGGGAGGGGAAGGGGGAGGAAGGTCGGCCTCGACACCGGATTTGGCGGCGCTTTTCATCCCGGGGACCTATCACTTCGTCGGCTAATGTTGATTGGACAACAAGTGCCTTTGTTGCTCTAGCTACAAAACTGTGGGCAACTGCTTATCTATGGCCCGTGCTGCTAATTTTCTTACTACATTTTCTGCTGTGCATTTCCGCACACTGGGAGCAATTATGCTGAAATAATAATAACAACTACGTTTTTCTTGAAGTGATTTTTACACCTTTTCAACATCTTGCTTAGTTGGCTTGGGATTGGGTTATAATGTAGGTGCTGCAAGGATTGCGTCTGTGTAAATTTTATTTTGATTGACTTGAATTGTGAGAAGCAGATTGGATTTCAAGGCGGGCGTCTGACTAATTTTGCAGAGGAATTCTTTAACCAGCGCACTAGACATTTGGCCCCTGTGGTGTCCTGATCAGTGAGTTGTCCTGATTAGTTAGGTGTCCTGATCAGTGAGGTGTCCTGATCAGTGAGTTGTCCTGATCAGTGAGGTGTCCTGATCAGTGAGGTGTCCTGATTAGTGAGATGATGCACAGGTGTACTAATAGGTAAAGTGTCCTGATTAGTGAAGTTCCCTTCCTTAACTTCCCTTTTTCCATAGTTGGACAGCGTCTTAATGCGATGATGGGAACGTTATGTTACAGTGAGGAAGAGGTTAATTTAGTTCGGTGGAAACGTTCCGAATTCATCGAAATGCAAGAGAGTTGTCCTTTATTTGACGTGCTATTATAAGAGTTTCCACTGTATAAGCTGGGGTATATACTAGTTATACATTATGAATGGGTAGAGAAGTGTGCATAAGGTGCAGTGGTCTAGGCTTGTGAATAAGACAATAAGAGGAAGTGAAGAACTAAAGGGTGAGAAAGAGAGGGAGGATGAGGAGGAGAGACTATGACTGGAGTAAGCCGGTGTCAAAGGAAAACGTGGGCCGTGTTCTTACCATTCACCGATTGTAGAACAAACCGGGGAGAGAGAGATGGCGAATGGAGGGGTGGAGAATGGAGGGAGAGAGAGAGAAGTGTTGTGTTTATTCTACTCACAGATCCGTTGTAAAGCAAGGCCCTGGTGGAATTTTCATTCCGGACATACACACACACAAAACCAAACACTCTATCCACAACGAGAAGTGTATACATTCGCCTCGGTCGACCACCGCGGAAGATATCGCGCCGTCTCGCGATATGTACGTCATGTTTACCCGTTCGTGTTGTGGGGTGTTTTAAAAAACGTTTCAGTTCGCCTGTGAACGCACACGCACACTGCCTCACGCAAACGTCAATTGAAGCCTGTTGATTTACTGTGGACAAAAGACCTTTGCAGCTGTTTTCTTACACCCTCTGTTGTTACTGTAGACGACAGTACTGGAACCCCAAGAACTCTATAGGCTGTAATGTTTATATAGGTTAAGGGGTAAGCGCACGTGGGCTCTTGTTTTAAGCATACCTCTGTCGTCAACCGCTTATGAACTTCCTACGGTGTAAGCGATCTACTGTGTTATGCGGTTTAAGCACCTACGGGCTGTTGTTTTTAAGCGCACGTCTATCGTTTAACGACCAACGATAAGCGATCCCCTGGAATACGAATAAGTGCCCGCGGGCCCTTGTTTAAGCGTGTGGTCAACAGGATATGATTCAGTGCTAGCTAGCTAAGCCCTTGACTGGGGCTGTTGCAACTTCCTGATCTCTTGTAGTGCCTTACAAAGCGTATAGTAAGATATGGCGCAAAAAGGCTTTACTTGTGCTTACACAAGCATAGTCTGCAGACCTTAGCAGCTGTGCTGTCGTTTATGATGACTTGGACTCAAGGTTTATTGCAGAATTTGTGTCTGGGGGGCCATAGGTGTTCTCGATATAGCTGTTTACCGATCGCGTCCATTACCACCTATAGTCACCCATTCGTTGTGTTTGCTGTTTTATGCGAAAGTACACACAGCTAAGTCGCATAAGGAAGTTGTTCCTGTACTCTATCAAAAACAATAGCACAAACAATGTTGTAGAGTTACAGGAATGTAAACAAGTGTGTTCGCACTTTCGTGGGTGACGCCACATCTTACAGATGTTGAAAAAGCAAAGACATGTGCTAGTTGTAACGTGGTGTTTTCATGGTGTTTTGTTGCATAGTTTGTTGCCATGGATTTTGGAGGGCAAATGCATGTCATTTCAGTTTCTGTAGTTAACCTCTCCTCCTTAGACTTTTTAACCCTTTGTTACCTCTCCTTCCCAGACTGTTTACGAACCATTTGTTAACCGTCATTCTCAGACTGTTTAAGTTAACCCTTTGTAAGCTGTTCTTCCCACGATTGTTACCCTATGCCTTCCAAGTTGTTTTCCTCAGATCTCAGATAACAGAATAATTACTTAACCCTCTGCCAGTCTCAACAATTAAGCCTCAAGGGTAAATATTTAACCTTGCCCAGCCTATACAGTTAACTCTTTTTCTCACGAGGCTTTAAAACCCTCTCTTTACCGGACCTTTAAAACCCTCTCCAGCCTCTATCTACCCCTTGGTTAACCATTGGCGTACATGCTAACAGATGCCGCATGACCCTGAGCTAATCTTCTAACAATGGCTTCCTAACCACTACGTACATGTTACTACATGTGTATCAAAACAGTATGGCTTCTTTTGACCTAGTAGTTCCATACTGATGGATGGTGGGCATTAAATAGGTGATACTGATGAACAGGTATATGGCCCTACTCACTACTTCCTTATTGATGGATGGTGGGCATTAAATAGGTGATACTGATGAGGTCTATGTATCCTCATTTCAGGGGTGTCCTTAGAGAGGGGTTCCACTGTACTATACACAGAGCTCACCGTTTCCCAGGTGACAGCAGGCTGATTGTCTCCCGAAAGAAAAGGTGTCAATATTAGAGAGGTATCCTCATTTCAGGGGTGTCCTTAGAGAGGGGTTCCACTGTACTATACACAGAGCTCACCGTTTCCCAGGTGACAGCAGGCTGATTGTCTCCCGAAAGAAAAGGTGTCAATATTAGAGAGGTGTCCTCATTTCAGGGGTGTCCTTAGAGAGGTGTCCTCATTTCAGGGGTGTCCTTAGAGAGGGGTTCCACTGTGTAATGTTTGTAAAGGGGGACTAGGTAGTAATTTCTAGCAATGTTAGGTGTAATAATTCCGACGCCTGTTCTATTGTAGTTGGTCCGCTTGTTAGTGGGCGTTAATTAGACTGATTAAAGGCCTCTGATATCACGTAGTTGGATAATTGGCAAGCGAACAACCGCTACCTCGTCGTATAAATTGTGTGTGATTTTTTGGACCGATATCATACCTATTAATTACTCGTATTATGTCATGTGTCAAACACGAGGTATGTAGAAAAGGCAAGGCACACACACACCACACACAGGACAGCTGTTTTTTTTTGAAGAGCTGCCCTGGGTGGGATTCGAACCCACGACACTCTGCAGTCTATAGGCGAGCGCTAAGTAATCCTTGTGTTCTGTGCCTTTGCAGTCTAGGCGAGCGCTAGGCAATCCTTGTGTTCTGTGCCTTTGCAGTCTAGGCGAGCGCTAGGCAATCCTAGTTCCGTCCTTGTGTAATGTACTATGTATAATGAGATATTGCTGATGCGGAATTAGCAATAAACATCAATTATCACTAAACGACTGTCAAGAGGTATTGTCAATTACCCTAACGACACTTAGCAACGGTACATCTGTTCCTTTTTGTTGATACGGCAACAAACGACTTACAGACACATCTCCACGTGCATTAGATGGCATTATCGGGGAAGTAACTTATCCCATAAATAAGTACCCCCCACCCCCACCCTGAGTGAGATGTCCTTATTTCATGGGTTAAATTGCCTGCAAGAACTGATCTTGGGGAAAGAAAAGGTGTCCTTATTAGAGAGGTATCCTCATTTCAGGGGTGTCCTTATTAGAGAGGTGTCCTTATTAGAGAGGTGTCCTCATTTCAGGGGTGTCCTTATTTCAGGGGTGTCCTCATTTCAGGGGTGTCCTTATTAGAGAGGTGTCCTCATTTCAGGGGTGTCCTTATTTCAGGGGTGTCCTTATTAGAGAGGTGTCCTTATTTCAGGGGTGTCCTTATTAGAGAGGTGCTTATCAGGGGTGTCTAGAGAGTGTACCAATGTCTCTGAGCTAATGATTGCTAGGAGCATTTGTCTAAACCAGAAACTGTGTGCCTGGGAACGCAAACGGTACCGGTCCATTTCAGTGATTGCCCCCGGCAACCAAACATTACGCAAGTGGTCGTTTGGGAGGGAGCATGTGTGTAGGAAACTCTGAAGAATAGAGAGATGGGAAAGATAGCGATTATTGTGACCGCAATATGGTGTGTTTCTTTTGACGAAATTGAACATGAAAACCAATTAACATTGTATACAATCTTAATTAGCTTGTATACAAATATTCAACGCCGCGCTTTCTATAAAAACAGCACCGAATAGCAAGAAAGTGTACATATATTTGCTGTGCTTTTTTTAACGAAATGCAATTTGAAACTCAGTTAGCCTCACTGTATATACAAATACCCAATCCCAAGTTTCTCCCAAACTTTTAGTGTCAACTACTTTCGTTGCTAATTTGTGTATATACTTTTGTTCCTAATTAACATACGATCTACATACATCCATACATGTACATTAACAGCCCTTATCAAGTAAATCTGCGCAAGTGTTTTATTACGAGTAGTCCGAACTTTCCTAGGCTGATTATTTCATGAGCTGACATGCTGGTATAGAGGGCAAATACACTCTTTATTAATGTACACATGTTTACCATACCATATATTATTATAGGCTCTTATGATATTTACATACTATTAACCTTTGTGTGTCGTTTGTTAACGATTCCGCCCATTACTCTGGGCGCGTGGTCTATGGCCCTAGTGCTATGGCAGCCACCTGAGTATTATCAATATTGTTTTTAACCTTTGTGCGTAGTGTATAGGCATGCAGTTCAAACTATAAGGCGGTTTTCTATAGTAGATCTTACCTCATTTGGTGTACATTTTGTCAATGGGCTAATGAAATAATTATACACGTGGAGTACTACAGACAATGAAGTTGTGTGTCTGTGTGTGACAGGCAAAATTAGCGGATTTTCTCACGGCCGGTCAAGTGTGAGACGTGAGGGAAGAAAATGAGTATAGTTACCATTCATGGTCGATAGCTCACAACTACTATAATTATCGCTGTCCGTTTGAATAGTGCTGTGCCTGTGTGTGTGTGTGTGTGTGTGTGTGTGTGTGTGTGTGTGTGTGTGCGTGTGTGTGTGTGTGTGTGTGTGTGTGTGTGTGTGCGTGTGTGTGTGTGTGGTGTGTGTGTGTGTGCGTGTGTGTGTGTGTGTGTGTGTGTGTGTGTGTGTGCGTGTGTGTGTGTGTGTGCTATTGTGAGAGTCGCGGTGAGCCTGTTTGTCTCGTCGGAAAAACCTGTCTGACGGGTCTGGTTTGATTGAGTAAACCGGGTCTGTTTGCTTGGTGATGAAAATAAGCTGGTTTAGCACCAAAAAATGGCTATCACCTTCGCTACATCTACATTTTACTTACCCCCCTCCCTCCTTTCCTCTCCCCCTCTCTCCTCCCTCTTCCATTTGACCAAAATACCACAAAAATCTTGGCCCAGTTATAATACTGCATGCCACAGCACGCAGTATACAACTGTATATAGTATGAGGAACCCTTACATCACAATGTGTTCACAGAACTCCATTCAACGAGTCGCCTACACTTTCACACGCCTTCTCCAAACTTGGAAGCCCCGACTCGAAATCCCCACTCTATTGTCGTCTATCGGCGTTGTGTAGTTCACTTTGCCATATTATTTGTACGACGATGAGAGTGGTTTTGGGAAAATCCGAGTGCATTTTCAATGGATGCAAACGGACTAGTTTTAGTGTTGGATGCACACACCTCAGTGGGAGTCTAAGGCCCATGGCCAGTGTTTACCCCGCCATGCGTTTGCTGTCGAAACACACGTGTGCTTAGGACCCGGGGGTATAGCAATTTAGCATCTTACCGAGGCCTTTCACTGATGTATGGTGCAAATATGCAACCTCTACTCCCCACTTGGCTATCCTTTTATCGGTTCTTGAGGCTTGTAATTTTTGTTTGATGATGGGATGTTCCGCCAATTAGTAGCCTGTAAGAGTTTGTTAAACACTTTGTTAGAACCAATGGAGCAGTCGTTCGTCTGTTGGCATGCAGTCCGGTGCTGTTCAGGTGTACATGTGTGGTCGTGTTTTCTTGTGACAATCGTACCGCATCTTGTAAAATCCCTGTAGATTGTGTGAGTGATAGTCCCTCTGCATGTACATGTTGTACGTGTTAGGTTGTACATGAAGACATGGTGTAGCTGCTCATGTTACATGAACCTTTACAGAACTACTCACATGATTTCCACGCCCTTCCTCTTACTCTCTTCATTTCCTTCTTCCCCCTCCCTCCTCCTCCCACACAAACACACACTCACTCACTTCACTCACTCGCTCACAGGTATACATGGACTGGGCTAACCACTACCTTCGAAAAGCCCACTACACACACTCTCTCTCAGACCTACACGAATGTGTAAAGGGAGACAACCTGCCCAAAATAATACATGCAGTCGGTAAGTACTTACAGTATGTACATGGCCTCATGTAGAATGCATGTACATTTACTTACAGTATGTACATGGCCTCATGTAGAATTCATGTACCTTTACTTACAGTATGTACATGGCCTCATGTAGAATTCATGTACATTTACTTACAGTATGTACATGGCCTCATGTAGAATGCATGTACCTTTACTTACAGTATGTACATGGCCTCATGTAGAATGCATGTACCTTTACTTACAGTATGTACATGGCCTCATGTAGAATGCATGTACATAGTGTGCAGTACATGTAGATTATGTGTAGGAATGTAATCAGTTGTATCAACCTACATGTAGGTGTGATGTGAACAGATCTGTGTGTTTGATAACAAAAACATCATTCGCATTGGGTCTGTCGGCACTTTGACGTATAAACGCACACAGTTTGGGGTTTACGTTGAACGACGATGTCGTTGTGACGTTTTCTCTTTCTTTCTGCAGTACAGAGCCACGTCCCGAACATTACCGTTTCCCCGGCAACCAAGGATGAAAGGGTTAGCCAATTTTGACTAGCCAACAATGTGCAATTAACCCTTTGTGAAGAAGTGGCTATAATTCATAGGTTAAACTGTTACCATGGGATCGAAACAAGTGTCCTTTAGACAGCTGCCTTTATTCAGACCACACAAAAGTGCTAGCACTGGATTGAAACAAGTGTCCTTATAGAGAGGTGTTCTTTATTTGGAGTATCTCTTATAAGAGGTTCCACTGTATTACAGACCCACAACATCAAGTGTTGCATCCGTCAGCTCGAAGCCTCGGGCATGAACTGTTCTTCCTTCTCTGTGTCTGATCTCGCCGACGGCAACACAAAGGCCATCCTCTCCCTCTTCTACACCCTGTCGCAGTTCAAGAGAACCAGCAAATCAGGTCTGAAACCAGTTTGACCAGTAGTATTGCTTTGAAGTAGTTCGTGTTTTGTAATGATTGGTGGATATCACTAGGGAGTTGGTGGGATAGATGTTTGTTGCCGTAGCGTCGAGCAAGTGGTTATGGCAGGTGGCTGCGAGGTAGCCGTCCGGAATGTCCAGCGCTTGGCAGCTGCTTGTCCTCGTTATTAAGCTTAGTTTCCTCCCTCGTGCTCATTGATGAAGGGAGGGAAGGAGGCCGTTGGCTTAACTTTCACTGCCTCCTTGTGTCATCTTCTTCTTTCTGTTCCTTGGTTTAGTCTCTCTCTCTTCCTCCTTTTCTCTTTTCCTTCCCTTCTTCCCCCACCTTCCTCCCTCTTGTTTTGTGCCGCCATTTTCTATAGCGACGGGATCTGAGGCGCCAGGTTCGCGAATCGCTCGACCGGTTTCTCCTGGTCTTAAAAACTCCCACGGAGTCACTGGTGGTTCAGGTATGACATCGTCCCTCGCATACATTTCAATAGGCAATCATTACCTATGACATCATTCATAATTGAGTGATAATGATATGTTATTGTTGCAGGTGCTCCGGCCCAGCAACAAGGTCTGACCAATGGGATTGGAGGGATTTCGAAAATGGCGCCCCTGTCGCCGTCCAATAGGAGGACGGCCGGAAGCTCCATAGTAACCTCCACCATCGATAAACACTTCCCAGCCAGACGAACCGCTCCCTACAAAAACGTCATTTTGAACGGCGAGAAGCCAGCTGCATTGGAAGGGAGTGGTGAGGAGAGAGAAGGAGGGAAAGGTTTGCCGGCGACCGTGAGCACGTCACGACTGGATCACATGACCAGAAAAACCAGTACCCCAGGGGTTAAACCAGGCCCCGCATCTTCTTCGCCGTCCGGTGGGGAGCAGATCCTCTCACCAATGAGCATTTCCCAACCGAACCTACACCGCCAGATTCCCTCTCGTTCCAAGTCAGAACCTCGTCTCGCGCGCTCGAGAACAACACAACAACAACAACAACAACAGCGTAAGGGTAGCAACTCTAGCGATATCGAAACCGAAACCGCGACGAAATCGGCGACGTCGTCTGCGCTCCCCAAAAGGATGTTGAAGCAACCGAGCGCGAGTGGTATTCCTAGCGGGCGTTCTACTCCGGTGGATCGGGGTAGCCCGGGGCGAACGACTCCGTCGCGACTGATGAGACCGGGTAGCAGGTTGAACAAGATTGGAAATGGTCCCGAGAAGAAGACAGTAGATAGTAATTCTGCGGCAGTGAAGGAGGTTTCGTCAGACGAGAGTGAGGGAGAAAGAGTGAGGAGTCGAGCGAGAAACAGCAGTGAAGTCCGGAAGATCTCCATGACGACGTCCCCTCGGAGCACGTCGAGGACAGGTAACCAGGGGATATCGATTCCGGGGGGCGGGGGGTCAAATATTCCACCGGGGAACCTGAACATCTTGGGAGGGGGTCGGGGGTTGTCTAAGACCGCTATCCACAGTTCCGATTCCAGATTGGCAAGTCCTGGTTCCGTTCCGCACGGAGACATCGGTTCCAGACTACGCAAGATGAGTTTAACAGTGGAGAAAGAGCGTTCTTTCTCGACCTCGGAACCTGGGACGGCTCTCGGAGATGTAGCTGTGAAGAAAGCAGCTGTAGGGCTTCAGACACCATCACCGCGGCAACTTCGAGGTCAGAGTTCGTCGGCGTTACCGCTAAACGTGAAGAGGTCTGAATCGACTGTGGACGAACGACAGGGCGTGAAGAAGGAAGGGGGAGAGGAAGAAAAACCAACTTCGAAACTTTCCAAACCATCTTCCCTCCCGAGATTCGGTGCGTTGAGTCCGGGAGATCGACGAAAGTCGCCAAGCGGGTTAAACAAGTTGCAGCAATCTCTCGCGACATCACAGGGTTTCGCTGTACCTGTTGCTGGTCTAGGGTCAAAGGTCGCACAAGGGAACACAACTGGGGGGCTGAAATTTGAGCGAACCCCCAGAGAGAGGGTGGGGAGCAGCAACAGTAGCATTGAGGGGTCCTCCGAAGATGGAACACCTACTCTACTGGAAAAACAGGTCTCTTCAACCAGTTCAACGGAATCATCGGCTGTCATCGTAGGTGGCAGTAAAAAACCGGTCGAGCCAAGCAGTATACCTGTTAAACCACTAGCCGGTGGGAAAGATAATCGCCGAATCAGCCCCGAGGGTATGTCGCCTGACAGGAAGACCCTTTCAAACGAGTCAATTGAGGAAAACCAGAAAAACAGCCTCGAAAAACAGGAAAAGATGACGAAGCTCATCACAGACACAACAGCAGGTGACGGGGTGAACTGTGACGGAACCAGAACAGGGAAAGTGGGTGTGGTGGAAGTGGGCGGAGTCGGGGAACCAGAGATGCAGACTCCGAACCTCAGTCAGGGGTCGGAGGTTGCCACGGATACAACCCTGAGCTCGCTCTCGCTGGCCTCCGTCTCTTCGCCGCCTCCATCGCAGCCCGAGACGGGGCAGCCACCGTACTCCGTGTCCGTCTCCCCCCTGGCGAAACGCTCCTCCTCCCCCTCACAGTCGTCACATGACTCTCACATGACCTCGGAGAACAAGCCCGTTGTAGGTGACCAATCAGGCGTCACCAGAGCATCACCTGCTCCCTACAACCCCTTGCGATCGCCGCTCGCTAAAGACAAAGAGAAAGCGAAGCGTGCCCGTTCCCTGAGCCCAAAATTTTCTCGGAGAGTGTTCCCCCCTCAACAGTCTCCTGTGGGACCGTCAGTAAACGTGTCACATTTTGACACGAGCGGGGGGCCCCCCTTTTCCCCTCCGCATTTGCCAAGAGAGCGATTTGCGCACCTTGACCTCTCCCGGACCGAAAGCCCCGAGTCGGTCAAGAGTGACGTCGCCGTGGCCGCGTACTCGTCGTCACGGAAACCACTCCGAAGCTCGCTCCGTACGACGAAGGACAAGGACAGCTCATCTAGTTCCATAGACAGCGGAAAGGTTCACTTCCAACAAAACAAAGTCACAATTTCCCCGCGTTCTTCGCAGCTAGTTTTCCGCTCAGATGAGATCGGACTCAATCACTCGGCAGTGTTTTCTCCGCCCACGAATCTGTCTCCGGCCAAACGAGTAAGGGGACGCCCCTCCTCGTTAAGCGATAACATGTCCCTGGAGGTGGATCACGGAAAACGAGAGAGCACTACCAGCGAGAGGATGGATTATTCGACGGTCGAGCGGTTCGAGGAGTTTCTGACACCCAGTTTGGGTCTAACTCCTTCGCACCAGAGATATGATTCCACTCCAGAGGTTGGCGAAGAGGGAGAGGGGTTAAAGGGAATGTGGCAGTATAAATTTACACAAACCTTATTTCCAGGGTCCTATTGTTCAGTTGTTCATCTAGACATAGTAACATTCTAACATTTTTGCCCGAGTGAGTAAAGAGGAATGTGCGTGAAAATTGTGCAAGAAAACGATGACCGGTTTTATGAGTCATACCTTGTGTCATTTATTCAGAGGGTCCTTTCGCTGCGTGTTTACCAGCTCGTGTGTTTCCATGCCAACAGTTGCTACAGACGTACGAAAACGAGCTGAGTACGATGAAGGAGGACTTGGCGAACAAGGACAGAATGCTGTCCATGTACGAGAACAGCATGGCAGACCTGTCCTCTCAAAGTCCATCACTTGAAGAAGACTCTCGAGGAAAAGGTCACACAAATTGATGTAAAAAAATTTCCCGAGGCTCTTTGTTGTTGTTTACAAACATGTAATCACCCAATCAAAGAGGTGCTCGTGTTGCATTCGTACTAACTTCCTCCTCTCCTAAACACAGGACCAGGAGATAAGGCACCTCAACGACGTGAAGCAGTCGCTGTTTGACCTCGACGGTCGCTCGCTCGCCAGCCGTATGAGTCACGGAGCAACAGAGGTCCTCTCGGACGGCTGTCTCTCCGACTCCGCCATGGAGCCCGGTCGCCACGGACACAAGGGCGACGAGAAGAAGAAAAAGAAGTGGAAGGTCGGTCGATTAGAGTCACGATATTGCAAACGTGACTTTTCATGATTCATTTTGGGGGGGGCACTCCCCTTGGTAAATTCTCGCCGCCATGGAATTTGAACACAGACACAAGGTTTTGCTAGCCCCCCCTCCTCCTCTTTTTCATAATATTATTCTCTACATGCGTCTACGGTCTTTGTCCTAACAATCTCTTCTCTTTTCCAAACATAATTTGCCAACTTGATCACTATGCTCCTTCCCCTAATGGTGCTTACAAACCACGTCACTATGCACTTCCACTTTGTTACTTTTTTACAACCCGATCAGTTTCTAAATGGAGCCCTCCTCTGAACATGCACATGTCTTGCCTGCGTCCTCACAGAGATGGTCGTTTCGTCGTAAGACCAAAGACACACACGACATATCTTCCTCGCTCGATACCGAGTCGATAATGAGCGGGAAAAGTGGGCGGAGCTACTCCGGAATGCGCCGACACCCAAGCAAGAGTAAAACGTGAGTGAACAGCGAATAATTTGCAGGACGTCATGTGATCTTGTCGTTTCCATAGCGACCTGATGAGCATATCGGAGCATTCTCCGGATATGAGACTGAGAGATTCCGATGTGAGTTTCCACGACAACGGCACGAATGCGAAATTACGTGTAACAAATTGGTTTTTGTTCCGCCAGGCCAAGTCCTTTACCAGCGAATTCGTGACCGGCATTTCTGGTGCCATGCTCTATAGCAACGATGACATAATCACAGGTGAGCCACGCCCTAATTTGGATTCATTACACAGTGGAACTCCTCTAATCTGGACACGAAGAAAGTGTCCATATTAGTGAGGCGTCCTTATTTCAGGGGTTAAATTGCATGCAAGAACTGTTCTTGGGGAAAGAAAAGGTGTCCTTATTAGAGAGGTGTCCTCATTTCAGGGGTGTCCTTATTAGAGAGGTGTCCTCATTTCAGGGGTGTCCTTATTAGAGAGGTGTTTTTACTGTAATCCCTCAATTTGAAACAGGTTTTTTATTTTAATGTACTTTCAATTTCAATATGTTTTGTTTGTTTGTTTGTTTGTTTGTTGTAGTGTACGATGATGCCACACCTGGAGCAAAGGCACCGGTCACTCTGTTGCCAGGTTACGCCTCCTCGTTCCCGGGGTACGGAGGAGACGAAGAGGGGGAGGGGACTGTCGTCTTGGGAACCATCAGCATCGCCCCGGAGATCAGCTGGATCACCATGGATACGAAAGTCTGCGATATATTCATGGTATGTCCATATAACTGCCACACAACGCATTCTTTATTCGGAGACTAAAGGGACTGTGGTGGTATTAAGGGATAAATTTAGACAGTGTAACTCAAAACGGAAATTAATTGCATTTTTGCAGAGATTTCACTTTCATTTAAGAACGAAATATTTATAGCGTAACTTGTCTTGTATCAATTTAGCATCATATTAATTGTCTGGATGGAGAGGGTATACTTGGACTGAATGAGGATTCGATTCTCCACTATTTCATCGCTGATCAGAGGAGAGAGATAGGTGAGTATTATATCTTATCCAAATTTGGTACAAAACCGTTCTTTGAGGATCGCACAATATCCATCCTCTGTATGTTACACAATGTGAGGGTTTGTTATTGTTTCTTTGTTTTAGGTAACGCTCTTCTTCCTCCACTAACCCCCTACCAGTCCCTAGCAACGGGGACAACTGTTAAGGTTGTCTTACGAGGTAAGGCTGACTGATGGTCATGTGACTTCATGTGACTGTCACATGATACTCTCCAGGAGCTCTCCAGGGATCATGTGACTCTCTGGCGTACAAGATCCTTATCAACGCCGAGACGCTTCAGTCGTACACGGCGTTGCTAATAGAGACACAGTGGCTCGTCGTCATGGGAACGAAGGGAACCTGTAAAACCAGTTTGGTGCAGGGATTGTCGCGTCACCTGATGCAGATTGTGGGGGAGGAGGGAGAGGAGGGAGGGGGGGGAGGTGGTGATTATCAACTACAATGTGGAGAAAGACGGATTGGAAGTAAGTGAGAGAGCGAGAAATAGGGTGGGATTAGTGGGGAGAGGGTTAAATTAAAAAAGGGGTTTGAGGAGAGTTAAAATGTAAGGTTTGAGAGAAATGGAGAGGGAGAGAGAATACCATGTGTAACCCTTTGGCCACCATGGGTACAGTAGAAGTCAAAAAAACGTTTCCAAAATAACCCCCATATAAATTCTTATGGACTTACAGAGGCTCTGGACACATTAATGTGTCCGTGGCTGGTTAAGTGGTAAAGGAGGGAGGGGGGGGAAATAGCAGGGAACAGAAGCATATTATAATATACAGCAGGAATGAGAGAGAATTGTGAAGATGATTTGTCCATCTTGTTTCTCACAGAAAGTGCTGATTGATATGAGGGAAAATGTATCCAGAAAGATAAGGATGTGAGTTATCCATTGATAGCTTACAGTCCTGTGAGATCTGATTGGTCGACTTTGTAGGTGGCCACACCCACCGATCATCGTCGTGGACAACGTCTACGAGTGCTCTGAGTTGGAACAGATCCTGTCCGTGGCCAGTAACCTCCCGCGTCGCCCTTACATCATCGCCACGCTCTGCACGGCAACCATGCAGGGGATACCCCTTCATCAACTCCTATTTCACCACAGAGTTAGGTAATGATTACATCATCCTAAAACTGCAGCAACCGATGTGAAATTTTGCCTCTCTCACAGAGTTGTCACTTGTCATCCACAAATGGAACCAGTTTTTGGAATCCTCTCGCGGTCGCTACGGAAACAAGTCTACAAACTCAAGGCCGCCTGCATGTGAGTGAAAAATGGTGATGTCATAATTACCTCGTCGTGATGTCGTTGCTATTTCAGAGAGGTTGATCCGGTGGTAGAGAGATTGTTGCAGTGGTTGCCGTACCTACTGGAGCACTTGGACGGCTTCATCAATCGATTTCACACGCAGACCGTTTCTCTCGGTCAGTGCACAGTGGGAAAAGGGTTAAAATTATCGGTCATGAGACATGATTTGAATGTAAAGTAATTATACAGCCTTTGTGGTGGGAAAATCAAATGAGGATTTTCTGAGTGAGTGCATTTCATTTCACTGCAAGTGCTCAGTCTCAAGTTTTTGAAAATTTGCGAATTTTGAATCCGACCAATCACAATGCAGGTCCTAGGGTGTTCATGGACTGTGCGGTGGACCAGAACTGGAATGAGCTCGAGTCGTGGTTTATCAATCTCTGGAACCACTTCGTCATCCCTTACCTCATGGGAGCCATAATGGCTGGCATAGAGGTGGGTGGGTATACAAGACACCTGATTAAGATTTCTTCGATTTTTCATTTCTAAATTAATGTTTGGGGATGTGCATTTTTTATCCATGTCGTTGACCGTTGATCTTATCATTCAACATTCGTCGATCGATTCACCAGCATGCACAGTTCGACATTTTTTGTGTGAGACGAAAGTCTTGTGGAAATGTATAATGTATTATGCTGGTTGAACAGGAAGAAGAAGAAGAAGAAGATGAACAAAACTCTGTATCATAGCTCCATACATCTATGATGCTTGCTAGGTACCATGCCCATCCCTATATACTAAGTACTACCGTACTTAGTGATAGGTATAATGGACAGAACAAAGCTACATGTCCCTACAGCTAATGATACATGCTGTTGTGTTGCATGCTGTTTTATTGCATGGACCTTGATACCCATACATTTAAAAGTCGAACTGCAACCCCATGTTAGCTCCTAGATGATGTGTGTGTTGAATTCTAATTGATGCTCACCTGGTTCCAACCCTCAGACCTACACGGCCGACCCTCACCTGGAGTGGATCGACGTACGAGAGTTTGTGGTGGAGACGTATCCGTGGCAACCGTCGGTCAACGTGATGAAACTGCGAACTTTGTCCCCAGAAGACGTTGGCTGGAATCACGGTATGACAATTCCTCTGCTTTCAACATACAGTATAAGTAATTTTTACCAAATTTCAACACTCATATAATAATAGACAGTCATACAGAGCATTCAAGCCGTAGACCACACCCCCAGAGCAATAGGTGGAGTCAGCATAATTATAATTATAGTGTTCAACAAAGTTTCTAGTGCGCCAAGCGAGGGTTTAAATACTTCGGTGCATTTCATTATAAGATGTTTCTTGCAGCAATACGACCCCAGCAGAACCGTTTTCTTCACTTCAAGGACGACATGAAGCTACCGGACGACACTCGCTCAATGATCTCGCGCCTCAAACCAGAGTAAACCGGACGCGGCTTCTTCTCACAGGACAAGGTTTATTTTAACAGGACGTGGCTTCTAACAGGACATGCTACTTACAGGACAGCCTTTTCTTGCAGGACAGGTGTTCGGGACATGTTTTACCAATTGCTTGTTTGTTTGAGAATTTTTTCACCATTTTGCATTTTTGTCACTTTCTCTCCAATTTGCCTTTTTTGTATCTTGCTTTGCTCAGCTGTGTAGAGCTATGTATCATCAGTTTTTCTTGATGATATTATAATCATACAGATTTCAACTTTCAACATTCACAACCATTTTGTTGACTGTGTTTGAAAAAGCTTTTTGCACAATTAATGACTTGCCTGTATACATGTTATAATAATTTTGTGTCTTATATTTGTATTAATTATACTCTTGTATTTATATAATATTACGTCAGAGTTGTGACTATCTTTTCTGCAACAGCAATGCGATCTTAATGGCAGCGTGATAAAAACGCGACAAGTATTATCTTTCTTATAAGCGCTCAATTTTATAAAACAGCGTGCAAAAGAGGAGTGTCTCTATTATATCTTATTGTTTCTGTTCAGCTGTCACTCCCCCCAGTCTTCTCGGGAAGAAGGGCTTTCTTCTCTCCCTCAGTTCCCCTGGCAACCGTTGCGGCAGCGAGTGTCGCCAGGTCTTCGGGAGGAGCGGCCGATTTGTTGGTGATGGCAAATTGGTGCGACGTGGCCGCTTCTCTGTTTCCATGGTGATTTCCTATTATACAGCGGTCATGGTAAGATATTATAGTAGAAGGAAGCTATTCTAATCCAGACACCAATGGGAGAGAGCAAAGTGTCCATATTAGTGAGGTGTTCTTATATTACAAGGGAACTTCATTGTCTACATAGTCTAACCTTTAACCCTGCCCCATTCTCGTATTCCATTATGAAGTAAGAATTGAAACTTAGCCTTGAATAGAACATGTTACGACTTTGTTCTTTATCAGCATTACAGCTACACTTCCACATATTCTGAGTGTTGGCTATTAATGTATGTATACCTGATTCAATGAGAGGGGCATGGGAATTGGACTGGTTGATGGAATGGGAACGGAGATTTCGAAGGTAGGAGGGCAAAGGTCGCACCGACAGTAGTGGCCAGACGGACATCAACATACCCTGGAGAGAGGGCAGGCAACAATTAGGCAGTTTATATGTTCCAGCTTCCAAGGCATTTTTCTAGCAGGCAAAAACCCTATGCATGTGTTAACAACAAGGTATCAAGGCAAAAGCAAACCGAAACCAGAATCTGACAAGTGTTTTTTTTGCCTTTTTTGGGACTTTGGGAGTAGCAAGCTAACTATTATCACGGGAAGTGGTAAGTCACTGTCCCAACTCTCAAAAACTATAAGAGGCTGACTAGTGCGATGAAGGATATGACGCATCCCGCCATCTCCATCTGAACATAGCTCCACAGCGGCTGCGTTTGCTTCAGGAAGCTGAGGGTTAAATTGTTGAGAATTATCTCGGTCATTATGACAGCTCCGGACGACACGAGGTAGACCGCTGTGAGAATATGCAGCTGATGGGGTGAAAGTAGCACTTTGGTTAAGAAGTATAACTGTTTTTCCCTTCACACGTGCAGCAGCAGAGCACGGAAGAAAAAGAGAGAGAGAGAGAGAGAGAGAAGAGTTAACTACTGGTCCATTTGGGATGCATTTCCTTTTAGCTAACACGCTGGGAACATTTAGCTTTTTTCTAACCATTATTAATTAGAGAAGACTATTACAGTTTAGAACTCAACACTTGGCAGCTATATATCAACACTATAGATTCTTGTTGACTACTGTTAAAGGATACGATGAGTGAAGTGTACCATCTTCTGAACATCAGGTGGAAGTAGGCAGAGATGTAGAGAGCAGCACCGACAAAACAGCAGATCCAAAACGAGAAAAACAGGTTCTGCGTCCTCCCTTCAAACTGGTCTCCGAGCCAGTCCAACCTGCACGGCCAATATCATCTCAATGAAGTCTATGTGTTTTGCATGAATCCACATGTTAGTATGTGCACCAATCATCGTAGGTAAGCGACTTGTCTATTCTGCACAGAATATCCAACTTTGTTGCATGGATCTCTAGCACACCCACACATTGAATTTGCACGAGACTTTTGTCAGCATCGCAGCATGTATTTCGGCCTTATTGAGAGAAGCAAGTAATTGCAAAGATCAAGGATTCGACTGACAATTGAGGGTTGTGGTTAGTGAGGCCAAAACCAATGACAAAGAGCATCCATCCTCCAAGAGATATGAATAGCAAGATCCACGGTGTCTGGGGAGAGGGAGACGAGGAAATAATAAAGTATGTAGCAAAGGGAATGGGATGGAATGATACACAAAGTATTAAGAGATTATTGAAAGGTTTAGGAAAGACAGGTGGTACTGTACTTAGTCCTCTCAGAAAGCAGAAAGATAACACAAATATAGGGAACTACACTACGACAGTTGAGCTAATATTATATACAACTCCCAGAATAGTTAAGAGAGTTTTAGCAAAGAACAAACTCTTTATATACCTTGCTGACGAGTGTCAGAATCCGTGCTCTAGTAAGAAAGTTGCAGTTACATCTTGTAAAACAGTTGCGAGTACACCACCTCATCTCTTCACCACACGCTGTGTCTTGCAAGGCTAAAAAGAAGCTCAAACTATTCTGTCTCCTGCCTATACCAGCTAGCTATACAGGTCCCCCGAGATTGGCGATACTTGCTTCAATCATCGTGACAAGGAGGCAGTATTTGGTCTACAGATGTCAGCCATACATCGTGATAATGTTTGCAATTCATGCCTGGTGTACCACACTCTGGTACCGTATGATAGAGAGATCACTTCAACTGTTAGCTGTACATAGAGATCGCTTAGAGCAACTGTTAGCTGTATATACGTAGAGATTGCTTACGTAACTGTCTGTTGACAACTGTCGAAGTAGTGACCTGAATGCCACTTGAAACACGCGAGACAAGATGACTATGAAAGAAACTGCGAGTTTACATTTCACGCGTGCCCGTACGAAACCATTACTTATAGCTACCCCATTTAGTCTCAAGGTGGAAATCATGTGACAATTAATGAAGTTACGATGATTCACAGAGGAATAAGAATGATCAGCACGAGATGATATTGTGACTATCACAGAGTTGAAAGTTGTTTTAACCAGTGTCTCTCTGTCTTTTCGCTAAACTGCGACACCTGTGCCCAATCCTCCCGCAGAAACCACACCCCCGACTCTTTCATGTGGAGTTTCTTGCCCGCGAACATTCCGATATTGCCGCCTCCCCCGTGGAAGATGAACGGAGAGTGAGAGAGAGGATACTCGGTCTTGTCACAGCACTCACCGCGACAGAACTGCCGTGGAGGCAACAGTAAGATGTGCGATCTCGGCTCCTATACAAATTTAACAGATCTCAGTGTATTAATACATTCAATATGGGGCCCATTCATATAATAAGACAATGTAAATGACCAATTCGTAGGTAATAACTAAGTTTCATTACGTTAGAGGTTTATTTTCCACCGTGTATGTATATTAATAATACGGCACCAGGGCCATAAGATTTGGTGTATGTTATACCTTTTGAGTAAATCCCTCCCAGGCATAAGGATGTTGGCAGAACTGAGATTTTGTCATGTTAGAGCGAGTGTGATTCCAGGCAATGTTGCTGCCGACAAGAGCTCGGTTGAACTGGTCCTGTTCACTACCCCAGTTACCCCACGTTTTGCTGACCGCCTTCCATAGCTGCTCTGTGTGGGGAGGAGGAGAGAGAGAGAAGGGGAGAGAAGAGAGAGATGAGAGAGAAGGGGAGAGAAGAGAGAGATGAGAGAGAAGGGGAGAGAAGAAGAGAGATGAGAGAGAAGGGGAGAGAAGAGAGAGATGAGAGAGAAGGGGAGAGGGAGAGAGAGAGAGAGAAGGGGGAGAGAGAAGGGAGAGAAGAGAGAGAGAGAGAGAGATGAGAGAGAAGGGGAGAGAGGGAGAGAGAAGAGAGAGAAGGGGAGAGAAGAGGGAGAGAAGAGAGAGAGAAGGGGAGAGATGAGAGAGAGATGAGAGAAAAGGGGAGAGAAGGGAGAGAGAAGAGAGAGAAGAGAGAGAAGGGGAGTAATATGCACACAGGACAGTTTGACAAAGGATGAATTATACATCACATTTGCTTGACAATGTGAGGAGAAGTTCTTATTTGTACCATTTGTCTCACAGGATTAGTACAAACAGCGATGATTCCACAAGGAATGCAATATTTAGGAGTGTAGTGTGTCGATCAAAAGGTCCAAAGACAAAGCAAATTGAGTGCTATTTGTGCGTCCATTCAGAGCTATACACACACACAAAAACAACACCTGCACAGCCTCTCACATACCAAACCATTATTGAATTGTCCCCATATTTGACATAAGGGGGTGGCATAATTAGTTTACTCTTAGGTATATATACATGGAGGCGCAAAAAATCATGGATGGTTGGGCTATTATAGAGGAAATAAAAAGGAAGCAGATAAATCAGTGACTTGGGTCGACTCAAAACTAAGAAAGAGGAATGAAGAAAGAGCGAAGGTGGCGAAGGCAGACTCTAATTATAGAGCGACAGAGGGACGGATGAAGGAAGATGAATGGACTTACAAAAAGAAAAAACACTTCTTTACCTGTTTCAGGACTACTTCTGATCATGAAGGCTCCAAGACACATGGAGAATCCCCAGAGCTCACCGGCCCACTGGGGCCAGTGTACCGACGCACCGGCAATCACATTCACGTCTCTATACCTCTCATACAGTGGCTGAGGGTTTCTCAACACTAGAGCATCAGTGTCGTAGCTAGCAAAAGAATATCTCCAGTAGCTGACTAGTCTAGCTACCAGTAGCCTCGTCTGAGGTGCCGAATACACCGGTTGAAACCTGAAATCTTTACTCATTTGACTTCTCATGAAAGTCATTGGGTTGGAGTGGATGCAGGATATGTTGCGAGGTTTTATCAGTTTGCAGACTTCCTGATCCAACCCAAGTACCACCACGTTACGCAGTGGCTCAGACAGTCTGACAAGAGAAGCGATGAGCCAGTTTAGCAGCAAGTCGACACACTTCTTGTCTGCAACCACCAGTTTATTTGCGGGGACAGTGTAGACGCCGACGAGTTAGTTTCGTTCAAAATCTGGTAGAGCTCCTTCACCCACGACAAACTAAGAATATCGTCTTCTATTGTATTCTTGTAAACAATCACGTTATCTTCTTTCTTGACTATTTCCAAATGGCCTTGTTTGTAGATGAATGTTGTCGGAAGATTTACTTGGAGGGGCAAATACTTCTTATGCGGAAAAGCATTTCTTCGCATTTTGTCGAATTCGTTTTCGACATAGAGCAGTGAAAACAGACATAGTAGTATGAGAGCTGTGACTAAACCAGTACAGTAGAATCCCAGACATAGCTTCCGGTGCACCGGCAGCAGAAAAGACATGTACATAGGAAGCGACTTCTTTCGTCGCTGAATGTTGCAGAGTAGTCGACCCGGAATTCTGAGAAATTTCACGATAGTTTTAGTACAGAATTGGTGGTGTACGCCGGCGGTGCGAACTGCAGGTGTACCGCGGCACATGAACACGCTAAAACTGTCGCAAAAGTCCAAAGAGGCCCAGATATTACAACAGCGGTGTGGCAGTAAAGGTGCCGCTTTCTTTCAGGTGCTTGTACTTACAAATTGACCGCAAATTACACTTCGCCGGGCGTTAGTTGTTAGCAGCGACGGGTCATTCGGGCGGTCGGTCCACCCTACACGCCACATAACCGTTTCCCTTCTTTTTTCTCTCCGTCTGCAGTTTTGGCACAAACAAACCTTCAATCAATGCCCCGCCCCCTCAGAGTTCACACGCATGCGGAACGCACTTCACTTTACGCATGCGCATACACAATAGCCCTAACAAATTAACACTCGCGCATGCGGTAAAATAGGCAACAAAATTAATGGGGTTGAAAAAATACTTGATTGAGGACAAAAAATGCGAACATGAGATCAAAAAATGTGTATGATGAATAGTTTAACTATGTGTACATTCCGTTGATGAGGTAGTCCACGTTACGATACTGACGTCTCGTTTTCAGCTTGTAGATCCGTCTGCCTATCACCGCGGAAACCACGAAGAGAACAATAATGATAAGTGTCCCTATAATCGACACGGCAATTAGTCCACTCCCATCACAACCGTCCTTTGCACACTTGTCATAGTTGTCCGCCTTTTTCTGAGCTCTTGTAGCGTTGTCAATGGCAACCTTTGATGTGTTGGTTGCCCCCGACGATGACTGAGGAGTGGAGTCAGTAGTAGAAGGCTCCGACGAGGAGGGCGGAATGTTGCTAGTGGCAACCGGTGATGATATGTTTCCTTCAGATGAAGATTGAGTGGGCGTGTCAGTAGTGGGTGTGGTTTCCTCCTCTGTTGTTGCTGGTTTCTTGAGAAGGGTGAGAGAGGGAGGAGAGAGAGGGAGGAGAGGGAGCAAGAAAACAAAGTCATAGGAAAGACAAAAGCACTCGGCATTATAGAGCCTGTTGTATGGTAAAAGTGTTGCTCAAGGAAATGTTTGTACTAAACAAGGCTTCGGGAGCATATGACACCATCGACAACACAACAACCAAAGTATTGTATGGCAGCCCCATTAGAGAGGCCCAAATTTCAAAGTCTGATCAAGCAGTAATGTGAACAGTTTGTGTTTGTGTCGCTCTAAAAATTTTAAGACAGTGCTCCATTAAAATTGTCGTCCTCATTAACAAAAAGTGTAACAGTGGTCTTACTTCTGTTCCATTCGGCTTGGAATGAGTCTCTGGCATGGGGACTATCGTGGAATCGGGACTCTCCGTTGTTTCTGTGGAGATGACGTCTGCCTCTGTGGGTGTGGTTTGTGTAGTGGGCGTGGCAGATGGCGAGGAGGATGGAGTTTCAGGGGGTTCAGTTGTAGTGGAAGAAGATTCATCGGGGTTTTGTTTAGCTGTAGGAGAGAGAGGGAGGGTGGGAGAGGGGTTTTGTTTAGCTGTAGGAGAGAGAGGGAGGGTATAGAGGAGAGAGGGGAGCACAAGGTAAGGATTGATGGGTATGTGCAAGAGAAAGGGTAGAGGTTTTATGATGGTTATTTTGGAAGCACAAGAGACATTGTAAGTGGGGTTCATGGTGGTACTTTTGGTAAAAAAAATCAGGTGGAGGGAAATGGCGGACTGGAGATAAGGAGCCGACGCGAAAAAAGAACAGAAAATGAGGACAAGAAAGGATAATACTCACCACTATGATCGTCGAGGATATCCCCGTAATCAGGCTTCTGGATGAGAAAACCGGCTTTGAAACCATCATTGCTGACCATCCGACAGTGCTCCGCGAGCCCACAGTGTACGAAATAACAGGTTTTTCCCGTTTCAGACGCGCCGTTCATCTTGTACAGAGCGAGATTGCAGCCTTCGTAGCTACAGCAGGCGTCCACACAGCTGTCAAACGAATACGAGTATACTCCATCCAGTAACTGCGCGCCAAACTGCACCGAAGTCTGAATATCGATGATTTTATTTGACGAGATGTAAAGATCTTTGCCGCAGTCCAGCGTTTCCGTTCTCGCGTTCCCGTACCCCTTATTCGATTCCTCGTAGTCAAACTGAGACTGCTGCGGACGCTCGGCCCGGTTCCACGCATCGGACTCTGGTCTCGTTCCCATGTCCCCATACCCCGTGTCCGTGTTGATTCTAGGAGGGGGCCTCTCTGCATGTGGTGTATACCGGCTGTCAGAACCAGCGCTCTGCGAGTAGCCGTTCGAAGTCTCGGATTGTCCGTACGGCTGGTCCTCATAGCGCCAACCCCAGGACGCGGCGGTTAACGAGAGTAGTAGAAACGGAAGCAGATGCGACGACACAAGGGCCATTACTGAAATTTGGCACGAATTCTATAAAGAATCTCGGCGAGAATGGTGCGAGTTCGTTCGTACGTCGACACACTGTAGATTGATGGTACAGTAGCTAGGACCCTCACAGTCTCGTAGCATACGTTTCTAGAGGATAAGTAGCCAAACAGAATCACACGGAAGTTATCGTACACTTATTCACTGATGATAGACGGCCGGGTAGAATGAATACCGCTCACCCAACGAACACACCGTTTGTGTTTGCTTTGTTCTTTGTACGCTTCGCGGGAGACCTCGACGACCGTAGGCACCAGACCCTCTTCCCTCTCCGTCTGTTGTGTCTCTCGTCCTCTTTCAAAAGACTGAACTGGCCAAGACAAGGAGTTTCCTCTACTACTAAACTTCCGACCGAGGGACAATATGCGTCATCACGTGAGATTGTCGGCGCCCACGTGACTAGTTTCGCTGCGCGTTTTACAACTCAGCGTTGCAGTCCTACAAGCCTGTTTCTGCTGTATCGCTGGATATTTTCGCTGCGCAAAGTCAAAACTGCACGCATTCTACCATCTTCGGAACATCAAAGCTAAAATGGTGAGTGTACGCATCGCGAGAAGCGAGAAAATCGCGTAAAAGGCGCTCTATATTCTAATTAACGCCCATCATCGTTCCTCTCGCTCTCCAGTTTAGAAACCAGTACGACCATGACGTGGTCATATGGAGCCCCCAAGTAAGATGTGAAATTAAAATCTCAGTGACTGATTTTTTTTTACTATTCAGGGGCGAATTCATCAGATAGAGTATGCCATGGAAGCAGTCAAACAGGTTTCACGAACTCGTATTACTAGCTTGACATCGCTTCTCTTTCTCATCTCCATTCCTCTACCCAGGGTTCAGTGACAGTTGGAATTAAGTCGAAAACGCATGTGGTTCTTGTAGCTCTGAAGAGATCGTCAAACGAACTCTCGTCGTACCAGAAGAAGATATATCCAGTGGATGATCACGTGGCAATATCGATTTCTGGCCTTACTCTGATGGAGAGAATGCTGGGTGAGAGATTTCGTACAGTGAGACCTGAATAAGGGACACCTTGGGGACTTTGAAAGTGTTGTTTTTTCGTCTTAGAACCAAGTAGAGAGGTGTCCTTTATAGAGAGGTGTCCTTTTTTCAGAGGGTCTTAGCAAAGTGTGGCCTAATAGCAACAATATTCAGAGCATCCTTGCTCTTTACTATTGAAATTTGTTGACAGAACTCATTTTCCTTAGAATTAAAACCCTTTTGACGCCATGGGTATCTCCTTAAATAAGCAGAAATTGATGTATAACTTTGGAGGCTCTGAGCATAATATATATATTCCCGTGGCTTACTAAGGGTTAAATAGGCTTTTTAAAAATATTTGCCCTTCATAATCTTTCCTCTGTTTTATATTTTCATTTTCATTCAATTCTCTGGTTTTTCTCTACCATCAGAAAGTTTATGAGGACAGAGTGTCTGAACTCTCGGTACCTGTACAACATGGCGCTACCCGTGTCACGACTTGTGGGAGCTGTCGGGACCAGTATCCTTTGGTCTCCAAATTAGCTTGATCTCATCTCCATTTAGAAAAAAACAAACAACAAATAGCCTCGGGCACTTTTCTTTACTTCTTCACTCCCCCAAACTTGCTAACTGTAGCACGCATGGAGGTGAACAGGTGTTCCAGCTGGCGAAGTTTGGGCTATATTTCTCAACGTGAAGAGAGGGAGAAAGGGAGGGGGGAAGAAAAGAGGAGTTTCCTTGACCCATTATGTCGTCAGAGCTGCAGTTTTGTACACAGGTGTACGGAAGAAGGCCCTATGGAGTTGGGATGCTGGTGGCCGGATACGACGTAAGCAACAACTTTGGGGAGTTTGCACCTAACATAATATGTTCCAAACTGTACTACATTTGGAGATGGTAATACTTAGTGAACGGCAGGTAAAGCTGGAGTGGAACTAACAGTCGCTTCAATTTTACTTCTTCACGGCACCCTCCCCCCCCTCTCTCTCTCTCCCCCCAGGACGTAGGACCTCATCTCTATCAGACGTGTCCCTCCTCCAACTACTACGACTGCAGGGCAATGGCCATCGGCTCAAGATCACAGAGTGCTCGCACATACCTCGAAAACAAGCTGGGGGATTTCCAAGAATGTACGTTTACAATGTACACTGCATAATATAGACGGAAATATTTTCATAAGGAAGAAAATTTCGTGATGCAAGGATTCACAGACTAAAGAGCTTGTCGAAAATTCTTTATCACCGTTACTAGTAGAATAGGAGGGGTGTATATTAGAGAAATAAGATGATTTCCCAACTGAAAGAGAAAGATGAAATTATTATTGAAAGAGAAAGACGAAAATCATTTCCCGAACTGTTCCACAGGTAGTGTGGAGGAGTTGATTCAACATGCCCTGGTGGCATTGAGGGAGAGCCTTCCAAACGACATGGAGCTTACCGAGAAGGTGATATGCCACACCCACTTTAGTCATGTGACCATCACGTGATCCTTACTCTAGTCACGTGACCATCACATAATCTCATGTGACCATCACATGATCCTTACTCTAGTCACGTGACCATCACATGATCCCGTAACTCTCTATTCCCACAGAATATCTCTATAGCGGTTGTTGGAGAGGATAAAGCTCTTGAGATTTACGACAATGAAAAAGTCGCCCCATTTGTATCCGTCAAACACACTCTAATTGTTGCACACTGTGATTTCACCCAAACTCTAATTGTTGCACACTTTGATTTCACCCAAACTCTAATTGTTGCACACTTTGATTTCACCCAAACTCTAATTGTTGCACACTGATTTCACCCAAACTCTAATTGTTGCACACTGTGATTTCACCCAAACTCTAATTGTTGCACACTGATTTCATCTAAACTCTATTTGTTGCACACTTGATTTCACCCAAACTCTAATTGTTGCACACTGTGATTTCACGTGTGCAAGTTGCACAGGGTAACAACAAAACACGAATTCTACATGATTTGTACAGACATTAGACTCTTCTCTATATAGCGAGAGTATGTGTTTCTTGACTATTGTGTGTCAGTTGAAATCACTGGATACCACAAAGGGAGGACGGGCTGCCCGTAGGCAACAGCAGAAGGACAAAGAGGAGGAGAGAGAGAGAGAACAGGTTTGACCATGTTGCAATCAGACACCCATTCTCAATAAAAAAATTTTCCACACTTTTCCTTGTCTCTGCTTGTGCTGTGATCCGTGATCTGTTGTGTCAATGTAGCCAGAGGCTGATTCCGGTACCAGGGAACCTGGAACAGAACCCGAACAAGAGGAAGCCCCTATGGACACTGCTGGATAATTAACATCATTGCTATGACAACCTATACCTGTGTAAATGCCTCTGTTTGTAATTCATTCTTTCGTGAGTATTATATTATGTAACAATTAGCTAAATCGATCATCAATACCGAAGTATAAAAAATTCTGAGACAAAATTCTAGAGAGAATGGTAAAAAAGGTGGGTTTCAATAGGTGACAAAACTATGAGATCAGAGTTGTGAAGTTGTGAAGTTGTGGAAGAGAGAGAGAGAGAGAGAGGAGAGAGAGAGAGAGGAGAGAGGAGAGAGGGGAAATCAAGATGAGGAAGGAAGGTGTGGTGTCATGTCACTGTGGAGTCTCTTCAGAATGCTGAGCCACTCAGCTTCTTCCCCGACAACACGCCAGCTGGAGACACACACTGTGCCAGAGGAGGAGGAGGAGAGAGAGCATTCAGTTATAGCCACAGCAACACTACAGTGGAACCTCTCTCTAAGGACACCCCTGAAATAAGGACACCTCTCTAATAAGGACATCTTTTCTTTCCCCAAGAACAGTTCTTGCATTCAATTTATAATTAAGGACACCTGTCTAATATGGACACTTTCTTCTGTCCCATTGGTGTCAGGATTAGAGGAGTTCCACTGTATAATGCTCAGGACACCTCACTAACATGGACACTTTCTTCCGTCCCATTGGTGTCTGTATTAGTGGAGTTCCACGGTATAATGCTCAGGACACCTGACTAATACTTTCTTCTGTCCCATTGGTGTCTGGATTAGAGGGGTTCCACTGTATAATGCTCAGGACACCTCACTAATATGGACACTTTCTTCTGTCCCATTGGTGTCCGGATTAGAGGAGTTCCACTATACTAATTAAAAGATTTATTTCACGTACGTCTCCCGGAATTGTCAGCGGCCATGACTCGAGCGGAGAAGCTGGTGGAATTTCCTCGACAGAAGAGAAGCAGCTGTTCGTGGCAGACCACCTGGTACAGTCCGTAGCTGCACAGCAGTCCCGACAACTTACAGAACTCTGAGGCAGCTCTGGACAAGAGAGATAATGTCCTATTCTGATCTCGCATCTATCTAACTGATGCTGTAGTGCCGCAAAACCTCCGAAAAAAGAACTGATACTTCTCTCTATAAAGAACACTTAGTTCTGCCCCATACTAATACATAGGGACACCTCTCTATAAAGGACACTTAGTTCTGCCCCATACTAATACATAGGGACACCTCTCTATAAAGGACACTTGGTTCTGCCCCATACTAATACATAGGGACACCTCTCTATAAAGGACACTTAGTTCTGCCCCATACTAATACATAGGGACACCTCCCTGCATAGACACTAGGTTCTGCCCCATACTAATACATAGGGACACCTCCCTGCATAGACACTAGGTTCTGCCCCATACTAATACATAGGGACACCTCTCTATAAGGACACTTAGTTCTGCCCCATACTAATACATAGGGACACCTCTCTATAAAGGACACTTGTTCTGCCCCATACTAATACATAGGGACACCTCTCTATAAGGACACTTGGTTCTGCCCCATACTAATACATAGGGACACCTCTCTATAAAGGACACTTGGTTCTGCCCCATACTAATACATAGGGACACCTCTCTATAAAGGACACTTAGTTCTGCCCCATACTAATACATAGGGACACCTCTCTATAAGGACACTTGGTTCTGCCCCATACTAATACATAGGGACACCTCTCTATAAAGGACACTTGGTTTCTGCCCCATACTAATACATAGGGACACCTCTCTATAAAGGACACTAGGTTCTGCCCCATACTAATACATAGGGACACCTCCCTGCATAGACACTAGGTTCTGCCCCATACTAATACATAGGGACAACTCTCTATAAAGAACACTTAGTTCTGCCCCATACTAATACATAGGGACACCTCTCTATAAAGGACACTTAGTTCTGCCCCATACTAATACATAGGGACACCTCTCTATAAAGGACACTTGGTTCTGCCCCATACTAATACATAGGGACACCTCTCTATAAAGAACACTTAGTTCTGCCCCATACTAATTCAGTCGAAAATGGGACGCCTCTGAATAAAGGTTACACCTCTCAATAAAAGACACTTAAATCTGCCCCATACTAATAAACGTAGTATGCCTCCAAATAAGGTCAGTTTCGATGTTCCAAAGGTGTCCCTTATTCAAATTTATTGTCCTGATAATTATGGGGGTGTCTGTATATTATGTTACACCGTACATACATACGTATAATATATTGATGATCGACACCTGAAAATCTTGCCGTCACTTGGGTTCACATGTGAAGCCAGTTCAACCACTCTGTGGTAGATGGTGTAGTCGGCCATTACCCGACATGTCTGAATCCTCTCCCCCCACATCAGGACAATCCTCCTGCGAACTCTGTGTGCTGTATGACCCCGCAGTGTAATAGCTCCAGCAGCTCTCCTGAGAATCTGAGGGGAGAGGGGAGTTATTAAAGGGAACGCGACAGTTCAAGGTCTAAATTTAAAAACATTACATTACTAAGATGGAACTTAACAATAGAGCCCACCAGTGTAAGAATGTTTAGTTCTGAGAATCTGAGGGGAGAGGGGAGTTAAAGGGAATGCGACAGTTCAAGGGATGAATTTAGAAACGTTACCAATGGTGGGTATGTGTGTGTGTGTGTGTATAAAGATGGCAAGAAGAAGGAGAGTTTGTCATCTGACCTCCTTGATGAGCTAGCATTCTGGCAGGGCTGGTTGGGGTTGGAACACTGGAGCTAAGACCAGGCCACAGACTCCCCGAACCAGTAAAACCAGCCAGTCCAGTTTTGCCGGGTTGTTCGATCTTGAGTGTGAGACTCCCGGAGTCGCTTGACGAGCGACGGCGAAACGTGGCAGTGTCTCCGATTGTCCTTTGGAGAGGAAGATGGAGGAGAAAGGGTTAATTAAAGAGGCTGATTCCGGTTCCAAAACCTGGGTTTCTGACTCACTGAGAAGAGGAATCGAACTCCATCACCTCTTCTTCCTCCCTGCAATAAAATTATGAAGATTGTGAAATCCACTCATTAAGCAAAATTTATTTTTATGCTTGTTGCAATGAAAGCAGCATTACAAAGTAGCCCAAATTTCGGTGTACTAAAATTTGACAATGTATGTGTATGTAATGTTAATTTAAATTTTTTAACAGGTTTGCATCTTCACTACATTGGTTGTTGCATGGGTATGGCACTGCGGCTGACGGCCAACTCAACACCAGTTACAACACTCAGAGCGTTTTGCAGAAGATGGAGATTGACAGCTGCAAGACAAGAAAAGAGAAGTAAGCTGAATTTTTACCTTTTCCTCCTCGCTCCCACCGCTCTTCTTTCCACTAAGTATCTCGCCTCCACCCCTTTTCTCTTTTCCCTTATCTCACTCAAAACTTTCATATTTTCGATCGTCCCTCCCACCTTTCATCTTTCCCCCAAATCTCTCTCACATACCATCGTTGATAAGGATCAGTGAAGAGCTGTCGTCTGGTAGAAACCCGACTATCATCAGGAGTTTTCGTACCCACGGCGACCGGATATCTCTAATTGGAGCCACCCTCCTAGTTTCGTCGTGAGGCGAGGAGAGAATGTCTTGTAGCAGTTGCCGACAGTAACTGACGTCCATCATTAGCTCCTGAGACAATGACATCATTCACTTTAAAAATGACATCATTTAGTTTGTTCCCATTGTGTGTGGGTCCTTATACTCTTGCCTGAATGTCGTCACAGCAGACGATGTCCAGTTGAAGACTCTCCAGTTGAACTGTCTGTTCAGACATGACCCACAGCTCTGAGTCTGTTAGATAATCACTTTCCTGTGTGCGTGTGTGTGTGTGTGTGTGTGTGTGTGTGCGTGCAAGATATAATAGGGGAAGGTGAATGTTTGTAGCGAGATCGGAAGAAAAAAGGAGGGAGCAAGATAGGGGGGAAGGAAGAAATGTGAGAGCGAGATGGAGGAAAAGCTGAAAACTACGTACACACCTTCGTCTTGCTGTTGGATGTGAGGGAGAGACGAAGTGAGGCTTGGTCCACTCCACCTAGCAGTTTACTGGTCACCACTCGTGGACTCGCCTCCTTGTTTGGATGAACACCAGTCGGACATCTGACAGAGAGAGAGAGAGAGAGAGAGAAAGAGAGAGAGGAGAGAGAGAGAGAGAGAGAGAGAGAGGAGAGGAGAGAGAGAGAGAGGAGAGAGGAATGAAGATGTCCTGATTTCTAAATGATGCTCACCTTGACTTCATCTGGGTCGTGACTTCGTCGGGGGTGAGCTGTTCCCGTGACAACAGCCAGGGGTGTCGGGCAATGTCGCGCAGCGTGCAGCGAAACGAGGGGTGCAGCACGAAGATCCGGTCAAACAGGTTTTTCAGGTTCGGAGTGATTCGAGAGTTAATTGACGGCCACTCGGACCAAAACTGCTGATTCGGCAAAGCAGCACCTACAAATTGTAAGAAATGAACAGAGTGCAAGATTGTAAGCGAAAGGTTGAAGCGACAAATGTAGGATTGAGATAGAGGAATGAACGAAAGGTTTGAGCAAAATAGGAAATCATCTGGGTATTGTATGGACAGTATATACCTCTGTTTTGAGTGAAATACGCCGAGAGTTCGTTTTCCCTCTTCATGTACGAGTCCAGTTTGGAACAGAACATGGGGAATGGGAACACGATCCCGAGGGGGGCCAGGAGTGGTCTGGAATAGGGGTCCAACATTGTCACTCTCTGCACCATCTCTTCTATGGCCACCTGGAAGACGAAGGGAGGAAATTAAAATTTGGAAATCAAGGGACGTGAAAGTAGGAGAAAAGAGTGGAAATGGCAACTATTTTTAACAGGAGGCATAAGAAACACAGTTAGCATGTTATTATAAGTAATAGAGGGAAATCAAGGGAACTATGAATGTAGCTATGTATGTGTTTTGAGCAGAAGGCATAAGAACATACAGATCAAACAATATTAGCACATTCTTCTTAAGTCTCTCATCTAGTAACTAAAAAATATATGTAAGTATTAAAGTGTATCATGCACACCATGAAGAAAAGAGTGATTCCAAGAGACCAGATGTCGGCGCGGAGGGGTCGTAACCACGGTAACTGTTGACCTCCGGTGCCCGATATGAGTCGGTACCGATTCCCTTGGTACTGGTTCTCAGAACCTGCGTCGGGTCCTCCGATATCGGCAGGATCTGAACAACACCACATTAACAAGAGGGAAAACCCCACGATTAATAGGTAAAGTAAACGTACACACATTATGTATGTTCATATACATTTGGTAACATTAGATGTATGTATGTCTGCCCCATACTAACTAATTCCCACGATTAATAGGAAACACATTCACATATATTTTGCAGCATTAGATGTGTATGTATGACCTTGTTTGTTCCAAAATCAGTGAGCTTCAGGTTAAAATGTTCGTCCAAAACACAATTCTCCGGCTTTATATCCCTAGCAACCAACAAAACAGAATAAGAACAACTTTAACCTTTCGATGACACTTATATAAACAGAGCTAAGAACAAGCCAACATTAAAACGGTGATTAAAGCAGCAACATAATAATAAACAAAAACAAAAACAAAACTGAAATATTACCAGAATTGAAATTGAAATATTACCTGTGAAAGACGCCCCTTTCGTGGAGGTACATTACAGCCAGCAGAATCTGAGTGAAGAAATGTCTTGCCAACGGCTCTGGAAAATTACTCACCCTATTACGTAATTGGACGATGTAACAACATTACGTAATCATTTAACGAACCAGACTGTTACTTGGATAATACCATAATTATGGGGTACAATTAGACTACGAAATTAGGAACTACACAAAAACACAATTTTTGTCGGGAGACAACTGTGGTTTGCAGAGAGCCACTTAGAATTGACTGCAAAATTGCACAAAACAGCGGATTTAACTATCGATAAAGTGGATACTACAGTAGGTAGATATGTAGTTCTTCTTCCTGATATAGACTGGGTGGACTATTTTCTTACGTTTTAATCCTCTCAAAAGGTCCGGTGACGAGAAAGTTGAAGAGATCGGATCCGCTACAGTACTCAAAGACGACGAACCGCAGACTGCCAATCAGTTCACCTGGTGGGTTGTTATGCAACGTGATGCAACACACACTAGCCGGTAGCCATAGCAGCACTTACCACACATCCAAACACTTGGCAGGCCAGATATATACATACACAGAGTGGAATAGAAAAGGACCTTCTCTCAATAAAGGACACTGTGGTTCTACACATACCTCATAATATTGTATTACATTCGAATATAAGAGACACCTTGATAAAAGGACCTCAAGGTTTTCAAAGGTGGTGTTTTCAAATTGTCTTACCATCCAGACTACCACACTACGGACACGTTTGTCTTTGCTCTATATCGATTTGGCAAAGATAATATCCATAGCTACGTACCTTGAACCGTGGTTACGGGCGATTTTTTGACGCACACGTCCAGAATTGAGCAGATGTTTTCGTGGTTGAAATGACCGTCGCACAGTTCTTTGAGAACGGCCAGCTCTTTACGCTGGTTCTCCGAGTCACAGATGAACGTCTTTTGAAAGAGGAGGGGGAGGGGGGAGGAGACAAGATGAAGGAAGATGGAGAGAGGGGGAAGAGAGAGAGAAGGAGGTATAAAGAAGCAAGGAGTGTGAACATCGTCTGCAAGTCAATTCCTATAACTGGATAGCTGCATGCACCTCCCCCAACCTTCACGCAGACGGTTCCTCTCGTCGTCAGGTCTCGAGCGGTCCAAGTGGTGCCGAAATAGCCGCTCTGAATCTTCCGCTGGACTTTGTAGCGGGACCCCAGCACGTGCCCCTCTAGTTCCATCATGTCCACCACGCCGTCTCCTTCGCCAAGGCGCAGCTTGCTTGTCTTGAACGCGCGCGGGGAGGAGGGAATGTTTTTTGGTGCTCTCTATTTGGAGTTGAACCTCAACTGGTGGGCGGGGCGTGTAGTCAATACGTCATCGTACAAGACAACGCCCACTCATTCGGCAAAATTAAGTGACGTCATTACCAAGTCACGCCTACCGACGACAGTATTTGGAATGGGCGTGGTCCTCATCGGCTCCGGTTTGCCAAACGCAGTGAAAGGAAGATTCGTAGTAAACTCGGCTTTTGGTCTTCAAGGATGAGTTTGGTCTCGCGTCGTCTGTCGAATCGATAGTGCGTGACGTACCGTCTACATTCGGACAGCTGAGCAGGAGACGTGCCGCCCCGTTCGAACGTCCGGAAGAAGAGCGAGCGAGAGCGACCGACAAATAGGATTCGCCAAGGAGACTGACTACTCAACGTCTCTAATCAGAACTCACAGGGTACGACAACGTTACCCACAGGTATCGTAGACTATACCGTGACGAAAGACACCAGCATAACTGAAATTCCATTACAATAAGTTCGTGTGTGAAGTAAATAAGGGAGCCTCGATCCATTGACGCGAATCGTTAGGTGTTCCTGTACTCTTGCTAGCCGCTATTCACGGCGCTGGTACGCACGCATCGCTTCGTACACACAGACACAAATTGCGGAATCATGCGACTTGACAACTGTTATCTCGCTTCCTTGTTTGTCCTTCCTATCACCTCCAAGTCAATGTATATACTATTTATCAGTGAGTGAGGTGGAAATTGAGGTTTCAAAATAATAAGACCAATCATTTTTTGTGGTTTGCTACGAAATTAGATACTCAATGAACTACTTTTCATTTTTGCCACATCCAAATTCCTCGCTGTGACAATAATAAACGCAAATGTAATGAATATAATAATTATTAAATTTTCGTATTATGTGTCTCCATTTTTGCAAGATGTAGCACATTTGGATGTTAGTCTGAGACTGCAAATATTTTATTATTGAGTTATGGGAAGTGTGAACCTACAGTACTAGCTCGGCTTTCAAAAAAAGCAAAAAATGTGCCGTATTTGCAGCTTACATCATATCATTCGTCTTGTCACCTGATTTTTGCGCACATTGTGCATAGAGGAGGTAAGGGGAGAGGGTATTACAAGTGAATACTCACCACCTTGTGCTTTATCATAATTTGAGGTTCGGCCTTTGCTTACACAGTTCCTTTACATGGTTTTTTGAGGAATGTTCATTCAAAGTGAGTGGTACGTAATATGTACATACTTTGTACGTACTTTGTCAACGCTCACATGATTTGGGTGCCCCTCTGGTCCAAATTTTGTGACAACATGTTGTTGGGAGTGTTTGTCTGAAAACAGTATCCTTTCCTGAAAGTCTGTCATCCTGTGTTTTATGTTGAGGATGAGAAGGATGAGCCGCAGGAGAGAGGCAAAAGAGCAGGAGGAGACGGAAAGAGAACAGGAGAGAAAGGAGAGAGCGCAAGAAGACGAGCAAGAGAGAGGGGAAAGGAGAGGAAGGGAGGAGGGGCAGAGAGGCAAGAGAGGGGAAAGGAGAGGAGCAGGAGACGAGAGAGAGGAAGACAGAGGAAGAGAGAAAGGAGAGAGGGAGGAGAGGAACGGGAGGATGGGGAGAGAGGAACAGGAGAGGGGAGGGAAGGAGCAGCAGAGAGAAGATGCCGAGAGGAAATGAGAGGAAGGGAGGAGAGAGAGAGAGAAGAGAGAGGGGAAATGAGAGGAAGGGAGGAGGGGGAGAGAGAGGCAAGAAGAGAGAGGGGAAATGAGAGGAGAGAGAAGAGAGAGAGGGGAAATGAGAGGAAGGGAGGAGGGGGAGAGAGGCAAGAGAGGGGAAATGAGAGGAAGGGAGGAGAGAGAGGCAAGAGAGGGAAAAGGAGAGGAGAGGAGGAGGGGAGAGGAGAGAGAGAGAAGAGGAAGAGAGAGGGGCAATGAGACCGGAAGGGAGGAGGGAGAGAGAAGGAGAGAGGCGAGAAAAGTGAGAGGCAGGAGGGAGGGAGAGAGAGAGGAGAGAGAGCAGGAGATGAGAGGGCAATGAGAGGAAGGGAGGAGAGAGAGAGGAAGAGAGAGGGAAATGAGAGGAAGGGAGGAGAGAGAGAGGAAGAGAGAGGGGCAATGAGAGGAAGGGAGGAGAGAGAGAGGAAGAGAGATGCTCCGTTCACTAGTTACCTTACACCAAATCCTGTTATCCCAGACATGCATGTTATGTCTGTTAGAGCTCTTCTCTAGCGGGGTACATGCATACCTGACCGACTGCCTTATTCAGGCAGCAATTATGATTACGGAAGGCAATTTCAGGCCCTTTACCATCTACACTATGGACACTGTTACCGTACATTGTTTTAATGCATTAGTACACTTGTATATATGCGTTATACTTTACACATCACACATCAAGGTTTCAACTTTTAATGATCTGTGAGATGAGGTCATGTGCTGGTAACCTTTAGCTCTTTGCATACTGATCAAGTTCATACTTATGTACCTATTCAGTAAACATGTGGTCATAAATATGAAACTCGTAACATAGTACTTTGCCTGTGTTTGCAGGATCTGCGTATTGCTGTCAGTACAATCCACCAACAATCATGCACCTGATATTAATGTCGTTTACATTTGATGGGCATTTATGTACTATATCTGTAGTTTAAAGTATACTACATCTGTAGCAACATCGAAGCTAGCGTTCTCTCGTTGCCATGACACCGCCATTGTCCACCTGTGTTACCGTGGAAGTTTATGTGGTGTGTGTAAAAAAGCAGCGTAAACGCTGAAACTCTGTTAAACTTTCAATGTATGGGTATGATGGGACAATACTGTTTGACAATGTTGCATACTTTCTTCAACAGATTTAACGGCCTACCATATGTATTACATCGATGCACCACACATGTGTTCTTAACTTACACATGTATTGAACCTTCCCGAACATTATCCTCTCTTTCTATACCATCTGTGGTTTTATGTAGCCGTGTTGTGTTTACTGCCTCAAATGGGGAAGAATGTATCAGTTTGTGAGTAGGTGGTAGGAGTTATTCGGCCCAGCCAGCTGAGCTGCCTTAGTTGGTAGAGCCCTTTCTAGAACAGAGAGTGCTCTGCCTTGCTCTGTATGAGTGATTCAGCCCAGCCAGCTGAGTTGCCTCAGTTGGTAGAGCCCTCTCTAGAACACAGAGTGCTCTGCCTTGCGTGATTCAGCCCAGCCAGCTGAGCTGCCTTAGTTGGTAGAGCCCTCTCTAGAACACAGAGTGCTCTGCCTTGCGTGATTCAGCCCAGCCAGCTGAGCTGCCTCAGTTGGTAGAGCCCTCTCTAGAACACAGAGTGCTCTGCCTTGCGTGATTCAGCCCAGCCAGCTGAGCTGCCTTAGTTGGTAGAGCCCTCTCTAGAACACAGAGTGCTCTGCCTTGCTCTCTATGAGTGGTTCAGCCCAGCCAGCTGAGCTGCCTCAGTTGGTAGAGCCCTCTCTAGAACACAGTTCTCTGCCTTGCTCTGTATGAGTGATTCAGCCCAGCCAGCTGAGCTGCCTTAGTTGGTAGAGCCCTCTCTAGAACACAGAGTGCTCTGCCTTGCTCTGTATGAGTGATTCAGCCCAGCCAGTTAAGCTGCCTCAGTAGCTTAGTCTCCACAGATATGTTTTTGTGTCTTAGCGTCTTTTTAGGATCGTGTACTCCAGATATGTTTATTGACAGCAGTGTTGACAAAATCGTGAGTACGTGTTATGATTTGGGAAATGGTGTGGTGATATGAGTTACGTGTCAACAGTTACTGTGTTTTCGTTTGCCATATATGGGTACTGTGTCTAGCGTGACACCTTGGTAGGACAAGGAAAGGTGTCCTTGAGAAAGAGGGGCCTGGGTGTTCCCTTCGCTCCCACCGGCCGCCCTCAGTGGTCACACTTCCATGTATTTTTAGATGGAGCCGCGGGTTACCTTCCGTAATTTTTTGTTGCTTGTGCAACACTGCCCGGTAGAGACCAGAGAACGGGACGGGTTTGTAGCTATAGTGAGAATCCTGAGTCAGTTCTTGAGACCCTTTTAAAAACAATGCAAACCAGGAGTCGTATTTGAGCAGACTACTGATCGGGTACCAATAGGATCATGAGTTGCGATCAGAGCGTAAAGTGCATAGGTAAGGTTTTCCCCGCGCGCACGCAGGTCTAGATCAAGGCATGGGCCTCTAATGTAGAAGAGGTCGCAAATGGAAGGGAGGAGGGCAGAGTGAGTGATGTTCCTCCGTCATAATTTAGGGACGGGGGTTGTGTCCTGATAGAGATGTAGCTTAGAAGTTTGTTAACTGAATTAAGAGGTGTCCTGACTCAGCTTGAGGAAGTGTCCCTGCTTTAGAGATGTAGCTTAGGAAGTGTCCTTTGACTAATTAGAGAGGTGTCCTGAAACTAAGCTGAGCGAAGTGTCCTGATTTGGAAGATGACAGTGTCCTGAACTAATGCTGAAAGTGTCCCTGAATAGAGAGGTGTCCCTGACCTAGTCTTGAGGGAAGTGTTCCTGATCCACTAGAGAGGTGTCCTGACTAGCTGAGAGCCTAGTCAGCTTCCCTGTCAATTAGAGCACGTGTCTGTTCGCCTTGCTAGTGCATATGTGTCCTGATTAGAGAGGTGTCCCTGACCTATGTGAGCAGTGTTCCGAGATATAGAGAGGTGTCGGCATCAGTCTTGAGGAAATGTAAGGTGTCCCACTGATGTAGAGGGGAGGTGTCCTGATCTTATCTGGAGCGGACAACTAGTATGTGTCACCGATGGTCCTGTAGATATGTAGTAGAGGTGTCCTGTACTAGATGAGGAGAGGTAGGTTGTCCTGATTTGGCATTTCACGTTCAAGCTTAAAAACGTTTGTTGAAGCCTCGTACGTGCTGCATTGCTAAGTGGCCAATGCAATGGAACAGGTGACTCTGCATACACATTGATTACACCCTGGTGCAAACACCGGTGGCTAAGCGGCTTCTGTTGTTTCCTGGACAATCTCCCCATTATTTCGATAGTTTGTCACTTATTGCCAAGACTACAGGCCAGGGACATTGGGTAG